TCTACCAATAAAAATTATTGCCATATTTTTTATTTATGTTTTTTACCAATTTGACGACTACAGTACTTGCCCATGACTTTTTGTAGATATCAATGAAATAAGGCCGCTCACGTGCATGCGACCTTGCGTTGCACTAGCGCTGCAATGTCAGCTGGTTTACGACGTATCCTACTAATCTAACTTAGATGTTAATTTACCTTACTAAATATTGGAATTTCGTATAATTTGTATGTGTCTCGGGTAACCGGTGAGGAAAACTAAAGATAGATATGAAAATTATTTTCATTCAAGTATAGTAAGCTACTAGGACGTAGACAAAAATGATAAAGCAATAAGGTTCTAATGACCATTGAGCCATTTCGGCCACGGCGCGACGGCCAAACTTGATGAGATTAGCTATCTGCACAGGAGATATTATAGTGCACAATAAAATATATGCGCGCAAAGACAAATGCACTGTCATACTCCGAGGGGATATAAATTTGACACGAGACTCAAACCCAAGCTTTCGAATCTGCAGCCATGCTAGCCACTAGACCACTGACCACAATAATAAATATGTGATACTAATATGAATACAAAGAGTGTTTCTTAGGACAGATTTATTTTCAGTCCTTTTGAATTAATTCCAAGTGATCTACGAAAGGTTTGTTGAGTTTTCGCAATCCGTACAAAGTATATTTGCTGTTTTAATACGAGGGTAGTATTTTTGAGAATATTGTATATAGAGATATAATAAAATAGATAGACCCAAAGAGAAATGGATGGTATATGTGAAAGAGGATATGTGTGTGCAACACGTATGTGTTGAGATAACAGTAGAAGGAACTAGGTGATGAAAACATGAGCTGACCACACGTAGCGTGGGATAAGGACAAACAGAATAATAAGTTATGGGATAAAGAGTGCCATAATGTATCCTATCTTCTTTTTTTTCTTTTTTTTTATCTAAGGATTCGAATAATATACCTTGTTACTTAGCAACGCTTAGTATTTATTATATAACCTCTTTACAAAGAATATTTCTATTACGGTATAGATTATTATTCAACGCAATTAAGTGATTTAACGTATAATTAACTCGTAACGCTAGAACGCTTTCATGTTTGATTGTAATAAGCGATTTGGGATTAGTTAGGTTTTAATATTTTTAATTACAATGTTTCCTATATAATAATATAAAAAAATGTAGCGGTAGTGTAAACTATAGCCTCTTACTCGGGGCGTTAAAAAAATAGGGTTGAATACATACTCTAGTAATATGTTTGACGACATGTTTGGCTCAGTTGGTAGTGACCCTACGAGCTGTTCCAGCGGTCGCGGGTTCGAGTCCCGCTGGGGGCATTCATTTGTGTGATGAGCACGTATGTTTGTACTCCAGTCATGGGTGTTTGTATTCATAATATGTATGTATTTAAAGTTATGTGTAGTGTATCAACTATCAGGTATCCATAACACAAGCCTCGTAGCTTACCATGGAACTAGATGGCGCTGTGTGGTAATGTCCCAAAAAAAAATGTTTAGTACCGAATAATGCAGCATTACATAAATGATAGATCTGTGATTTTTATCTTATATTTATATTAAATAAATATGTAAAACTTTAAACTATAAAGGATAAAAAATATAAATAGCGGTAAAGTGAATATCATTTTTTGTCGTGCAGTTTTACAGACCTTGTTAGGTACTGTTTTATTCAGCCTTCACCCAAACGTTTATCACTTCAAACAATGAAGTTTCTATTGCAAATAATATAGTTATAGGCGTGTCTTTAACATTTACAATAGACGGCTTTATTCAATATTTTTGATGATTAACCAATTCTTATTTCTTATAGTTCATATTTAAAAAAAACTCTTAGAAAATACTAGTGAGTAGTGACCCACCTCATTTCGTTCGGGCGCATCTTGCCCTATCATCGTGCCCTTCGCATTTATAATACATGCATGAAAAGTTCTCAGAAGAGATGATTTTTTCCGACATAATTCAAAAATATCATCATGCCGGTAGCTTATTTTCGTAATATGTTCATAAATTATAGCCTATATCCTGCTAAGACAATCTTTTATTTTATTAAAGAAAACCGTATGAAAATACGTACAGCATGTTTGAGATTAGCCTAAACAAACAAAAAAAAGTTTATCATTCGGATAAAGCTCTATGGTTATCTTATTATTTAAAATATTTTACATGTACAAAATGTATTTAAAAATATTAATGTTTTATCTAATATATTTAAACGAGCATGTTTGTATGTGTATATATATATATATATATATATATATATATATATATATATATATATATATATATTATATAATCTGAATCTCGGAAACGGCTCCAACCATTTTCATGTAAATTAGCATGCAAGGAGGTTTCGGGGGGCGATAAATTTGGGAAAACGCGGGTTTTTGAGTTTTCATGCGGTTTCATTATTTCACTCAAATTATGGTCAATCGGCTAAGTCGTAAGATTGACACTCATAGGTGTCTGGGTTCGAAACCCGGTCGGTTATTCTTGCTTTTTTTTATATTTATTCTAGTTTTTTTTTAAGGAAAATTGTACCATTAGCCAAAAACTTCGAGCAAAGCTCGGTCGCCTAGGTACTATTATATATACCTGTATGTATGTATGTATGTGATATGTCAAACCTAGGCTTGGAAGAAAAACGGCCGAAATATTTTGCTATAATGATATGAAAATTCGTGGTAACTTTGCAGTATTAACAAAAAAATTGATCTAATTTAAGTCAATCATTACATCATGTATGTAACTTGCTTCTTTAATTAATTATTACATAATCGACGAGCATTCAAAAAACTTTTAAACTTCGTTAATTTATCGTTAATGAGCTCTCTGATAATAAATCAAGTCAAAGTTGCTTAATATTTCTAGTTAGGTGTATTGTTTATAGTGTATGTAATACTTAATAACAAATGCCCGCGACCAGTCGAGATAAATGAAAAATTAATTGTTAGAAAATCGCAATTTGTAACTCTAAACATGTTATAAACTAGCATTGCCCGCGGCTCCGCCTGCGTTCAAATTCTTAGGTTTTACATATTAGTATACTCTTACATTGTAGTTTTTGTATTTTTTTCTCAGAAATGAGATATTTTTCCGCGGTAAAAAGTATCCTATATGTTGACCCGGATAATCAGCTATCACCATACCAAATTTCATCAAAATCCCTCCAGTGGTTTTGCTGTGATGCGGTAACAGACAGACAGGCAGACAGAAATTCTAAAAACTACAGATTCGACCTCTGTATCGATAATAATGTTTATTTCAATAAGATTTTTTTAAAAATATTTAATGTACTGATTCGGCTTAGTTACAATTTTATTATATGTATGGATTCACACTTTTATAACGTTTATATCAGAACAGTTAGTAAGGAATTGATAGAATATATAAACAAAGGTATGATGAGTTGTTGTGAGTTGTATTATAACGTGTTTTCCCGTGGGGATGACATCGTCTCCCGCGGTAAAAAAATAGCCTATGTCACTCTCCAGTCCTCTAACTATCTCCACACAAAAAAACACGCCAATCCGTCACTTTGTTTCGACGTGAAAGACAGACAAACAAACAAACAAACACACTCACATAATATTAAAAAAAAGTATGGATTACTGCCATCACGGACGATCTTATATTTTCCTTTAATATAGATACACATTATATCTTTTAAACAACTTAAACCAATTTTATTTCGAAATTTGCCCAAGGTTTCATTAATGTTAATCACTCATCAAGTAAAAAACTTAATGAGAGTAAAAATAAATAAAAATGAGATCCATAAATCTATGGGCACACTAACAATTTATATGATTTTAGATAAATTGTTATGTGATTTTTTTATACATATAAAAATTTAAAAATAATTAATCAAAATGCCGTAACCAATAACACTCATAATACATTCCGGCGTTTCGCAAAAACCACACCCATTTTTTACAGGTATCCGAGCCCTCAAGGTTTCCCCTTCACTCTACCATGACCTTACTTCCGTACACGTCATAGAACACGAACAAAAATACCAGGACTTAGAATTTATATTTATTGTAAGAATTTACTGTCACTCAATGTGCACTAAAATTAGTCTGATATGCTAATGACTGATTCTATGGTAGTTTTTACTTATAATTTCATTTCAAAGTGAATAGAATGTAAATAACCATATTGGCCGCTTGCGAAACGATGAGATATGATGACGATGACGATTAAATAAAATATAAGAATGACATAATAGGTATTATGACAATCTTCCATAACACAAATAAGTCCTACCCATACAATTGACATAATATGACAATTTACATAACACAAATTAGCTCTACCCATACAATTTTTCATCAATAAGCTATTATACCGCTTAAAGTTTATTTTCTTAACAATAACAAAATAATAACTTTAGTCTTTATCATCTGTAGATATATGTTATTCTACACATATACGCCCTTATGGAATCTACTTACATATCACCTTACTCTGTTCTAGTAGGTATCACAACTAAGTATATTTTATATTTTTTAGTTTTGTTAGCCACCCTTTAACTAATTTTGGCCCACAAACATCCCTATGGTGCGAAAACCTTGTTCTTTCTTACGTTAAACAATTCTGCGTTCTAACACTAATGGCCTATTTCACCAACGTCACCTAAGTTTAAGGGATCCCCTAAGCATGGTTAGGGGGCTGTTAACGGACAATTTCTATTTCACCGACAGTTAGGGGTCACCTAAATGTTAAAATGCCACCTAAATATAGGTACTAGAAATACTGGCTCTGATGATGATAAAACGAAATTTAATTTAGGGGCTTGTTTAGGGGAACTTTTAAGCTAGGGATCCTATACGTAGGTTGTAGCTTATGGCATGTTGGTGAAATCGGGCATATATAACCCAGAATGAAGATACTCAAACTTAATTAAAGTTTAAAACTGTGTTACATTTTTTTTTATTCTTTTTTTCTTTTTTTTTCAGATATAAACAGAAACAATGTTGCCGAGAAAAAGAAATATGGGGTTGATACTGATGATAGTGTTGGCATTCGCTAAATATTCCCAACAGTATGGCTCTGGCGCACCACCTATGGTAAGAACGTATTACGACAAAACTAACTAAATGAAACTGTAAATGAATTCTTATAAAAATATATAACTTTACTTTAATAATAGGTGTTATACAAAAATATCTTTTTTGCGATTAGATTTTTACTTTTATACATATAAATAAAATTAATTTCTGTTCGTTGATAAGCGCTTTGCTCATAACGGGCGGTGGGATCGATTTAACTTTTTTTTTAAACCTTCATTTATATGTAATAGGTAATAAAAGAAAATGTCCACAAAGTACGAAAAATTTTGTATTGATAAAAATATATTTTTTAAATATTACATATTAACTTTTGGTAGTATCCAAAGCAATCTCTAAATCACTTTTAATACATTTTTCAGGCGTGTCTGGACCAAACACCAAGGCACAGTGAAATCCTAGCACAATCATCAGTCCCGCCTTACAGCTTGATCACTTCTTCTCCGCAAGTTCGACAAGGTGACATGATCAATGTAACCATCGGTAGTCCATTTGGAGCTCCGGTGCCCATCGGGGGTTTTATTTTGCAAGCTAGAGAAATACAGGTAAAAAATATACTGTACATATTATATACTTGCTTTATTATTTGTTTTTAGTAGTAGTTATAATGGAATAATGTTACTTTCGTATTAAACGTGGTATCATTTATTTACGCTACAAGAAACCTTTCTTAATGGTAAAAATTCTTCCAATATATTTATAAAGATTAGCGGCTCACCCCCGCTCCGCTCGGGTTCGTCCCTAGTTACGTTTTGACGTTTAGTATAAATTTCTCAGAGATGAGATATTTTCCAGCAGTAAAAAGTATTCTATATGTTGACCCGGATACCCAGCTATCATCATACCAAATTTTATCAAAATCGATTCGACTCAGTTAGAATTTTATAACTAAGGACGCGAACCCGAGCGGAACGAGGGTGAGTCGCTAGTATAAATATAAGTTAATATTTTTCAATATATTTCTATATAAAAAAATATATACAAAATATTAAGTTATAATATATTATATACATAACTAGGAGTGCCTACCCATCATAACTTCCGATCGCTAACAAAATTCACAGGATCACCCGCTGGGCTAATCTAAAGATTACCTGAAAATTTCATCAAAATCGCTCCAGCTGTTTTGGAGTCCATAGGAAACATACAGACACACTTTACACTTTTATTTAATCAATAATTTAAATGTATTTATAATTATTGCTCGGAAAATGAAGTCTTTTATGAAAATTTTGTGGCACACCGACTGCAGCGTCACCTACTGGGCCAATTTGTGTTTTCAAACCATCCAGGAGCACATTGAAATATACACACATTTCATCCAAATCGGTCCAGTCCTTTAGGAGGAGTAGGTTAACAAACACACGTACAGAAGATTTATACATATTAAGATATGTAATATAATATGTGTGAAGTAATTTAATTTTTAATCTTAATAATATTTATAATTTCCTTATTTTCATCTTTTTTGTAGGATATGGAAAAAATTGTGGGCAAATTCACAAAAATTCCTGGTGCAGATCTAGCGCAAATAACAAGCTGTAGAGGTCAGAACGACACGGTCACTCACACTAGTCCGGAAGAGAAACAGCCTTTGACATTTACTTGGAAGGCGCCAGATGACTTTTTGGGGGGTATCGCTTTTAGGTAATATGACATCATTTTTTTCGAATTGACAAATCTATCGTACTACTATTATAAGTGTACTAGCATGATGATGCGGATGATGATGCCGTGATGCGGTAACAGACAAACAGACAGAGAGACAAAAATTCTAAAAACTATAGATTCGGCCTCTATATCGATAATAATGTCTATTTCAATAAGATTTTCCAAAAAATATTTAATGTGCAGATAAGAAGAGAAGAGAGAGAATTTTATTATATGTATAGATTACATTTTACAAACTTATGCCTGAACTAGAGGCTCACCCTCGCTTCGCTCGGGTTCGCCTCTTAAAATGCACTAACACATCTATCCCACGGGAACCTTACATTTTTCCGGGATAAAAAGTAACCGATTTGTTATTCTCATGTATGAACTATATTATTATAAAGTTTCATTAAAATCCAATCAGTAGTTTTTGTGTACTAAGGTGTATAAGTTATTATAGTTTTTAAACTATCCCACGGGAACACTAATTTTCCGGGATAAATAGTATCTAAGATGTTGCCCGGGGGTATAAGGTACCACCATGCAAAATTTCGTTTAAATCGGTCCAATAGATTTGGAGATTAGCCCGTACAGACAGACAAACAGACAGAGAAACAAAAAATTTGGAAAAAATCTGGATTTGTTTTATTTGTCTTCTTACATCCCCCTGACTCGGTTTTTAGCATTTTTTTGCTATGTACAGACATTCGACCTCTACAGTTTTATTATAGTATAGATTAAATTGACCTATTGCGAATCTCGTCATCATCATTTATATAATACCTAATTAACACAAAGTCTTTGTTACTTTACCTCACAAATTACTTCTGATTGACGTTTGTCTGTACTCTATAACCTTGATAACCGGTTTTATAAAACAGTAGTATTGTTATTAGACAATTATGGTGTAATGGTGTTTACATATTAAAAGCAAACCTATTCTTAACTGTTTTATAATATTTTATCTCAGCGGACTTTGGTTTTTGCGCGACTTTTTTTACCGCGCGAGACCATCTCATTCCCACGGGAAAACACGTTATAATACAACCCAAAAAAAATATATGAACAGACTTATTTGAAACTCTGTATTAATGCTTCTCAATACAATTACATAAATACGTGTTTTAGCATTTTTTGAAATTCATTCCATAAGAGGGTCAAATATGGGATGAAAGTTTGTATGAAACATACCTTTTTAGACATTTTTTTTATAGTTTTAACGCGGCGAATTCGCGGTTTCTGCTAGTTGTTTATAATAAAATTTTCATCTTTCAAATGACTTAATTTTAAGATAGTTTAAAGCGTTTATTATTTGCAAGAACTTTTTCTTTTGAATAAATTCCTCAACTAAATCTGGGGGCACGGCAGCGCCCCCGCCATATCGAACAAAAAAGGGCACGGCATAAGTTCAGGATAGAGAGATAACTTTTCAGAGATAACTTTTCTTCTAACGATCTTTGTTCGTGCTTATATTTTTTTAATGAAAATTTCATTATTTTTAATAGTTATTTTTAATAATAATAATCTTTTTAGATTATTATAATTAAGTGCCCCAGTTAAAATCTATTCATTAGCCAATAAGTACGTCTACGCGGAGTTTATTTATATTCAAATTTGTAAATTAACAATTCATTAAATTATTATAAATCAAGGTCTTTCAGTTTAACCGTTATGTATTTACATAAATTTTCACTGCAATTTTCTATACATTCTGAAATACTAACGCTCTGCTTGTACTTCCATTTGGCCTCATTAAAATATGCTAAATTTTGCAGACTTAAATGCCTTAAAAGTAATGTTAAGTTATAATATCAATTAAATACGTATAAGTACTGTAAGTTAAACTTTTGTCTTCGTAATAAATAAGTCTTTGGCTGCGTCAGATCTGTCAGTTTCGAGTGTTATTAGGAACAAGTAAACATATATCCTGGTATACCTATTGGACGTTTGTGTGTATGTGCGTGTGTGCGTGCGCGTGTGTGCTTATGAACCCTCTATACAAGGCGAAAATTCACCATAGTTTATTTATTAATTAACTAGCTAACTTACCCTCGCTTCGTTCGCTAGCGTCTCTATCGGTAAGGTACCTAGTTACTCCAGTTCATAATTTATCTATATACTAAATTATATCTAAATCCATTCCGCAGTTTCAGCGTACAGATGTGACAAACATACATACAAAATTTCGCAACTATAATAGTAGTATATTAATGTATTAACTAACACTTTAATCGTTTTGCAGAGCAACAGTAGCACAAAGTTATGCTACATTTTGGAAAAGCGTAGAATCGCCACTCGTAGAAGTGGTAACGCCCGATACTGTCATAACGACTTCGACATCTACCGGCCCCACGTCGCGACCCACACAAGCCCCTCCTGTTATTATGGAGTCGAAGGTACATTTATTTTACAGTACGTTAACTAATTTTCTCACAAATATCTATATCTATACATATAATAAAATTCTAACTAAGTCGAATCTGTACATTAAATATTTTTTGTAAAATCATATTGAAATAGACATTATTATCGATACAGAGGCCGATTCTGTAGTTCTTTGAATTTTTGTCTGTCTGTCTGTTACCGCGTCACGGTAAAACCACTGGAGGGATTTTGATGAAATTTGGTATGGTGATAGCTGGTTATCCGAGTCAACAAATAGGATAATTTTTACTGCGGGAAAATATCTCATCTCTGAGAAATCTATACTAAACGTTAAAACGTAAGTAGTGACGAAAGAAAACGACGATACGGATGAACCCGAGCGGAGCGAGGGTGAGTCGCTAATTGGAATATAAAAATATATATATTTACACATTTTCTACGAAATATCTGTACAAAAGGTGACGTCGATAATTGTGACTTTCAGTCACATTTAAACCAAAGAATAAAATTCAAAAATCGAAAGTTCTACTTGTCTAAACACAAATTCGAACTTACTCACACATATTTTTATATTTCACAATTCATATATATTTTTTACAATTAGATAATACAATAAATGTATAAATAAAAAGCTTTGTCATTGAACATCGCGAGAGGTTATCGCAATTATAATGGGCTTCCTTCGTTATACGTTAAAAATATAAAATATAATAAATAATCCGAAAAGATAGTTTTATTTAATAATGTCAAACATTCGCGTAAATCTAAGAAAGTATTATATAATAATTAAATTTCCCAAGGAGGGTTGACGTCAGGTAGGCGGCCGATCGTAAAACTTTTGCCAAATCTTATCAGCAGTACAGAAGATGTACTGCGCCGACCCCGAGTGATTGGGAAACGGGCAGGGAGAAGAAGTAGAAATAACATAACAAAAAATTTATTCATAGCATAAAACTATACAAGATAATTAATTTAAAAATTACATTTATATACCTAAAGTAAAATAAGAATAAAGTACCTACGTCCTACGTTATTCAGTTAGTCAATAAATAACATATTTTAGCCAGTTTTAAAAAACACCCCCATATATTTATAATTCATTTATAAGTACAGAATTCGTAATATTTTGGTACATTTTACATTAACGGCCAGTAGGGTTGTCGCGCGATGTTCAGTATACACCTAAAAACTACTGATGCGCCGTCGTGCTGGTGTTATAGACAACCCTAAACCCTATAATACACTTAACGAAAGCACGGGTAAAGATTGCCAAAAATATAAATTTTAATGGCGAACGGTTCTGTAGTGTTTGTCAACCCTAAAGCTGTTTCCCGACTGCTATTTAAAATAACGTGTAGTAGTTGAGGTGATTGGACATCTTTATTCACTAGAAGGCTGCATGCATTAGACCGTGGAATTAGGCAACAAGACAAGTTTTAACTGGACTCAAGATCCTTATATACCATTTTTTTACATAATGTCATATATGTATATTAAACATCGATGACACGTTTGGCTCATTTGGTAGCGACTCTACTTGCTGTGCCAGCGGTCGCGGGTTCGACCTCGCTGGGGGCATTCATTTGTGTGATGAGCACGAATGTTTGTTCTCTAGTCATGGGTGTTTATATTTATAATGTGTATGTATTTAAAGTTATATATGTGTAGTATATCAACTATCTGGTATCCATAACACAAGCCTCGTAGCTTACCATAGAACTAGATGGCGCTGTGTGTTAATGTCCCAGCATATTTATATTTACTTATTAATTTACATATTATTTTCTTTTTAGCCAAAACCAACAGAAGCCTCTCTCGATCTAATATACCAAGGGTGCGCTGACACAAAACTATGCTTTGGAGTTCCACAAAACTGTGTACAAAACGGCGTTTGTAAAGCCATCGTCGCGATATTCGTAGTCGGTGACTCTTATACTTTCGAAATTCAAGGGACTGATAACCCAAAGTACATTGCTACTGCTCTGAGTTTAGATAACAAAATGGGAGACGACAGCGCAATGGAGTGCGTAAATGATAATGGTAGAATAAAATTATTCACCTCCTGGACTTACCCGAAAGCCGAACCGTATGTTAATAGGTTCGAATCCCCTCAGGATATAGTTCAATTGTTAGAATCTTCAGCCATCGATGGGAAATTGTACTGCAAATTTAAAAGGAACACCGTCTCCACTGTGAGAGGGCAAGTGTTCGATTTGGCCGGCAATAAGTATAATTTGATGGTTGTGGCCGGTAATTCTATGAAAGGTTAGTAAATTATGTTTAAAAATATACTTGTAATTTTATTACATTATTACAGAAAAGCTCTAAAGAGAAAGCTCTAAAAAATATTATATAAATATATATATATATATATATATATATATATATATATATATAATATAATATAAACAGTAAATCTTTCCATAAAACCATTTCATTTGCTTCTTCTAAACAAAGTATTATTAAAAACATAAGCTTCCATTTGTACTAGTTACTCCTAGATTTTTTTTCTTTTATTTTTTTAAGAACAAACATGTATCTGTCATCAATTATATACTACAAAGTTGAAATTAAACTTGCAAAGAATATTGGGCTATTATTCGGTAACCACCATCTTCAGCTACTTTTATCCTATTCGGCCGAATACCGAATATCTAGATACTACTCAGCCGAATACCGTTTTTTTTGTTGCAATCATATAATTGGTAAAATAAAAATATTGATTTATTTTATAATGATATATTTTTCTTATATCATTAAAATAGTTATATAGATACATAATCAAGTTCAGTAATAAAAAAATTAACTGAACTGAATGAATGTCTGTACACTTTATCGTAATTAAAATTTAGAAGTGGGAGGTTATGATGCAGAAAGACTAACATTTCTGCAATTTCAGGCAGTAGTTTCTTCTACTGCTACTCTTCTACTTCTACTCCTTTTCTTCTCTCTCTTTTCTTTGAATAAATACTGCTTCCTGGCGCCAAACAAGCACCAAATACGTGGATACAAATTTTCTCGCCCCGCACTAACCTAATAATACTTTTGCCTAATAATCGACTATTCGGCCAGAAAGCTCACAGAATATACGGCATTCGGCGTATGTTCGAATATACTATACGTTGCAAGTCTACTTGAAATTTTATTTAAACAGCTATAAGTTACCTAACCATCTATTTATATATAAACATATGTATAACAGATGCAGACAGAGTCGGGTTCCACAACCTAGCGTACGAGGCGAGTAACGCGCCTCTGGCGCTGGCGTCGGTGGGCACCGCGGCCGGCGCCTCCAAGCTACTGCTGAAGCTACACGGCTCCTTCATGATAATCGCCTGGCTCGGCGCGGCTTCCCTTGGTATTATAATGGCCAGGTACGTACGATAAAGTAGGAAATAGAATACGTTTTATCACATATCCAATTTATTATATTATCATTATTGTTCAAATCTTTTTAAAATCTTCTTTATTGTATAGTTTTTATAAGAAATCAAAAATACTTTCTTAAGCTATATGTATGACACTTTAACACACAATATAAGTTTTACTTGTAACCGTTGAAGAGTTCTATTTTCCACCTTCTAGCTCCATTATCAAATTTACTCGATGTTATCAAATTATCTTAAAAACTTCTTAAATTATCACTTTAATTTAAGTATTTAAGTGGAAGTTTATGAAGAAGCTTACACGCTGCAGATAAGTTTAAGTTTAACAATAATAATAAACAAAAATTATTATTATTGATAAAATTTACTATCACAATTAATTATATATTATTTGCGTTGTTCTAGAAAATTGGAACACGTTATAAGTCCTTATATGTATATAATTTAATTATTTTTGTTTTCATTTCAGATACTTCAAAAAGACGTGGGTTGGCAAAACGCTAGGCGGTAAAGATATATGGTTTGCTGTAAGTTTATAAATAATTATTACTATATTGTGTAACACTTTCTTATATTTACGAGAATATTTGACATTTTAAATAAAACTATCTTTTTGGATCATTTCGCGGATTTATTTAGATTTTTGGTTCCCGACCAACCTGAGCGCATCGCACGTGGAAGGGGGGAGGGCTTGAAGCGATATGTTAATTATTTAAAAAAGAAACCCTGATAAACTTGTGCCGCACTACCTATTATAAGTATATTAAATTTGTGTCCCTGCTGCACTAAGAAAAACTTTTTTAACAACAACGATAAGACCTTACTTCCCAATGGCACCAAGACGCCACCAGAAACGATAGCAAAACAAAAAATATAACATTTTCTCAATTCGCCAGTACCACAGGATCCTCATGGTGCTGACGTGGCTGCTGACCGTCGTGGGCTTCATCCTCATCCTCACGGAGGTGGGCGGCTGGCAGGACACCGGCGACAACCCGCACGCCATCACCGGCATCGTCACCATCGTGCTCTGCTTCATACAGCCTATTGGTGAGATTTGTTTTTTTTTTGTAATACTGAGGAATTTTTTTTTTTTATTAATAATAACTTAAAAATTTAAAAACATAATAATAATAGAGTCAATTAATATAAAAACGGGCGATAACTGTATTGCCATTACCGGCATCGTCACTATCGTACTGTGCCTTGTGCCTTATGTGCTTATTGGTGAGATTTGTTTTTTTTTCTAATACTGACGAAGTTTTAAAAAAAAAAAATAGCTTAATATTAAAAAAAAAGTCAATAAATAGGTATGAAAAAAGGACAACTCTACCGCAATCACCGGCATGTCACTATGGTGCTGTGCTTCAAACAGCATAGGCTGTTGTTGCAATGGTTTTTTGACCAATAGTGGTGAAAATCGTTTTATTTCTAAATATATTACTGACGAAGTTATTATTATTATTTTTAAATAACAACTTAAAATTAAAATAATAATAATAATAATTGAATTTATAAATATATAAAAAGGGCGACAACCGGTCCGCTATCACCAGCCATTTTTACTAACGGGATCATTAATAAAAAATAGACCAGACTATTTTTTTTTAATTTATGACATATTTTTGTTTAGGTGCATATTTCCGACCTCACCCCGGCACTAAACACCGCCCACTCTTCAACTGGGGTCATTGGTTTATTGGAAACTCAGCGCATATTTTAGGAAGTAAGTACTTTAATTTTGAAATGACAATACTTTAGAATCGTAATTTGAAACTCGATGAACGGAAATGCGACACTAAAAAGAGACAAACACAAATATATAGGATTAAGCCGGCAAGAGAATGAGATAGAATACATTGCCATGTTGCCATGTTAACCATTGTTATTTGAGATAGAATACATTACACAACAAGTGTTAAATAATATAATTAATTACTGAATAATTATTGAACGTATATTTATGTCAAATAAAATTGTAAAATAACTTTTAAACTTGGTAAAATATTATTAAAAAAAATAAACTTTATAATTATCCTCATACACTATATTCATCTCATTCTCATCTCATTACACACACACACACGCACACGCGCACATACATACACACACACACACACACACACACACACACACACTTTTTTCACAAGCAAATGTATAATATGTTTATTTTATTTTAATTTTCAATAAAAATAATATTTCGAATTCAATTAACGTCGTATATTACAAACAAATTCTTCAGTTTTATAGATTAGTAAAGATTTATTGGAAACCTAGAGTATCTAATTACATTTTATGGTGTTTATGGATGCTAGAAACATACTAAAAAAATTAAATCTCATAAACAACATTCATATTAGATTTTTAGTTCTTTTCGCGGTAAAAACAATTAGACCTATAAACTTAAACATTTTCACAATTTTTACGAATATCGAATCTGAACATAAAAATAATTTTAAGGCATTTTTGTATACATTTTAATAATATAACCCCTTAAATATTTCCAGTTGCAACAATATTCCTGGCAGTGTACCTGCAGAAGGCGGAACTCCCGTCTTGGACGGTGTTTGTTTTGGCCGCATTCGTCGTTTTCCACGTGGTCACGCATATTGTTCTATCGGTAAGATATTTATATACTTTTTGTATTAAAATCTATATATATATAAAAATCTATGTGTGTATGTATGTTCGCTATGAACTCCAAAGGAGCTGGAGCGATTTTGATGAAATTTTCGAGCAATTTTCATATTAGATCAGCGAGTGTTCCTGTGTAGTTTGGTAGCGATCGGGTGGACAGTTTTTTTTTGTTTTATGGTAATTAAAACTTACATAGGGATGAATCGCTAGGGCCTAGTACTATTATATAAATGCGAACGTTTGTATGTTTGTTACTCTTTCAAACTGAAACTGCTGGACGAATTAGGAAGAATTTTAGTACATAAATAAACTATGACCTGGAGTAACATAAGGCTAGTAAAAATATATAAAATAGATACATACATACAATCTAGTATGTCTATATAATAATCTGACCACTCCCACTTTATGCCTTGTATGCTTAATAAATTACCTTGTTTAAGTACCTTCGTTAAGTAGCTAGTTTGCACGGCTAATATAGAGGTCCTGGGTTCGAGTCCCGGATCGGACCAAGTTTATTTTATTGGTATTTCGGCAAAAAATTATCAGTAACGGCCTGGAATTAGAAAGTTTGTGGTGTTACACCAACGCTCCAGGCAAGTGGAAGGAACAAAGAGGGTACGTTGTATCTACCCACACTCACAGGTTTGGACTGAAAAACCTTCGTACAAGATATGCAGTTCTTTAATTTATTGAATTAGGTATAATTCGACGTGTAAATACTGTTCTTGAAAAAACTTTTATAATTAAGTATTTGTTTATTGGAAAAGACAGATTTTCTGAGATACGCTCAAATACCCAATCAATAATCAAAATAATCAAATCTTTTTAAAAATTCACTTAAAGTCACGTTGAAACTTACCATACCGCTATTTTAAGTAGAATTTTTGCATAAAAAAAAATCATGTCAAGTCCGTCAAAAAACACCATAATATATAAAACCCATAAAATTCTAGCTGACAGTGTGCGTATCAGAGGGTCGTATTAGCAATGGGAGAGTTAACACTTTCCCCATGAAAGACATGCTCGGGCACCCGCGGCAGGCCTCCGCCGTCGACCGCGGCTCGGACGCGCCGGTGAGAATTGTATTCTCTTAACGGGGATATCTAAATCTATGGCATTACCAACATTCCGCCATTTTGACTTTTCTAAACTTCCGGCGCAATATGAAATTGGTATATATGGATAGACGGTATTTAATAAATAGTAAAGTATCAGTAATGTAACACTGTAAAGTGTCACGTTTCCGAGATATTTTAATTTAAAAATCGATGACGACATTCTTTATAAATGAATTAATTATGTGCTTAAAAACTTTCAGTTGTATTAAAAAACAGTTTTCATAGTTCTAAACAATTTTCACTTCAAAATATCTGAAACGTGACACCTTATGGAGTGCCGTAGTGCAATTAAACAAACAAATAATATCAGCAATATCACTATATTGCTGATATTACTTGTTTCTTTAACTGTCCTCTTAGCATTTATACCAGTTTCATCGTGCGCCGAAACTTTTAAAATAATTAAAATGGCGGCAGGTATCTAATGCCGGCTTCTGTAAAAAATGTTCGAACTCCTTTTTCTAATCTGTTGCTTTAAAACTCACTGACACTCTGGTGTATTGAACGCTCACTAATTTTCAACTGTCTTGCAAAATTACTTGTTTCACTAAAATTGTTCACTACTGTCACTGATATAACGTGAATATTTATATTTTTTACACTGAGGTTAAACCTAAGATCACTATTGTCACATGTGCTTTTTATCTATACATATAATAAAATTGTAACTAAGCCGAATCTGTACATTAAATATTTTTTGGAAAATCTTATTGAAATAAACATTATTATCGATACAGAGGCCGAAACTATACTTTTTAGAATTTTTGTCTGTCTGTCTGTTACCGCATCACAGAAAAACCACTGGAGGGATTTATGGTGATAGCTGGTTATCCGGGTCAACATATAGGATACTTCTTACCGCGGGAATATGTGTCATTTCTGAGAAAAAGTACAAAAACTGCAATGTAAGAGTATACTAATGTGTAAAACCTAAGAGTTTGGTTTTTGGTCATATGAACGCGGGCGGAGCCGCGGGCAATGCTAGTATTTTTTTTTTTTCACGAACATGTATTGAAAACGCACTATTTTCACCGATGTAACTTAAAAAAACACTTTTATTCAACTTAATTTCACTTATTCTCAATTTTATTTGTTTTCAAAATCAAATGCGTTAAAAAAACTCGTATTAATGCCCCAAAAAAACTTTTCTTTGTTATTTTGATTCTTTTAAACCTTTGCGTCTTATCTTTTACGTTAGTCAAATATGAGCCATATTGTATATTTGAACTTATTATTATATAAAATTTTGATTTAAAAAGAAACAAATCAACGTCTTATTAATTATTACAATAGCATTTTCAATTTCATCTTATTACAATCTTTCAATTTTTCTTAACCACTAAAAACAATTAGGCACTTGTGAATTCGTCGCAATAACCATTAAAAAAAACCTGCACTTTCTTCTTCTTCTTTTCTGCCTTAACACAGCATCTGTATAACATATAATTTTATTATCTTGATATTATTTCCTCTATCGCACTTCAATCACTAATTTTGGTTTTTTCTTGTCAGTGATGTACATAAAAGGGTTACTGGATGATGTATAACTAAAAAATATAATAAATTACGCTTAAAAACATAAATTAATTAGTATGAAGGCTTTATAAGCAAGACGAATTTAATTTAATTTTCCTCTCAAAGAAAGAAAATGAAAAAAAATTGTTCCATATATTTTTGCAGACACATTTTTTTTATATACAAAAAAACCTTATTTTCTATAAAAAAAATCACTTAGCTGCATAATAGATTGTTTTTAGCTTATAAACTTTAAATTCAACATCATTTGACATATTACTATTACAAATGATGATGATGATGATGATGATGATGATTACATATGAAGATAACAATATTAAAAAAAAAAATTATTATTTTTAAATTATTTTTTTAACTTTAAAAAAAATACAAAAAAATATTTTTCAACACAACATTAATTAAGATCGACAGCTAATTCATTGTATTTTACAGTTTTCGGTGTTCAGGAAACATCTACTCGGAGTGTACGCGCCTATTGTCTTACTGTTCGTCATCGCTATGATCTGCCTCGTGGCTTTGGCTCCTATTGGAGACACTTACAACAACTTAATGGGTTCTTAAAATGGCTAGCATTCTAAAGATTTTAATCTAAAATAAAATTTAATTAGAATGTTTTACAAATATTGAACAAAGGGATATTTCATTTTCAGTGATATAAATTTGTTTTAATATTCTTAAGGACTAAGTCAGCTAATCTGAACATATACGTAAACTGTAACGGGGTCAAAGTGCTTGCTAATTATTATTATTGTTTAAATTTACGATATACAAAAGCCACGTTTAAAAAGTCAAGTTTTTAGAAATTGTCTGTCTGTTTTTCTTTTAATTTTCCTTCATTCAAAAACCGCTGGACAGGTTTTAATTTATTTTATTTTTTGTCGTACAGACTAATTAATTATCTCGATTTCTTTAGAATCGGTTGAATTTGAGCTTACATGGGTTTCTTATTCTGCTTAATAATTAAAGTGGAATTGGAACGTGTTCTACTTCTCTCAAAACCTGCTTTGACGTAGTTTGATGACTATACTCTGATCGTGTCAACGAGCAATCAAAGCGCACTTTGACGACGGCGTTCAATCAAATTGGACTTGAAGCCAAATGCTCTATGTAGGTGTCGACCGTTCTCAAAGTGATCGAAAACTTCGTTTCAAAGCTTTTTGTCAAAGCAGACTTTGAGCGTGTCAACGCGGCTTTAAAGCTATTCTATGCGCTCTTATACAAAATGGAAGTCATGACTAAAAATGTGGTAAAAACATAAGAATATATAAATTAATAAGAATTAATTTATCTCGACAAACGATGTGTTAATTATAAGTTTTTAATTATTTTTTTAGTTGTAAGAAAATAAATCCCTCAGTTTTATTGCTAATATAAGTAAGTGTTGTATGTAAATAAAATATAATTAAGTGGTTGAAACGATTCCGTCCCTTATACTTTTACTTTTTGGAATATCTTTAAAACCCATAAAATATTACCATATACTTCTAATTTATCTTTCAGTATTGTTTTTATTTTGTTTAAATATACATTTATCTCTAAGTATATGAATTTTGTACTAATTTACAAATTTATGAACCTTTATTTTTTATCAAGCACTAAAGTTAAAAAGAGCAATTTCTTAGATCACAGTACAATTGTCCAATTTGACAATATGGGTTGTACATAATATGATAAGAATTATTTAATACTTTCATAGATTTACGCGAATATTTGACATTCTAAATAAAACTATCTTTTCGGATTTCTTCGTGGATTTATTAAGATTTTGGTTCCCGACGTTTCGAATGCTTTACAGCAATCTTGATCAAGGGTGAGACCTTGTCAGTCGAAAAAATCCGAAAAGATAATTTTTTTTTTTATAATTATTTAATAGGGAACGCAATGTTAAATTTCGATATTTTTTTAAATGTAATCATTTATACATACTGCCAGTTACATTATGAAATTATGCCTTTTTTATATTCAAAGTATTGTTTATCAAAAAAATTATTATGAGTGCTTATTTTTATAACCAAAGACATTGTATCTACACGTATAATAAAATTGTAACTAAGCCGAATCTGTACATTAAATATTTTTAGAAAATCTTATTGAAATAGACATTATTATCGATACAAAGGTCGAATCTATAGTTTTTAGATTTTTTGTCTGCCTGTCTGTTACCGCATCACAGAAAAATCACTGGAGGGATTTTGATGAAATTTGGTATGGTGATAGCTGATTATCCGGGTCAACATATAGGATACTTTTTAACGCGGGGAAATATCTCAGTTCTGAGAAAAATTACAAAAATTGCATTGTAAGAGTATACTAATACGGTTTCTAAGAATTTGGTTTTTGGTCATCTGAACTGGAGCGGAGCCGCGGGCAATGCTAGTCTTTAATAAAAGAAAAATTGACATCACATATAACAATCACATTTCAATAGTTGTATTTGTACCTTAAAAATGTCGTATTCCTTAGTTGATATAATTGTTAATTTAGCAATATTTATTTAAAACCTTTGTTTTTTTATATTGTGTATGTGTAATGACAAATGACAACACGGTTACTAATTTAGGTTTTATTTCACCATCAATAATAAATGTAAATATTAAATAATAATTTAATAAAATATTTAATAACAATATTACGATTTTTATTTTCTATTTCTGGTTTATTCTTAATGACGTAATAGTAATGCTAATTTTTAAATATTTACTTAGTATTCCACATTTATCTTATTTTAAATAATCCTAAAAGAATATGTTAACCAGCCCCATTGGTCGTCCCTAAAATTAGCCTTATCCAAAGAAATTGGATAAGGTCTAATTCACTAATACTTTGTTTACATAAATAGATAATAGATGTCGGTAATCACCAGATGTAGAACTATTTCATTTTACCTATACTAATATTATAAAGAAGTAAAGTTTGTGAGGTTGTACGGGATAATATCTCGATCTACTGAACCGATTTTGATGAATTTTGGTAAGATAGTTTGAGAACCTGGGAAGGACAAAGGATACTTTTTATCCCGGTAATCATCCCTAAGGGGATGAAAGTTTGTATTGGGAAGCAAACTAGGGACGAACCCGAGCGAAGTGAGGGTGAGTCGCAGGTAGATTATAAAAACACACATCAATAGTATAAAATAGTTTTCTTTAACAAATTATAATATCACAATTTTTAATATAAATATACAAAATTAATTTGAAAACATCATGACGACACGTTTGGCTCAGTTTGCAGTGACCGGGCAGCAGTACTTGCTGTGCCAGCAGTCACGGGTTCGAATCCCACTGAGAGCATTTATTTGTGTGACAAGCATGAATGTTTGTACTCCAGTCATGGGTGTTTATATTTTTAATATGTATATTGTGTATATTTAAATTTATAAATATGTGTTATGTAGTGTATCAACTATCTGGTATCCATAACACAAGCCTCGTAGCTTACCATGGAACCAGATAGTGCTGTGTGTTAATATCACATATATTTTTTTTATTTTATGTATCTTCATTAGGAATTTGGGAGTCCTCAACAGTTCTTGAAGAAGGCACATACACTTTAAATGAGAATTCAGTTCTAGGGAACGATCCAGGATTGACAACTTGACAGTTTTGATACATTCTTGTGTATGGTTGAAAATGGTCTGCGACTATTATCAAATCTGGGGTTGGATATAAATTTAAAGCATCTGCATGTTTCCAATAAATTGGTTGAACACCTAGCGATAGTGGGGAAAGTGTACATTGACTTAATAATGTTTTTGTTAAATGATCGGGTATATCACCAGTGTCAGGAAAATGTATGGAGTTTCGACACATTTTCATTACTAAATCTTGTCTCATTACCACTATTTCTTGTGTACAATACTGAATTCTACAAGGGTTTGTTGTAAATATTACTGAGTCACCCAATTTGTCTCTGATGTCTTTAGTTACTGAATTTGGTATCGCTGGCCTGGGTAATATATTGGGGGCAACTGGATCACCTCTACCAGGAATAAATATAAACTTGCACGATTCTCTTAGTTTTGTAAATGGAAAAATTATTTCACCTAAATTTGTTAAAGCAGCCTTCAACTGTGTGCTATGTTCATACCCATAGGGACAAGACAAGAATTCTCCCATAAAAACTATTGCAATCGGTGGAAAATCATTATAACCGGCAAACAAAGTTTTTAGTTTAGACATAACTTTTAAATTATCAAACCAAACATCGGATAGAAAAATTAACATTCCATCTTCATTTTCTTGTTCAACTTTTAATAGATTTAGGGAATTCTTTAACAAAGTTTTTGATTTGCCACCAAATGTATTTAAACTGCCAAAAAACTCCAGTGATACAGCTCTGCTTTCTGATGGAGGTAAAACTAAACCCATAACATGTAAGACTTTATCATCATAGAAACCTTCTGCCAGCACAAAACTACTTTCAGTAAATAGACCAGAGTGATACCTTGTTTGTGTCAAGTCTAAGAGAACACTACCTGTAGGATCTTCTAAGTAATATTTACCTTCTGTCAACTGTGTCAATAATCCCAATACAATAACATCTTCTACTCTACTTGAAGAACTCTGTAAAACTTCTATTTTTCGTAATTGAAACCGATTTTCACTATCCATAGACGGTAATGTTTCTTTTGCAAATAATTTGTTTCTTATAGTTCTCTGTAAAATCATTGTATATCTGTCAATTAACAACTGAGCTTTCCAATTCGGTTCTGGATATAAATTATTTTTAGCGTTAATATCTTTTACGAATTTCTTCCTTTCATTATCATAATGAAGCTTGGGGACATCAAAAGCATCGATAATATTTAACACTGTTTCCGTTTCCTCAAGACCTGAAGACGAACATTCTCTATATGCTACTTCCAAATGCTTCTTTTCTAATACAGGTTGTGAAAGACACTGATGCAAAAGATGTGCTATTAGTTTATCAATTGTTTTCTTTTGATCTTGTTTCGATAAGGAAATTAGTTGTTCAGCTACAAAAGTACTTGCTTCTCTGCGAATCGTAAAACCACTAAGTTTAAAAGCATTATTTACTTCTAATCTAAGCTGTTGTAATTCTGCCATAGTTAGTGGTCTTTCTTACTATTAAATGTAACCAACAAGATAAGTTTTATAACGTATTTAATGAAATATTCAATTATAATTAAATGTAAAAACCCCGCGCTTGTTTGACATTGAATTAACACAATCTGTCATTTCATTGTTGACACATGACAGTTAGCTCATAATACCAACCAAATAGTAACTTGTAGTGTTGCCATATTAATTGGTTCAATCCGATTAATAATCGGATCGGATCGCTACCGGATATAATCGGCGATTATATCCGGTAGCGAGATATTTTCACTTTTATAGGGATTTTAACTAAAACGAAATATTATACTCAATTATTACACACAAATATAATTTATATAGTCAGAGAATTAAGAATCCTTTAAAATCTGTTGCTTAGTCATTACAGTTATAATATGAATGTAAAAATAATATAAGATTATTATTTATAAAAAAAGACAGAAAAGATTGAGATAGATAATAAAATGCGACTTGAAATAGATACTTCCAAAAACATTCATAAAAATAGACCAATGTGATTCTTAAGATTTATCCAAATTTTTCAAACAATAAGAAATAGAATGTAACTTAAATAAAACTTAATAGTTAATCCATACTAATAATTTAAATGAGAAAGTATGTTTGTTTGTCCTTCTTGGAAACGGAATTACGGATTGGCCTATGATAGTGGAACGCTGGAGTGACATGTGCTACTTTTTACTGCGGGAGATAATGTCATTCCCACGGGAAAACGTTATAATACTACCCAAAAAATATTTATGATCAGAATTACTTGAAACTTGGTATTAATGCTCTTCAATACAATTAATTAAATACGTGTTTTTACATTTTTCAAAGTTGTAAAGTAGCGGATGAAACTTTGTATTAAAACCTACCACTTTTTCTTTGTAGTTTTAGTGCGAGCGAAGCCGCGGGTTCTGCTAGTGGATATATAAATAAAACCTCATGTAATATAAAACAGCTGCATATATTTCTTACGAAATAAAACTTAACAAACATGTTTGAGTATTAACCCACTGAATACATAACTAATTAGGCGTACTCTAATCAATTAAATTATTTTATTATGAACCGTAACCAAATAGTTTAAAGATAATAAAAACCTAAAGCTAAACCTAAGCTATATAAAAATATTATGAAGAGCAAACATACTTTTATATAAAAATGGTTAATGGAAAAGTTATGGTTTTTTTTAATTCATAGTAATATAATATTACGACACTAGCTAACTCTCAACTACAAACTATATCACCAAAGATTATATATCATTCATTATCAATCAGCAATTATTTATAGATATATAATAAAAAAGGTGCATATTAATAATGGTGCACCAGTTATAAAGAAAACCCTCGGTATGTCAGAATCAGATAATTTAAAATAATTATGCCGTATGTAAAAAAAGCGTAGAATAAAACTCAATTAATAATTTTAATACCACCATATTTTTAGTTGTCATAAGTAAAAATATCACAGTTTCTACACAAATTTCTACCAATTACAAAAAAAAATAAAATATAAAAGTAGGATACTACTAGAAAAAAACACAATTTAATTGAAAAACTTAATCATTCGATTCATGGAGGCATCATACAATATTTCTTTACATTAATTCCTAAACGATTATAATATATAATATAAAATAAAAAATGAGGAATCAAGAGCCCTTGTTAATATGTCATAGTTAATTATTATCTACGAATTATTGTTATCTATTTCTAAGAGTTATTTGCGCTAATTTTTGGATTAATGTCATTTTCTAAATTAAAGTCGTAAAGCTACACAAAAAGACGATTATTCGACTATAATATAAACGTGTAAATTTTTACTAAAATATCCAAAGATAATTGGTAAAATTACTGTTACATTTTTCTAATAAACAAGGCAAGAAAATCTAAAAAAACTACTTATTGCATCATAGACAAGAATACAAAATTCATTAATACTATTTACATCCATCACAGTTTTTTTTATTCATACCCCTCTCATACAAAATTTCATCGAGACGGAAAGAGCATATTTTTATATTAATATACATTTTTTCTATTGCGGTTGTGTGTGCGTTGAAGTACGGGTATATAGCCGTTTGCTCTATATATTATATATTTAAAAAAAAGGTTTTTTGTATTGCTTTTGAAAGTACACATTTTGTATAGACCATAGACATTAGAGAGTGGACCGAGTGTTTCTTTGCCAGCCGTCAGTTAAATATAGCGAAGGCGTGTCAGAGACAAAACAAATGTGCGGCCAGAAGTCTTCTGTATTAATTGAAATACGATTAATGAACGTATATTATATAACCATTATATTTATACCCATTTTACATTCCATTATAATATTATAATTTTTTATCTATATTAATATTATAAAGATATAGTTTGTGAGTTTGTGACGTTGTAGGAGGTAATCTCTGGATCTACTGAACCGATTTAGATGAAATTTGGTAAGAAAATAGTTTGTGACCCTGGGAAGGACATAGGATACTTTTTATCCCAGAAATCATCCCTTAAGGGTTGAAAAATGGGGATAAAAATTTGTATTGGGAATCAAGCTAACTAAATTATAACTTATAATATATATTTTTTAATCCATTTATAAATTCAAATTGGAATAAAAGACAGCTACCTCTTAGCGGCACGTTCACTTTCTATCTTTCTAGAGAGTGGTCAATTTAATGAGAGTATTGCTCAGTCAATTCTCTATGGCCTATGGTGTAGACATTACATCAAAATTTTATTGTTCTAAGCACTAATGTTAATATTTGCTATCCTTAGATATAGGTTAGATTTTTGTTTTAACACCGTAAACCGAATGCCTGCATTACAAACTAAACTCAAAAAAAGCTGTAAACTAAAAAAACTATATATTATATATAGAACATTTTAAAATTATTACTAAAAGACAAATGGTTTGTAACCGAATTTCTAATTCTACTGTTATAACCAGAAGATTCAATGAAATTTTCATGTAATTATTTAATGTAATTTAAGAGAAAGTCTTGTAAGAAAATACTATCCATAAAGTATCTTTACAATATTTTCATCCGGACTTTCTCCAATTTCTATTTTGTGTGCGTCATACAATTTATATGCTGTTCTCGTATTCACTATGACACTAAAATAATTAGTTCTTATATCGCTAACAATTTTCAAATATAAAAGTAGACTAAACCACAACATACCAAAAAAATGTATCTATAAGCAATGATATAATAAAAAGAGGTAGATACGTTACGGTATAAAAAGTGAAGCGCACAAATGGAGGCAATTGTCACAATTAGCCCAAGTCGCTTTCGAATAAGTAAAGAATACGCACGTGCTCAAAGATGTGTCAACTCGAGTTACTATCTCGAGTTAACTCGAGTTGGGCTTAACTCAAATTAACTCGAGTTGAATTCTCTCTGACTCGAATCGGATTTGCGTGGTAAATGAATGAATCAAGCGAGTACGCGATTGACCTTACGCAAACGCGGCGATTCGTTCGTTGTGTTCGTGTTTTGTACAGTCGTCAGCACTTCAGACTATACATTTATGTTGCAAAGTCGCTCCTATTACAACCGAATAAGATGCCACAGTATTTAACTTAATCACTGTCGTCCGTACTCCCGTCATAGCGTTTCAACCGAATGACAGCGTTATAATATCAATACTAATATTATAAATGTGATAGTACGTTTGTTTGTCCTTCTTTCACGTCGGAACGGAGTAACGGACTGGGGTAATTTCTTTTGTGAAGATAGAGTAGTTGGAGGGTTGGAGAGTGGTATAGACTACTTTTTACCGCGGAAGATTATCTCATTTCCACGGGGAAACACGTTATAATACAACCCAAAAAAATATTTATGATCAGAATTACTAGAAACTTGGTATTAACGCTCTTCAATACAATTAAATAAATATATGTTTTAGCATTCTTCGAAATTTATCCCGTAAAGGGGTAAAATAGCGGATGAAGTTTTGTCTGAAACCTACCTTTTTAGTGTTTACCTTTTGAGTGTTTTTTTGGAGTTTTAGCGCGAGCGAAGCCGCGGGTTCTGCTAGTAATAATATAAATATAAAAAATATAAATAATTATAATTGTCCCAATAAATATTTATTTAGAATCTGTACCATTTTTTTATATTGTTCCGAAGCCGAGTCATTAAATTGGTACAAACAAAACAAATCATTCACTTCATTTTTCATCCAGTTAACTCGAGTTACGTAACTCGAGTTGAACTCGAGTTACGTGAATTTCAACTCGAGTTAACTCAAGTTATATTTTTTCCGAGTTGGCACATCACTACACGTGCTTTCCACTTTGTTAATCGGTGTATAAAATTCGTTTTTATAACAAAAATGCCATCGTGTGTATTCCGTAAATGCATTAATTTTATAAACAAAATAAACTATTATATTTTATTTGGTTTAATTTTTTGTAAACAAATAAAAACGCCATGATTACGTTATTCGAAGAAAATTTACGCGCAAATGACAAACACTAGCTGTCTTTTTTTTCTTATATTTTTGATTACGCTATCCCTTTCACATTATTTGGCAATGTGATGATTTTAATAAAATAAAAAAAAATGTGAGCATGTGTGCTGCCGTTGGATTCGGAACACTTTTTTCGCTAGCTATGCGAACTAACGTATCTATATTATCATTGTCTCTTAAATATATAAATTGATCAAATTACATGCCGAGGAGCTGTCTAAGGTATATTTAAAATTGACAGAAATGTAATTTAATATTTTACATTCATTGTTATACAGGCGTAGGAACTATTTTTTAAAACACTAATTCTATATCTTATACTATGTGCAGATTTTGGTGTATAATTATTGCGATTGTGTTGTGATGCCTTAAGTTACAATATAGATTTTTTTATAACTATCGTACGATGATTTTAATTACGATGCTCAAAAGCCCAAATCGAGAAAAATACTTGCCCAAATATCTGGCTTTACTTAATACAAAATATACTCTAAGTAAAATTCGAACCAATCCACCTTTGGCATAGAAGAAAGAATATGTCATAGTGAATGAAAGTTCAGTCAATGTCAAAACAAATACTTAAACATATAACACAAATTTTAAGATATAATATACTAGAGTAGGCATATGACGTGCAAAGCTGTTATCAAAAAAGAGAAATACAAAATGGCCCAACCATTTTTATTAAATATAACTTGATCGAAAGAGACTGAGAATAATAATTATTAAGTGTTTACAGACTATAACAATTGCCAGCTCTAATATATTATCTATATCATTGATATATAAAAGCATAGATACACATTTCCTAACGATTTTTTTTAAAAAAAAGGTGTCGACATGTGACGTTAAGTCAAACCAAAGAATAAAATTCAAAAATCGAATGTTTTAATTATCTAAATACAAATTCAAACTTACGCACACCACCTTAAGTACTTTTTTAACAAAACAAACAAACAAACAACAACAAACAAAACATATTAGTTGTGTCTTCCGAAAAGCAATGAACAAAAGAGATTTGACAAAAAGCGCAATTCAATTTCGTATCGCGCACTTTTTTCGAGGATACTTTTGAAACGCTAATTGTGTAACTTGAGTTTTTGTATATCAATGACCTATATACAAATATCCCACTACGTATTCAAAGTTACACAATATTCGGACAAGGTTTTCAATCCGTCTCGACCGACAACGCGTGTGTTATATCCACTGACAGCGGGATTTATATGAGCGTTGTGTAATTCTGCCACTTGTGTCGAACAAGCGGCGGCCGGATCGCCTGAACCAGTTAGGTTGCCAAGCCTGAGATTTGTAATGTCAAAGATAATAAAAAAATATAAAAAATATATAATATAAGGTCAGGGTATCTTTAAATAGTTGTTTTTTTTTTTATTCCAGTGTTATTTTCATCATCTATGTTTTTTACAATATGTGTTATGTAGCATTGAACATTATATTATTAAATTAAATTGAAAATCAAAGTTACCCAAAGTTTTTTTAAGACATTTTAATTTCATTAAAGTTGGCAGCATTGAATATACGTCAGTTTAAAAAAGTATACAATAAAAGACAAATGAAAAATATATTTAAAAGCCATAAACAGAGAATTGAATCATATGTAAACAAAATCATTTTTAAGAAACAGATTCACATCTAAATCTACGAAAAAAAAAACTAACAAGGAACAATCATATTATGTCCAAGTAAGTTAGATGAAAATATAAATAAATTAAAGCAAACAACTTACCAAAATTCATTTCCAGGGTGTGCATTACCATCCCAGGGGTATGTTATAACGAGTAACTTCCCCTCATGCTCGCCTGTTAATTTCGCTGACGGCTCTCTATTTTCCATTTGAACATTAATACCACCTATGAATGATTTTTCTTTTAATATATGTATATTGTACTTATTATTATTTTAATTGAGTTGGCACAAATAACATAAAATGAATGTAAAAAATTTCTACAATTTGGTTTTTCGATTTAAAATTGGCGACCATTTAACCAATATGAAAATTTTAGTTGAAATAAAAAAAAATGTTTTTAACTTCATTTTTAAGCTTTGGAAAAAATCATGCAACAAAGACTTTATTAAATAAAAAAGAATCTAACCTTTAGGATGTCTTTTACTTTCGAAGAATATTTGTTTCTCAACTGGGGAGTCACTTTGGACTGTCGAATTGGTGAATAATGCTGGAAAAAACAAAACAATTATAAATATGTATGTTTGTATGTGTGTATCCTTCACGCTGAAACAGCTGGATGGCACAGATATGCTTGAAGTAACACTAATATTATACACTACCATTGCCCGCGGCTCCGCCTGCGTTCAAATGACCAAAAACCAAATTCTTAGGATTTTCATATTAGTATACTCTTACATTGCAGTTTTTGTATTTTTTCTCAGAAATAAGATATTTTCCCGCGGTAAAAAGTATCTTATATGTTGACCCGGATAAGCAGCTATCATCATACCAAATTTCATTAAAAATTCTTCCAGTAGTTTTTCCGTGATGCGGTAACAGACAGACAGACAGACAAAAATTCTATAAAACTATAGATTCGGCCTCTGTATCGATAATAATGTCTATTTCAATAAGATTTTCCAAAAAATATTTAATGTACAGATTCGGCTTAGTTAGAATTTTATTATGTATGTGTAAATAATCTATTTGTATATAATATATAATTGTCCATAAAGTGGTGCTGTCTGCATATAAATTATTATACATAGTACAGTGCCTGCATATAAAACAAAGCCGCTGTCTGCGTCTGTCTGTTTCTCCGCTTACTTCCGCTTCTTCTAAACCACGCAATGGATTTTGATACGTTTCTTACTAATAGAAAAAGCGATAAGTGAGGAAGGTTTGTGTATATAATTGGTAAATATTTTGTACTAAACGACTGAGTTTAGACAATGTTTTATCACAAAAAACTTTTTTAGTACCATAACATGGCTAAAGCTGGCTAAAACTTTAGAGATACACCAAAACAATGTACTGGAAAATTGGAGGTCTTAAAAAGGTTTACAGAAAAGTCCATAACAGCATGTATCTATCTCTTGGGGTAAACTATTTTTAACTATAGAAAACATATATTAACCGTTTCCCTGTAACATGAGTCATATATGAACATTTCGATTGTTTAACTATTGTGTCTATTTTGCGAACAGTTAATCTGTTAAGAAAGCACCCGAGTAAAGGATGGTTAAATCTAAGCGACTTATGGCCGATATCACCAACGTCACCGTTTAAGGGATCCCCTAAGCATGGTTAGGGGGCTGTTAGGGGACAGTTTCTATTTCACCGACAGTTAGGGGTCACCTAAATGTTAAAATGCCACCTAAATATAGGTACTAGAAATACTGGCTCTGACGATGATAAAACGAAATTTAATTTAGGGGCTAGTTTAGGGGACTTTTAAGCTAGGGATCCCATACGTAGGTGATAGCTTAAGTGATTTTGGTGAAATCGGGCATTAGACTACCAAGAACTGAATAAACATATATATTAATATACTTGTACACATTCAAACTATCAGTACATAAAGAACATTTGTGTGTATATTCATCACTCACCTGTAATACCGGGACTTGTCTTGATATATGCAAAGTTAACATCTGTGACGTGGTTTAATAAATCTTTCTTAAGAAAAGCACGAATTCTTTCCAAAAACGTTAAAATGTAGACATCTGGTTGATGGGGGGACACTTTCCATACTCCGAGACCTGAAAAACATATTACAATCAGACTATTATAATTGAGAAGTGGTAGCCCAGTGGTAAACGCACTCGATTGAGAAACCGAGTAAAACGGGTTCAAATCTCAGGTCTCGCAACTCTGGTATTTCATGTGCGAATCATTTTCAACATGATTACCACTTGTCTTACAGTGAAAGAAAATCTGCATGTCTGAGAGAACCTAGCAAGTTTTCTAGTCACATGATGTCATATGAAATCTACCCACACTTGCCCAGTGTGGTGGACTATGGCCTGATTCCCTAACATTGAAGGGAGGCTTCATACCCAGTAGTGGGACGTTAGGAAATGCTATATATGAAGAAAATACTATTATAATATCGAAAGCATTTATGTGTTTGTTACTTGTTCACGCTGAAACGGCTGGAGTGATTTGGATAAAATCTAGTACATACATAGGCTACTATTTTGCACCTAGATTACACACACGACTATGAACGAATGAAACTACCATCTTAATACATCACTTAAAACCTGTTACATGAAACTGAAAAAAAACATGTGTGTATGTACGCACATAAGAAGTTATACTTCTTTGGCGTAAAAGAACAAAAATAGCTTAAGGTTTCATCCCGTAAGTCACAACTCTCTGTTTTTAAAAGGTATGGAGGTAAATTCATCATGTCGCTTTTTGGATGTCGGTGTGCGCGCGTATCGTAAAAATTTTACTATCATATTTTTTTCCAAATGTGCCAAAAGGAGTATAACTACAAAAAATGTATGAACAAACACTTACCACATCCAATAACATTTACAAACGCGTTCCTTCCACTCTCCCTTGCTCTATGCTCGGCTTCTAATAGAGTACACTCAGCTATTATATTCAAACGTTTGTAATACACTTCATTATCAAATATGTGCTCAGTATTGGGACGTTTCACGTATCTGTCCATATAACGTTGATCTTCATCTTTGTCTTGTATTGTTATGTAAGAGGATAATTCTTCATACGTATAACTATGTACCTATAGAAAATGAAATCAAATTCAAATCCCATTAATTAATTAATCTATACTAATATTATAAATAGGAAAGATTTTTTTGTTTGTTTGTTTGTACCGAATAAACTCCGAAACTACTGAACCTATTTAGATTAAATTTGGTATAAACGCGAAAGTTTCGATGGATGAATGTTTGTTACTCAATCACGCCAGAACAGCTGAACGGATTTGGAAAAAAATTGGCACAGAGATAAATTATAATTTGGAATAGCACATAGGTTACTTTTTATCCCAGAAAAATATATGGTTACCGTGGGATAATTTTGTTTTTGTTCTTCACTAGCAACCCGAGCAAAGCGATGGTGAGTCGGTAGTTAAATTAATCTATACATATAATAAAATTGTAACGAAGCCAAATCTGTACATTAAATATTTTTTGGAAACTCTTATTGAAATAGACATTATTATCGATACAGAGGCCCAATCTATAATTTTTAAATTTTTGTCTGTCTGCCTGTCTGTCTGTCGGTTACCGCATCACGGAAAAACCACTGGAGAGATTTTGATGAAATCTGGTATGGTGATAGCTATTTATTTGGGTCAACATATAGGATACTCTTCACCGCGGGAAAATGTCTCATTTCTGAGAAAAAATACGAAACTGCAATGTAAGAGTATACTAATATGTAAAACCTAAGGATTAGGTTTTTGGTCATCTGAACGCGGGCAGAGCCGCGGGCAGTGCTAGTGTTTAATAAATTACACACAAAACACCATGTACATTACCTGATAAAACTCCGACCACATTTGCCTCCACATATGTCTTGCGGACTGATTGTTCCTCACATATGTAGTTTTCAATACATTGAGACACGTGGTAGGGGTCACTTCTTCCCCGTACCCGTGTTCTAGAGAGTTCTGGTGTTCGGTTATCAATATGTCCTCATAGTCCATTTTACCACGACGTTCGAAACGTGGACCAATAAGACCTTGTTAAATTGGATAGATATTATATAACAGGTTTTAATATAGTATGTGCTTAAAGTACAATGAAACAAAACCATCTTTTCGAATTTTTTCGAGGATTTGTTTTGATTTTTGGTGCCCGACGTATCGAATGCTTTACAGCAATCATGGTCACGGGAGAGACTGAGGTTTTAGACGTCTCAAATGTTATTATATAGGTACTGTCTGTAACAACTATATATAATGACCTTTGAAGTTTGTAATGTGTGTATGTTTGTTAGTTGTTACTACCTACTTTACAGATAGATCTGGATAGACTCATACTGTTAAGCTGTTATGGGCGAAGCAAAGCCAGGGTAAATCGATAGTATTTTATATAAATATATATATATATAATATATAATCTTCAATATTCCAATATTCAATTATTGTGTTTTTAATCGGCTTGACCGATTTTAAAAAAAAATTGTGGGCTTATGGCACCATTGGATGGTTGTTAGCTACAGTTAGACCCGTTAGATGTTGTTGAGAACCATTCTTTTTTTTTACTATACTTATATTATATTTTTTTTGGGTTTCTTTCATTAAAAAAATATCAATCCCAAATTACTACTTAGATAAGTTGCCTAAAAAAACACAAACAAAATTGAAATTTGGAAAGGTTAGCAACTGTCTTAGCACAGAGTAATAATAATAATCTGTACCCAACTGCCACACTTTGAAGCCGAAGAAAAGAAATGAGAAAATTGAATAAATTACTCTTTTGATGTTTTCTTACCAATTATAACAGCGTCGTCTTCAGCATTATCCTCATTGATAACACCACTGTTACGTCTCTCCCCATCATTAATACATTCAGTGTATCCACTTACATACACCATAGCTGAGAGCTTCATCTCGTCATAGCTCAGACAGTTTTCTAATATCAAAGGTGGTTTTTGGTGTATGGTGCCTACTTGTTCCCAACCTTCTTCACTGAAAAAGGAGTATATTTTTTGTTTTGTTTTTAATTTGATATATTTTTTATAAAAAATTTTTTGATAAAAGATTTGAATATAAAAAAATATTGATAATGTTTAAGTATAAAATTATTATAATGGAAAATTTAAATGTTTTTTTAAGCAAATGAAAATAGAAATAAAAATTATAATACGTATATAATGTGTTAACTAGCTTTTAAATACAGATTTATTTTTGATACAATAAAAAATAATAAAACCACTTATATAAAATTTAATAATATTGAACTTTTTGGATCCCCATCACAGCAGACGACGTGGTAGGCCCAGATGGAGATGGCGGAATGTGTTGGACGCCTTTCATAGATACTGGTTTATTATGGCGAAAGATAGGGAGCAATGGAAGAAGAGTATAGAGGTCTTTACACTGCAGTGGGACACTACAGGCATTATATTATTATAAAAAACGTGTGAGTGTGTGCAATTCACACATAGTCGAAGTGAAATTTTAGAAAAGTAACCCACGAGAGAATGAGATGAATATAGAGTATCAGGAGTAGGATAATTATAAGGTTTATTTTTTTATAATATTTTTACCAAGTTTAAAAGTTATTCTACATTTTATTTGACATAAATATACATTACATATTATTCAGTAATTAATTTTATTATTATTCACTTCCTGTGTAATGTATTCTATCTCAAATAATTAAATAAGACATATTAGGCATATTAAAATCATATATTTATAGAATATCACATAATGAAAGAAAATATATTTTATATTTGTCAGACAATAACAACGGTTACCATGGCAACATGGAAACATACTCTAACTCATACTCTCGCTGGCTTAATCCTATATATTTATGTGGTTGACTCTTTCTAGTATCGCATTTTTGTTTTATCGAGTATCGAATCACAGCAATTCTAAAGAAGTTTCACTTCAATAATAATAATAAGAAATGATCTCTCATTTTCTACTCACTCTTGTTCTCCACTTAACAACAAATATTCATCATTAGGATTCATAAAAGACACGGCTCGTTTTTTCAACAGCCTCTCTATCAATTCTGGTACTGTCATATCTTTGTACAATGTCTTTTCAATGTTTGAGCCGAATTCTCTAAAAAAATGGAAAGTAGTTAAGATATATTTAAATTAACTTAATATTAGTGCTATAAATAAATATAATTTATTGCTGTAATTCATTCATAATATAATTTTAAACATTTTTAAGATAGTTATCAGGGCAGTTGGCAAACAAATATCAAATTTTAATTTAATGTTTTAAATATTTTTGTAAAACCTTGATTGATATATTTAATGATTTACTAAACATCAACATATATATGTATATAAAAATCGATGATGTGTTTGTATGTTCCCTTTGGACTCCAAACTGGCTGGAGCGATTTTGATGAAGCAAACTTCAGATTAGCACAGTGGGTGAATCTGTGAAGCTTGGTAGCAAACGGAAGTTTGAACATGAACCAAACTATGAGTACTGCTACTATGATATAAAAGTATGAAATAAATAACATGCACTGGCCCTTTTATTTTGTGGAAATCAGAGGGCCAAAAAGAAAATTTTATAGAGAGTAGTTTTATCGCAGTGGAGTTATCTTTAATAAAGTCCTTTTTTTAAATAAGCATAGTTTTATTTATTTCAATTTACAATTTATTAACACAACCTGACACATTTATTTTTACCGACATCTATCAAAATTATATTCTTATATTTAAATTTTATTGCCAGACAGTATTCTCTATGACACTCCCCCTCACGAAGATCTTGGGGTGTCACCTCAGGTCTGAGTGACCCTTATCATCTTCAGCAGTTTTATTAACCTTGGCTGGGTTAAGGCCTTTGTTAAAAGATCTGCCTCCATATTGTCTGTGTCCTTATAATGGATTGTTATTAGTTTCTTTTGGACACAGTCTCTTATAAAGTGTTCCCTTATGCTTATATGCTTTGATCTTTTTCCAGTCATTAAATTGTTGGCTAACTTCTGTGCAGCTAAATTATCGTTGTAGATTGGTACAGCTTGTGTAGTCACTCCAATATCTTCCAAAAGCTGTTTTAAGTGTAGCGCTTCCTTTGCGGCTTCAGTCATTGCCATATATTCTGCCTCAGCAGTTGACAAAGCTACAACTCGTTGCTTCTTTGTAGCATAACTTATTAGACCACCTCCATACTTGAAGATGTAACCCGTATATGAACGACGGTCAATGGTACATGCTGCCCAATCAGCATCAGCCATTCCTACTAATGCACTTCCTGTTTTACTGTATCTGATGCTAACATTCTTCGTACCTTTTAAATAACGCAAAACCCTTTTTGCTGCTTGCCAATGCGTTTTTCCAAAACAAGTATTATATTGGCTCAAATAACTTACTGTAAACATAATATCTGGTCTCGTAGCTATAGCCAGATACATCAAAGAACCAATCAATGCCTGGTATGGTATGTTCTCCATTTCTTCTGCTTTTTGTGCTCTTTCCAATTTTAAACCTGTTTCCATCGGCGTTGAAACCGGCTTACATTCGCCCATGTTAAATTTTTCTATTAAGTTTTCAATATAACTTGTCTGTGACAACCTCATTTCTCCCCCTACATGGGTGAATTGTATGCCAAGGCAATGATGTAGCGAACCCATATCTCTTAATTGAAAAGCTTTTTGTAATTTCATTTTGACCTCTTTTAACAAATTTTCTGATTTATATGCCAGTATTAAATCGTCCACATAAATGTTTGCTAATAGCTTTTCACCTTCTTTTTCTAAAATATATAAGCAAGGATCTGCTGTAGAGTTCTTAAATCCGATTTCCATCAATTTATTATGTAACTTCAAGAACCATTGTCGTCCTGCTTGTTTCAACCCATAAATGGCTTTATTTAATTTACATATCCCATTATTTTTATATCTATTTATATCTAATAGCATTTCTTTTGTTTTTCTTATTAATTCTTTATCTTTTCCATTTGCTATTATCATTTTTAAGTATTTATCCAAATTTTTCGGCATCTTCATGTAAATTTGTTCGTCTATATCGCCGTTTAAAAATGCAGTACACACATCTAGTTGGGATAACTTCATGTCATTTTCAATCGCATGTGCAATGAGTAGCCTAATAGTACTCATTTTTGCAACAGGTGCAAATGTTTCTGTGTAATCAATACCTTCTCTCTGATTAAATCCACGCGCTACAAGTCGTGCCTTTCGTCTATCTATTTGTCCTAGTGCATTATATTTATATTTCAAAATCATTTTATTATCTATTAAATTTTTGCTTTCGTTCTTGTGTACAACTGTCCAAGTATTGTTTTTAAGATGAGATTCTATCTCGTTTATTATTGCATCTTCCCATTCATCACTGTTTTCATCTATTTCACAGAGGAATGATTGCTCAGCATCCATCTCATAATCTTGATGCCATGCTGGTGGTTTTCTCTGTCTTTTTATACTATTAGTCGTTGCTTCGACTTCATTATCTGTACACATGTCATTATTTATTTCATCTATTTCTGTAGTTGCATCTAGGAATAATTCATCATTGTCAAAATCATGTTCTGACCCATTTCCTTCATTTTCTATTAATTTATCATTGTTTTCTTCATTATGTTCTTCTGGAAAAAATATAACTTCTACTTCCTTTTTATCAATTTCTTTTTGATTTTCTTCTTCTTTCATCTCGTTCTCATAAAACATTTTATCTAATACTTTAACATTTCTGCTGATTATCACCTTGTCTGTTTTCGGGTTGAATATCCGGTACGCCTTATGATTTTCGGAATATCCGATGAAAATTCCAGCTGTTGCTCTGGCTTTAAATTTTCCATTTTTCTTTCCTTTATTTAATACGAATGCTTTAGCCCCAAATATGTGAAAATGCCTCACAGATGGTACTTTCTTTACCCATTTTTCAAACGGAGTCGCATTATCAATGCTGCTGCAAGGACTTCGATTCGCCAAGTAGTTAGCTGTACTAATTGCTTCAGCCCAAAAATCTTCTTTCATATTAGCGTCTATCAGCATGCATCTAGCTTTATCAAGCAATGTTCTATTTTTTCTTTCTGCTAATCCATTTTGTTCTGGCGTATATGGTGCGGAAAGTCTCCTCTTGATACCTTTGTCTTTTAAGTAATTATCAAATCTTTTGTTTATATACTCTGTCCCATTATCACTTTGTAAATATATTATTTTATTTTTCGTAAATCGTTCAGCCTCGTTTTTAAATTCTATAAATTTTGATAGGGCTTCATCTTTAGTTTTCATTGTATATACTCGTGTATATCTCGAATTATCATCTGTGAATGTGATGAAATATTTTGAACCTCCCTTAGATGGCTGTCTCATGGGACCACATACATCAGTATGTACAATTTCTAATCTATGATTTGTCCGTTGCTCATTCTTACATGTATTAAACGGTAGTTTCTTTGCCTTACCTTTAGCACAGACTACACAATCTCTAACTGTATCAGATTTATTAAATTCTAAGCCTTCCATACTTTTCTTATCAAGAGCTATTCTCATTTGCCTCTCATTAAGGTGTGCTAGTTTTCTATGCCATAGTTGCATTTTATTTGTTTCACAATAGTTGGATTTCTCTTCTAAATTTTCTTTAACGTAGTATAAACCATCTTCATTTCTTTCTGCTTTTAACAGAATTTGACCATTTCGCATTACGCTTGCTTGTTGCTTCTTAAATAAAACTGTTGCACCTTTATCTGTCATTTTTCCTACTGACATAAGATTTGTAGTCAGCGACGGTACATACAAGGCTTCAGTCAGTTGTAGACCAGGTATTTCCTTTATGTTCAGTTTCACTGAACCTCGACCTTCAATTTGTGCTGTACAGTTCTCTGAAGCTAACCTTATAGTTTTATAGTCTTCTTTTTCTACATTATGGAATCTTTCCAATTCATGAGTCATATGTGACGTGCATCCACTATCAAGACACCATTTTCTGGCTTTTTCTTTATTATTATTAGCATTTAGACATGTTTCTATGGAATAATTCGCACTGCTTTTAGTTTTGTTCACTTTTGACCAGCATTCATTCGCTTTATGCCCCTTTTTATGACATTTGTAGCATTCAGTAATATATTTCTTATTTTTTCTTTGCTGCTTGCTGTACAGTACCTCTTGTTCTGAGTTCCCATCAGTTGGAGTAGCCATATTTTTTCGTGCTTCAGCTTCCTCAATGATTTTTATTTTCAGGCTATCTGGATTTGGTAAATCATCTCTAGATTCTATGGCTATGCGAAAATTTTCAAAAGATTGTGGTAAACTATATAGCAGCATTATACTTAATAAATCTTTATTAATTATTATATCCATGTCGGCTAGTTTATCGACAATATCCATAAATTTGTTTAAATGATCAACTATGCTGTCATTGTCTTTCATTTTTCTTAATATCAATTCTTTTAACAGGGTTGCTTTTCTAGCGGGACCTTTACTATTATATATATTTTCAAGCGTATCCCAGACTTCTTTACTTGTTTGACAATTTTTTACTTGTTTTAGTTCGCTTGGAGATATAATAAGAAATAATTCAGCTAATGCTAACCCATCTTTTTCTATATATTTGCTCAGTTCGTCGCCTTCGCTTATTGGCTTCTTAATTTTATTAGAAACATAGTTCCAAAGACCAAGTTTCAACAACAGAGCTCTTGCATGAATTCTCCATGTGTCGTAATTTTCTCTTTTTAATGGCTCTATGTGCACATGATGGCTCATCTTTCTCTTTTTCAATATACGATTTCTCGCGTTTACGCACGGCCCATAACCTTTTATAGAGAGTAGTTTTATCGCAGTGGAGTTATCTTTAATAAAGTCCTTTTTTTAAATAAGCATAGTTTTATTTATTTCAATTTACAATTTATTAACACAACCTGACACATTTATTTTTACCGACATCTATCAAAATTATATTCTTATATTTAAATTTTATTGCCAGACAGTATTCTCTATGACAGAAAAGTTATAATTTGTATTTACAGATTTTCACTCAATTCAAGATCCATCCATCTATGTTTTTTGCATTGAAATGTTGCATTGTTACAAATTGATTTTATTTATGAATTTATATAAAATATATTTTACCAATATCAAAATCTTAGCTCAATTTCAATGAAGACTTAACTCATATGAACTTTTATTAAATAATTTCTTACCTTTTGTAGATTAGAAAATGTGTCATCAAAAGTAATACTCTTTCATGTATTAAAGGATATGTAGACGTAACATTCCTTTTTAACTTTTCAAGTGATTTACGAACTTTTAACTTTTCCAACCTAAGCATAAATAATGTTAAAAAAATCATTTAAATATCTGTTATGTAAATATAATAGAAATTATTATATTATATAAAAAAATGTTTGATATGTTTAACATGAAAAGATAATCAAATAATTTAAAAATTAAATAAAAGGTAAAGTCTACCTGACTGTTTCTATAGGAAATGGTATAGGAAATGCTTTGCTCTTTTTAATGATTTCCTCTAGATCATCAGAAAGTTTGAAAGTGGGCAAATCTATGCACTGTCGTAATAATTCATTTGTTTCTTTACCCATACTTGGATAACACCAATCTGGCTTACACCTAAAAATACAACAAATTATTTTCCTTCATACTTTTATTTTGAAGTAAAAACAATATATAAAATATTATTTCAATGGTATACACATTCTTATAGTTTTACAGCCTTAAAATATTATTTAGATTTAGATAATAATCAATACTTATCCTTCATTACCTATCCACTGAAATTTTACTTAATATTTTTTGTAATAAACTTTATTTTTTTGTCACATTTTATCACACTAGTTTATCACAATGAAAAAAGACATCTAAAAATTTCAATGGTTATGCCAATTTATTATTAGTCATAATTCAACATAATTATAATGTTTATTAAATATAGAATAGCATAAACAAATATAATATTTTCATTAATAAGAATTTAAGAAACAATAATTGTCATAAATACCTTTTAAAAATTAAAGACACTTACCAAGAAATATTTTGAAAATGTCGTAAAATATCCATTTTTTTCGATTGTACCTATAATTAATTTATTAAATCATAACTAGCTTAGGAATAACGTAGGTATAAAATGCGGATAATCCTAATCAACGGCTTTGCAATATACGTTTATTATATGTTATAAAATGCACTACTTAACTACTTGTCTAGAAATTATGCAATATGTTAAAAAAAACTTTTTATATTGCATGAAAGATACTTCTTTATAAATTATTTTAACTATTACTTGATCAAAATATCCGACTTCTCTATATTTGATAATAGAAAACTATAAAGCAAGTCGCAATTCTCAATAATGCAAATGGGCAAATCTTAACTAAATCTGTCAATGTCAATCAGAGCTGCCAAGTAAGAGTCGTTAATTTACCCGACCAATAAACCTCTAAATTCCCGGTTTATCATGAGCATAATACCCAAAAATAGTTTTTTTTTAAATAATAAGCTTATGTTTTATATAGAATAAAAGAAAGTACTAATGCTAGAAAAAGAAGTCATTGTAATCAGTTCCCAATTAAACAGCTTTAAATTATTGATTCAAACATAAAAAAATATATTTAAATATCAAATTAATAAGTTTCCGCTAGTACCTACTAGGCTTAGTAGAGCCAGAAGAAGACCATAATATGGTTCGCAAAATTTGAACCGGACTTGAATTTGAACGGATACCTTCCCAATCCCGCACGGCCAATATTGCAACAACTGTATCTGTATTCAATGAGTTTCGATGAGCTGTTTTAATGTTTTTTCAAAATAAACTGTTATTATAATGCTTCCAGCTAAACTAAAATACCCGCATTTCCCCCGCTCAATCAAATACCCGACAAATTACCCGCCATCAAAAAATTGCCTAGAATTACCATATGTCAGCTAAATTTATACATAAGATTTTATATATTATTTTCTATCTATGAATAAATAAATGTAATAATGAAATATTACTCTTTACAAATATTTCAATAAAACTAAGACAATAATTACTACTACCACAACGACTCTTTGTAAGGAAAACTCCCAAGAAGTCACAATATGATAATATAAGTAACATTATGGGAATTAAAAAAATACTAGTCGCACCATGAATAGCTTACAATTAGTTACTGGCAACATTATAAGACAGGAAATAGATCATCAGAAATGACCGCTTCCGATATACGTTGGATAATTTTTCGTAACGGTTTAAATATTGTGAGAATATGAATCATGACTCATACAGATTTCTCGTGCAAACTAGTTCACTCTATTATTTTAATATATGTTTAACGTTGGGATTTATAATAATATTCTTTTAAAATGGCTACTTTACCTAATTTTAATAATATATCTTGGTGAGTATATGTTTTTATTTATCTTATTCAGTATTATATTTTAATTATGAATTGTAATTTTTTTTATTATCGAACAGATGAACCATCTACTTTTTTCTTAGAAGACTGTTTTCTGAGCTAACGACTGCAGCTTGCACTTTGCTGCCTACTATTTACTCTATTATCTATGGATACTAGCGATGATACTTCGGCGTATTTAGCGTGAACGAAACTAGACCGTTCATTTTATTTCATCAACTAGTCGATCGACTAGTTCAAATCGTGGACTATAGTTCACATTCCGCTTCCGACTTCAATGTAGTTGTAGACGCTAGACTGTAGACAGTCTATTCTATCTCTACTAGTTTATGTTGCAAGACGGATCTATTCGTCGCGACCGCCGTGGTTAGATTAGACTTGGTTAATTCTTAATGATGACATTTTATACTGAATAAATTAATAATCTTAAAATTACCGCGCTCATCAAAATATTATCACTTGCAAAAAATTGCAACTATAATTATGGGCTATGGCATTTTGTTTCTACAATGACCACGATAATAACAATACTATAATAGGCCTATCTCACTCTAAAGCTCGCATTCAAATATCAAACAACTGTTATTAAACATTAGAATTGAAATTAGTTTACATTCTGTTTTAAACGGACGATAAACGAACTCCTTGTTTACGTCTGTCTTAGTCTATGAAATGAACTAGTCTATTCGAAAAACGTGATCACTACTGATCAGTCGAACCGTCGACGTACCGTCGACCGGTTGATTGAACTAGTCCGTTCATTGAACGCCCATCGCTAATGGATACTATGACCTACTTCTCTTTTAAATTTTAATGTAGTTTTTCCACTTGCCGGTATCTTCCTTTAATGACTTTTTTATTTCCCTAGTTCTAGTACCGGTTTTGATACCTAAAGACAGAAGTTCAAAGTACTACTAAGCTTTCACTTAACAGTAAAAGCTCTTTTTATTACTTTACCGTTTGAGTTTCCTTGAATATATCCCATATAGATATATTCGTATATTTTGACTATAGGTAAAGTAAATAGTAACTTTGTCGGTCACTATTTATAACACTGTATTTTTAAATTATACTGTAATTTTTAATTCGATTTCATTGTCAGTAAATCCTACATATGAACCTCTGCTATTAGTATTAATATTAATGCATTTTCTAAGAATTACAAAACAATTGCGTTCGTTTGATCCTTTGCTGTATTGTTATTACTAAAACTTTAATTATGCAATTAATATGTCGGATATTTAAGGATTTATTCTATAAATCGTACACTTTAGAAACACGATTACTCGTAGTTTCCTCGATAGAAAAAAAAAACCCAAAATGATATCTAAAAAACAAAATAAACCCTTAGTGCGGCATAAATAATTTAAGGAAGTTTATCAGGTTTTTAATAATAACAAAACTATACTTTTTCTATAACGTATACACTTTACTTACATTTTCAAAATGTGCATTTGTTTTAATAATACGAAGGAAATACGTAAATTCGCATGCGTTCCGTTCATCCTAGTCACCCCCCGTCCCCTTGTCCGCTGTCCTACTAAAATAAAAAACTCGGTACCCTCTTATCGCTAGGACGACCTGTCACAGGGACTCTTGATTGTCATTTATGCAGAGTACTATGAGGCGACTCTTATTCATCAAATAAGATCCGAACACGAGATCCTCTGACCATACAGGTGTGCTGCGCGGGATATCGTAGAATCACTAGCGTTTTCGCAACATCGCCCGCCCCCACAGACTAGCCTGAACAACGTAAATTAGAAAGCTCCGGATTCGCGGAGTCTGACTAATAGATAGTACATAACTTGCTCCCACATTAGCTGCTTTAGGGTGGCGGAAGAAGTTGCACTCATAAGCGCCTCTTCGCAACCAATGACGATGATATGACCGCTAAAGCAGTAGCTTCGCGTTAAGTTGTATGTCATGGTAACATAAGTCCTAACCAAGCTCGACAGGAAGGATAGATTAGCTACCTAGGCTAGCCACTATCGCCGCCAGGCTGTACTATATTCTTTATTGCAAGAAATTATCTTCACAGGTGCGAAGAAATTTGGCGCTTTCCAAATATGAATGATAAAAATTTTATTGATATGCTTCTTCAATGTATGGACATATCTAGTGCAAAACTTCCATATAATATAGAAGAATTGATGAAGAAAAGTGATGCTTTTCCTATACCATTTCCCTTAGAAGCTGTTAGGTTAGTCCTTTATAATATTATTTTTGATTTTATTTTAATTAAATGCAGAATAAATATTTTTTTATATATTTTTAGGGTGAAAACATTAAAGAAACGGGTACCATTAAATAAACTAAAGAGAAATATTATATCTACGTATTGTATAATACACGAAAGAGTTTTAGTTTTGATGACACTATTTCTTACTTATAAAAGGTAAAAAGCTAATTAATTAAGAATTGCTAGTTCATGCAGTTATTAAGTGGATTATATCTTATTACTTTTTATTCTTTAGGGATTACGGCTCAGATATGGAAAAACTATACTATAAGAACATGACGGTGCCACAATTTTTAAACAGAATACTATTAAAGAGATCCGCATTTTTCTTAGGATCACAAGATTGGTATCTATTACTTACTGGTGAAAAGGGGTAAGAATATTCATAGAAATAGTTTCGTGTGTCTATAAAAAATAGTCTTATGTAATTCCATATCGTCCATGCATTATGAAATACATTTTCCGTTTTGTTTTAGTTAGTTTACTTGTAGTAGCTTTTAATAAAAAAATTAATCAGTAATTTAGTTTAAATAGTAAAATGTTCACATACTAGCATTGCACGCGGCTCCGCCCGCGTTCGGATGACCAAAAACCAAAATCTTAGGTTTTACATATTACTATACTCTTACATTGCTGTTTTTGTATTTTTCTCACAAATAAGAGATTTTCCCGCGGTAAAAAGTATCCTGTATATTGACCCGGATAACCAGCTATCACCATACCAAATTTCATCAAAATCCCTTCAGTGGTTTTTCTGCAATGCAGTAACAGACAGACAGATAAAAATCCTAAAAATCATACATTCAGCCTCTGTATCGATAATAATGTTTATTTCAATAAGATTTTCCAAAAAATATCTAATGTACAGATTCGGCTTAGTTACAATTTTATTATATTTATAGATGAGTGTTTCACATATAAATATATACATGTCATTACAAGAATTGCAAATATATAAAATAATCTACTAAATTATTGCAGAATTAGTAACTGGGAAAATGTGGGTACGTCAACGGAAAAGCATCCTCTTGTACTAGAGAATTGCTTAAGTTATGATGAGATGAAACTTTCAGCCATGGTATATGTCAGCGGGTACACGGAATGTATAAACGACGGAAATAGACAAAACAATGGTATTGTTGCCGAAAATAATATAGAAGAGGAAGCGGTTGTTATAGGTTTATAAATTTTATCTTATTTAATTTAAAAACGGAATTTATGACATTTTAAAAATTGTAAAATATACCGCACGACTTTTCCTAAATAACAATAGTGCTTAGTTTTGCCGGTCTTACAAAAAAAAATTTTTATTATTTTGGTATATAGTCATTAATTCCTGTAAATCATTACTTCACTATATTTTTAGGTTTAATTGGCCCCCGGTTCCTTCGGCGCACAAAAATGGATTACCAAGACATAATTATAGCCGAAAACCAAGATGCTAATGACAGTTATTTCAGTAATATTTTTAAAAAGCAAGATGCAACCCAAAATTTAACTGAACAATCTGATGATGGACTAAGACAAATATGGTCTGAATTTTATCAAGTATGGTCTTAAAAAAAAATTACACTGTTCTATACTGTTCTATTTCTTAAATTAAAAGTTATTTTTGATTTTTGTTTGCAGAGCCCAATCTTAGATTTCAATGACTTACATGCACGTAATACTCGTATAGCCGATAGCAATAGTGCTAACTATACGAATAGATTCAGATATGTACCAGGATCAAATAACACAGAAATATTTGATAATCAAATTTATTATAGAAGAATTAGTATTATAGCGGAAACAGGATTGATTGAAGCTGAGTCTAGGGCCAAAGAAAGTGGAAGAAATGCATTCATTAACGTAATTGGTTGTGGTAAGTATTGTGATAGTTAATTTTATATATATTTATCATAAACTAGCGGTTCACCCTCTAGAAAAACAAAAACAAATCTATCCCTCAGGAACCGTATATTTTTCTGGGATAAAAAGTAGTCTGTGTTATTCCAGACTACTATTATAATAAAATCTATCTCTATGCCAAATTTCATCCAGATCCATTCAGCCGTTCTAGCGTGAAAGAGTATCAAACATCCATACATACTCACAAGCTTTCACATTTATAATATGTATTAGAATAGATGATTCTCAGACTAAAAACATAAGTTAGACTACACTGTGGTCAAAGCCTGAATTGATGGTGTAGGTGCGTTTACATGATACAAATATGGAACCCTGTAGGACCTACCTGTATTGTTTAGGGGCTGGAATTGAAGCCTTTGCCTCTCTTTTATTGCTTTACATGGTATGGTGATATAAGCTTTATAAAAAATAATAATCAACCTACCATTTGATTCTCCAGGTCTCGGTGTGTGGATGATATCTCCTCATCAATCAGACATTTACATATTAACATTTATTGAGCGAGCGCGTACTTTTTTGAATATAGGCTTACTGGATCACATAACAGATATAAACTTTGCGTTTATCCAACCTAGTGCCAATATAGAAGGTAATTATTATGTGACTATGTTTTTCATCTTTTATTTATTACAGTAAATTTTTAAATAGTAAAAATAATTTAATATTATGTTTTTTAAGGCATGTTTACTCATGTAATAAACTTGGATAATCAGTATGAAGTAAGACAAGTCTTTCTTGAAAGCGAAACACATCCAAATGGTGAGTGTTTCTTATTTATGCACGCTCTATTCCATTTCTAGATGTTTTAATATATAATTACATGTTTAAAATAACTTAATTTCACTACTTTTTGAAACCTTACACTTCATTACAAAAAAGTATGGAGACTATCATAATTGTTCTGTTGCAGGTGGCATAAACATACAGATGGCAAACCGACAGCCATCATCAAAGCTCACTGGTGAACATGAGGGGAAATTACTCGTTATTATCTATCCTGGAGATAGTAATGCTCTCCCTGGGAATGAATTTTGGTACCTTTTTCTTTTGCAATCAAATATTTCGAATGAACATTATTATGTTATCATATTTAATACGAACTACCAAACGACCATTAAATATTTTTTTACAGAATAAAATCTAACCTTTATCGATATACTAATTGGTTATATTACTTTTAGGTTTGAAAGTTTCAATACATCAGGGGGTGCAGCAGCCGCATGTTCTACTCAAATATCTGAATTACACAACGCACACATAAACCCCGCAGTTAGTGGATATAACGTACGTGTTATTGGAAGAGAAGGTATTAAAAGTTTGTCTGAATATTGTCTTGATTTAGGTATAAATGACAGACAGAGTGATAATACTGAAGATGCATAAAATTTATGTATATTTTATGGAATAAAATATTCAAGTAAAATTATTTGTTATTTAATTTCTTTTTTTTTAACCTAATAAGATACGTTGGGGTAAGATCGACACTAGGGTAAGATCGTACAAAGTTAATATCCGGCAAACCCGGCATATTTTTTAAATTGTCGCAACATATTTCACAACGTCGCGTCTTGTTGTTCCGCTTCTATCCTTAGTGCCCGTCAGTCCAGCAGGTTAGACATGCACTACACGCAAATGAACGAATCATGGTAATTTTTACAAATTTTGCAAAATTACCATGTTTTGTTCCCCCCTTAATTTAAATTACGTGTCTTAGCGGAAATTTAGCCTGTTTTATTATTGTTTCGTCGGAATACTAAGTTTTTAGACGTGATATTTAGATAAAATTGCTCCAAAGAAGTCTAGGATTGATGTAAACCAAGATCCGTTCTTCCCTTCTTACTGGTAAAGATCGGTGACAACTGATCGATCTTTACCTATTACTAAAGTATAAGTGATTGTCAAACATTTATTATTTTTTGTAATAATTATTTGTCGAATTCAAAAAATATTTTTGGATGGTTTGTTTCCTCTTAAAATAATACAATCATTGTTGAAAAAAACTAAGCCACTCACACATTTATTGTTACTGTAAAGATTCTTTACATACTTAACATTATTTATCATTATCTGTAAGGTAGTTATATGTATAATTATCTCTTTAATGTTTAACTTTTATTTTTATGTTTGTTTCAATACCTCCGAGATTAGAGCAGATGAATCGTTAATACAATCTGGAACTATGAATTTTTCTGCTCTAAAGAGGACTCATCGCAACAAGTTAACATTTTTTTTGAAGAATCGCTTTTAAAAAAAGTTACATAGCATCCTCAAGAAAAGATTGCCGTCAATTTGAGACGTATATCAAAAGGTGCAGAAGTCATTACTGAAACTCTACTAATAAAACGAGAAGAGAGAGAAAGTAATAAACAAAAAAATAGAAAGAAAAACCCATGCCACAAAGAAGAAACAAAAATAATAGCAGTCTAAAAAATATTAACAATACTACACAACCAGGGCCATCTCAGTCATCAAATTTTATTACGAAAAAGAAAGGAAAAAGATATAGAGGAGAATTGTCGGCCTGGCAAAAAAATCTTACTTCCAAGGATGACTAACGTGTTTCTAGTGATTTAAATATATAAATATTTAATTTTTATAATTATAATTAATTTTTATTTTTTATTTATTTTTTATATATAATGATAAAATTTTCGGCAGTTACAAATGATCCTAAAAATACCTAGCTCTAAATAAATACTTTAACTGAAAACATTTGTCTTGCTTTATGTACTAAAAAACTAATTTACTTTACCTGCTAATCAACTTGAACACAAATTATATAATTTTATTTCATTTTTTTTAAATAAACAATCCTTGATGTAGTAAAAATTTAAATTTATCCGGTTTTTTTCATGCCTTAGGTAATCATTTATTACGACATGACAAAGTTTGAGAAACACAAAATCACCAAATCTCGGTATCTGGGGTAACATCAGATGCCCTGAACTAAAAAAAAATATTAAAATAATAGGAATAATATATATTCTTTATTGCACAAATAACTTATAAGAAAGAGAAAGTGCAGAAAAAAAAATTAGTAAAGTATATAAGTATGACACATAAATAAAAATATACATGTTTTAATTATATACATCTATACATATAATAAAATTGTAACTAATCCAAATCTATGCATTAAATTTATTTGGAAAATCTTATTGAAATAGACATTATCGATACAGAAGCCGAATCTATAGTTTTTAGAATTTTTGTCTGTCCGTTACCGCATCACGGAAAAACCACTGGAGGGATTTTGATGAAATTTGGTATGATGATAGCTGGTGATCCGGGTCAATATATAGGATACATTTTACCGCGGGAAAATATCTCATTTCTCCTGGTACTGCTAGTATAATATAAACATATAATCTAATACATACCAAAACTATATAAATATATACATACAGACAAATATATACATACATATAAATATGTACATAAACACATATGTAAATAAATGCTAAACAGAAAAATATATTGTTCAAGATTGAGCTAAAAAATGCTTTTTTATGTTCGTTTTAAGCGCAGCTGTAGAAGGGCTCTCCTGTACGATTTTAGAAAGTTTATTCCATAACACTGCAGCACGTACCGAGGCAGAGTTTTGTAAGAACATGATGTTACTTCTCGGTATCTCAAGCATCGATGTGTTGCAGGGCCGCTTGGAATGTGTAGGAGTCGGAAGGAGGTTGAACCGGGAACGAAGGTAGGAAGGAAAATTGTGATTATGAAGAATATTAAACAGAAACAAAAGGATGTGCATATCACGGCGAAGGCGGAAGGGGAGACATGATCATACTTACGCAGACCATAGATAAAGCGTATGGCATGATTTTGGAGTAATATGTTTTAAGATATTTTTACATAATTTTTTAATATATTTTAAAACGGAAAACATCGAATATATTTCTTTAAGGATTTTATTCTCCACGCACTATAAGCAACTTTAAATCGAAATCCGTTCTTACCCCTTGTTGACAAAATTTGCATAATGGACATCAAAAAATATACTTGTCTTTGGACGCGTATAAAATTAGAACTATTATACTTACGAAAACAGCAAAATTTACAGCTATATAATGTATTTCAATTAAAAAATTAGTCCATATTCTCTTCTTCCATATACATCTCGAGAAAATATTTTTTTCGTCGTACTCTTTCAACTACTCGAAAATCCGTCCGGTATTACTAATTAAGTATTACTAATACCGGACGGATTTTCGAGTAGTTGGAATAGTATATAGTTAATACCGTATTACCCCAACGTTGTAGTTCTTTTTTTAGGTTTAATTTTATTACAATAGAAAAAATTAACCAAACTCCATGACCACTCCATAAATAATCAAAATAGACAAAATTGTTGTGCGTATATGTGATTTTTGTTCAAAATTTTTTATTGCCTCCAGTCCAGCAGTTTAAATAATAAATAGAATTACAGAGTTCCTTTATAAACAATTATTATTAACCATTGAGAGCCCTAATACTTAAATATTAATTTTTTTGTCTATTTGTTACCGTATTATGAGAAAGCTGCTTGATGAAATTAGATAGAACATCGATGGTAAAGCCCCAGGCAATTAATTGTATAGAGTTTTCAAGGAAAAAGGTAGAAAAAAAACGATAAAAACGGTTGGTAATCGTTTCGTGAATAGATTTTATTAATGAGTCCAATATAGAGGCCAGTGTGTACCTATGACAAAATATTAATGAAATGATAGAAATGACGTTTCAGGATTTCCCCTCCCCCAATTTAAATTTGTAAGTGTAAAGTGTGAACAGTGAACTTGATTATTATTTATTATTTATTTGTAGTTTAGAGCTTGGAAGTTGGAACTAGTTTTTATGTTAAATGTACACTATAAACTATAATATAGTATATCTTTAGTCTGTTTCATATACTAATTTTACTGTGTTCTTCATCAGTAATTCTTTTACTGTAAAAGTAACAAGATAAAAATTAAATAAAAAAATATCAAGTTTTTAAATCTTTCATAGTTATAAACTTATTACCGAAACAATGAATTTATTATCTGATTTTCAAAAATATCTATGGTATGTTAAGTATAATTTTATCATAATATCAATTTGTTGTGTAAATTAAATTTTATTTACTTTCTCAATTATACAAATATATTTTATCAGAGAAATAAACATTCCATTATTATAAAAGATGTGCAAATATTCATAAGTACAAAAATTTTAAAACATTTAATTTATAAAATTAATATTTTTGTTTCAGGTGCAAAAAAAATTGGAATCTTTCTAAAATGAGTGATTTTGATAAAGAATTTTTTAAACAAAGTAAAAAAAGGCGTACATCAACAATACCAGACATTATTGAAAAATTAATTCAACATAGTAAAAGTTTTCCAATACCATTTCCAATAGAAAGCATAAGGTATGTTAAAAAAAGTATACATTTTATAATAATCATGATTATATAGGTATATTGTACTTTTCTACTATTTATCTAAATAATAATAAGTCTAATTTATTAATTAAATAAAAGTAATTAAAAAGCACATGTATTTATGTTTATAGATTAGAAAAGCTCAAAGAAAGCAGACCTATAGAAAGGTTAAAAAGGAATATATTATCAACATACCCTTTAATACATGAGAAAGTTTTTCTATTGATGATTCAATTTCTTAAATACAAGTGGTATGTCATCATCATTTTTTTTAATAATTATTAATATAATTTTTCCATGTATGAGATACTTTTAGACAATATTCTTAATTTGGCTGTTTTTTTAGGCTGAACCTATTGATACGCTACATATGAATAATTTATTATTATTAATACAGTTACTGTATGACTAATATTAGTATTATTAGTTTAGTTATCAACTATTAATAAAACAATATATTTTTATATTTTTGCTTAACAATGAAGATAATTATGGCTATTTACAAATCTAGGGAATCTTAAATAGACCCAAAATATATGGTATTAGGGTTTCTGGGCTTGAAATAAAAAAAGACCTTACAAGAAGGTGGGAGCAAAGCGTATGCTATCCAAGTCAAGCCAGTCATATAATCGAAAATTAAAACTTACAAATAAATCATCTTTTATACAGATGCTCTAATAATAATAAAATAAATACATTAGTCATATATTAACTGGATTTAAGCCGGCCACATAATATAAGATTTTTTCTGTCAGAAAATTTCTGACTCACTTCGGTTCAGAAGTTACTTGGGTTGTGTGTATGTTGTGTTGTTTGGTGGCTTTCACATATATTGTCTGAATATGAACAAATTTCTCACAGATTTTTTATATTATTTACATATATGTAATTTTAGTGAACATGGGTCACATATTGAGAAGGAATTATACAAAGACAAATCAGTGCTTTCCCTTATTGACAGGATATTAAAAAAACGAGCTATAACTTTTGTAGGATCTCATGACAAATATAAATTAATATCTGGTGAAGAAGGGTAAGTAAATTATAAATATTATTAGAATTAAAAATAAGTTTATTCAAGTAAAGCTGTAGATCAGTATCATGTGGTAAAAAAGTATCACCGTCCGGATGACAGTATCCGAATGTAGGACTCAGAAATCCTACCATTTTATTTGTAGGACTATATGAACGTTCAATTTTGCATATTTTTAATAATAAATAATGAAAATATTTATTACTCGGGTTGCCAGCTTTAGACCTATTCATACAAAAGGAGGCACAAGCCTGTATGCACAAAGGTAAAATCCAAGGCAGAACTCATTAGCTCTCACGAAAAATGAGGACTCTACAGGACTCATTGCAAGAAATGCCGCTACTTGGTATGACGACTGATGCCATGTTAATTCGGCACTTATTTGCAAAGTACTATACTGAATTTCCGTCAAGGGAAGACTGGTCTAAAAGCCAGATAATCCATAAAAACGGATCTCTAATCTGGTTCACAGATGGCTCAAAAATAGAAGCAAAGGTTGGCTGTGGGATACATGGAGAGCGACCGAGGTTCAGCAAAAGCATACACCTCGGACAATTTGCCTCTATTTTCCAAGCAGAAGTCTATGCTATTCTAGAATGTGTAGAAGCTAATCTGTCTAAGCACTACACAAATCAAACTATCTATATATATTCAGATAGCCAAGCTGCACTACTAGCGCTGGACTCAAACACAGTCTCATCAAAGCTAGTGGAGCAGTGCATGGACCGACTAAACCTCTTAGCAAAAAGCAACAAAGTAGTGCTAAGATGGGTACCGGGTCATGCAGGGGTAATTTGCAACGAATGTGCCGATAAGCTCGCTAGAGGGGGAGCTCTTGGCATGCAGCAGGGCTCTGAGCCCTCCTGTGGAATACCTAAGAGCCTGGCTCAAAGAACCCTAATGATAGCATGTCTCAGGACTGCGAACAAGGCTTGGACTGAATCAAAGGGAATGAGTCACTCCAAGGCACTAATTAGAGCCTACGACAAAAGGTTCAACAATCTTATGCTAGGGCTAAACAGAAAAACCTTACGAATACTGGTAAGGGCCTTTACTGGACACTGCTGCTTAAATAAGCACATGTTCAACCTGGGGCTGAGCGAAACGCGAACCTGCAGAATTTGTAGGGAGGCAGACGAAACGCCACTTCATCTTCTGTGGGAATGTGGACCGCTCATGCACAAACGCAGTATTCATCTAGGAAAACAATTTCCAAGCCTTAATGAAATAAAAGAGTGCAACCCTAAGAAAATCTTGCAGTTCTTAACATCAGCAGGGTTTAGTGGTTCACTCTAGTACAAATAGCGGCGATTACAATAGACCAGAAATGGTCGCAGTGATACTAAATAGCCGCAAAATAGAAATAAAAAAAATATGAAAATATTATGATGTTATTATTTTAACAAGTTCGTAGAGGAGGATGATTTGATCCAAACTATCCGTTTAGTAGAACATTTTTTTTCTTGGTTTATGTTGGATTATCCTAAGATTAAATTGTTATTTTAAACAATTACAGTTTCGACATGGTGTATCAATCCATAATTGTATCTACCACTATCATACATATTTTCGTAAAAAGTAAGGTTCGGCGTCTCGAGTCTCTACAAAACGTAGCTAGTCGTGAATTTTCAGCTCGATAATAATATTACCTGTGGTGTACTATTGTATTCAGCCCTTTTAAACGTCCTACTTCTGGGCACGGGCCTCCCTTCATTACGAGGGGAATCAGGCCATAGTCCACCACGCTGGCCAAGTGCGGGTTGGCGGACTTCACATGTCTTTCGAAAACTTGCTAGGTTCTCTCAGACATGCAGGTTTCCTCACGATGTTTTCCTTCACCGTTAAGACAAGTGGTCATCATGTTGGAAATGATTCGCACATGAAAATATCAGAGGTGAAATCCCGGGTCTCGGGATTTGAACTCGCTTCACTACTATGAAAAGCGGTAAATAAATCAATATGTTGGGACATTAACCCACAGCACCATCTAGTTCCATGATAAGTTACGAGGCTTGTGTTATTGATTCCAGATAGTTGATACACTATACATAAATACTCGTAACTTATAAATACATATTTACATATATATTATAAATATAAATACCCATGACTGAGTGCAAACATTCGTCCTCATCACACAAATGGATGTCCCCAGCGGGACTCGAGTCCCGCTGAGGAATAGTTCAGATACGTCATTGCATAAATGCATAACATTAGATAAAATTGTGAATCATGCAGTATTACTCAACTTAACTTTAATAAACAACATGGGTTAAACGATAAACATTTTCATATAATATTAGTTTGGATACAGATGACCTAATACTATACTATAATAGATACCAGACGCAAAGTTCTCGAGTGGCGGCCACGTACCGGAAGGCGAAGCGTAGGCATGCCTCCCACAAGATGGACCGACGACTTGGACAAAGTCGCTGGAGCCCACTGGATGCGGATGGCACAAGACCGGTTGTCGTGGACATCTTTGGGGGAGGCCTATGTCCAAGAGTGGACGTGTTTGGACTTATACAATAGATACCATATCCCATATAAATGAACAGTCTTAATACAACCTATTATATAGGTTTTTAATGTTAATGTTTTTTGTTCTGTGGCTTATAGACGTGCCATTTGGGCACAATCTACTTCGCAAATTGGGTTTTAATGCTTGTCGAACTACTTAATTATTTTATAAACAAGTACATATACAATACTAAAGTATGGAAAGTCATTTGTGATATATGAAAATCATGGACGAATTAGAATGAAAACAAATAGTGACTATTTCTAACGGGGTAAAATTCAGGGTTTGGAACCGGTTTAGAATACCGTTTTTTTCGGTAATTTAATGGTTAATTCATCGCTCGTTCTTTAACCTGCTAATGAAAACGAACGGTTCAGTTAACCGAAATAATAATGGTTAACGGTTATTCTTAGAAAAAGGTTGGATTTTGGTTTTAATACCGAAATAAATCGGTTAATTCTTTCATAAGTAAGAAACGTGCATGCATCCTTCTACTAAGTCATTCACCATTAGCAAAGACGCGATAAATATAAACACAAAAAACTAATTTTAACCGGTTAAAGAACGTAACCGGAACCTGAAAACCGTAAAGCCTTTTGGTTTGGGGTCAATAACCTATGTCATTGTATGTAATATGAGGCCTAACAAATTACAGAATAATATTTAAGGTCACCATTACTTTCTCTTTCTTTACTTTTATATATAATATGCATATGTTTGTATGTGTATATATTTGTTACTCAAATTTATGCTGAAATGGCTGGATGGATTTGAATGAAATTTATAACAAAAATAAGCAATGATATGGAGTAACATAAATCCAAGCAAACCGGTGGTAAGTCGCTAGTTATTAAGATAATTTTGTATCGTATCGTTTTCTGTAGCTAATTATAATTATGTTTATGAGATAAAGTGCCGGAGAGAGATACCTATAATTTCTCTACTTCTTTCGATACCCTTTTTACCTTCCCTTTTCAATATCACACGTGTATTACTGTGTAGTAATATTCTGCACACATGATATCGTCTATTCATCTAAATAACCAAAAAAAAAACATATTTTATCTTTTTGCTAGTTATATTCCGCTCACACGAGATCGTCTATCCATACAAATAAAAAAAAAACATTTTATCTATTTTTTATTTATGTGTATTTTAGTGTGGATGGATGGGAAAAGATCGGTACACCAGAACAAAAACCGCCGTTATTACTGGAAGACTGTCTAAGCTACGATGAGATGAAACTATCCGCTATGGTTTATATAAGCGGATACACTGAATGTATCAATATTGGGGAAAGACTTAACAAAGGCATCGTTAATGAAGATAATATAGAAGAAGAGGCTGTTATTATTGGTGAGAATATAAAATTCATATAAATTGTACATAGACATTTTTGTGATCACCTCTTCAAACACGTCATTTTGATACCCCACTCGATTGATTCTTCTCGATTGATTTCGGACGTAAAAATAATTTTTCAAGCCACAAATTGGCGCTTAGGATCCGCCATTTTGACTTTAAATGATATCTATATGCCATATGACATTTGCGTAATCAAGAATCTAACGACGTATGAATCATCAAAATCATAGGGTAGGGAACATAGTGTCGGATATACATACATAGAGGCCAAACACATAACCCTCCTTTGGGCTTCGCCGCAATCGGGTAAAAGGCTGGAGTTAAATTACGCCTCATATACTAGAGATTTTTCCTCGTTTCGCTCAAGTGCGTTGTTAGGTACGTTTTACGTAATAAAAAACGAAGAGAAAAAGTGGGTTTTGAATAATTTAAAGGGGAATTTAAATGTACATAAATAATTGATTTTGAAACTATTTAGTTGATATGGATTAATATCATGATTTTCTAGCTTCCCCATACAAACTTTCATCCCCATTTTCACCCCCTTAAGGGATGATTTCCGGAATAAAAAATATCCAACGTCCATCCAAGGGTCTCAAACTATTTTCTTACCAAACTTCATCTGAAGCGATCCAGTAGTTTTTGAGTTTATTCATTACAAACATACAAAAATACAAATCTTTCCTCTTTATAATATAAGTGTAGATAACTAAAAAAAGATAACCAGTAACCACCTATGCACGCAAATGGTACGCGTAAATGCATTTCCCAACGTAAGAAAAAGTAGGTTCCGATTCTGTATTATATTTGATTGACTAATTTAGATAAAAATCGGCTATATCATATACAGCAGCTATACTCAACCTGCGGCCCGCGGGTCGCATGCGGCAGTATCAAAAATCGCATTATAACATATCTTTGTTAAAAAAGTAACTACATCGTTATCTTGGAATTACGTTTTCATTAAGACATAAATAATTTTTGCTTGCGGCCCTCGACACCATGACTGAAACGTGTTTGTGGCTCCTATAAAAAAAAGATTGCGTATGGCTGATATGATGATGATGTTCTACTAGCCTATTCCGGCCACAGCGGCCAATCTCAATGAGATTAGCCAACTGCGCAGGAGATATTATAGTGTTCAAGTGTACGCGCAGACACAACGTGCACTCTCTATTCCTGTCACTCTCATACTCCGGTGGGGCGACCACTCGACACGACCGGTGAGAGTGTCGGCGCAGGACCGACGGCTTTACGTGCTCTCCGAGGCACGTTTTTTTTTATTTTCAAAAAAATGAATTATTAAAAACATTAACTATTTTTGCATTTTATAAACATTAAAAAAATGAAACTAACGAAACTATCGATCATATAATATCTTTAAAATTGAATTTTTCTTCCATTGCGCCACTACAACGCTTGCAATTTTTGCACGTTCTAATAATTGTGTTAAATGAGTTGTAATCAAATTCTTAATCGATCAAATTTATTAATATTAATTACGCAATGTATTTCTTTAATAAAGTATGCTTATTGAAAAATATATAGTTATCATAATAAAGAATGAAAATGTTTTAACTAAAAATAATTTTAGTTTTTCCATAATATCAGGTTTGATAGGCCCACGTTTCCACCGACGTGGTAAAATGGACTACGAAGACATACTAATTACACCTCAACAGAACTGTCCAGAAAACGGTTACGGAAAAGTTTCTAGAAGCTTCTTTGATATATTCAAGACGAGGAATAATGTACAGAATCGACATGCAAAGAAAGCGTTAAGAGATATGTGGGATGACTTTTATGAGGTAATCTATTTCACCATTTTGTTGTGTTATTATTAGCATGTACGACTGCAGATCGACAAGTCCCGAGTTCGAGTTCCAGGTCGGGTAAAATAGATAATGGGCTTTTATTTTTTATGTCTTTTCGTCACGATATGACGAAAATGCTTTAGTTTTATGGACATTGATTTAGTCAAGTTTTTTTGGAATTTTAGTTTAATATTGATTATAATAAATAAGCCTCCGATCGCTGCTTCGCCTGCAAGAAAATTTAGTACCTAGCTAATGCTTGAAAAAATAATAAATCCATCTGTACACACATCCTCACAATCTTTTAATTAAATGCAAGTACCTGGACGACGAGATTCACTCGATGTTTTTCGAAAATTGCGAGTGTGTGTATTTGTTCTTTCGTCTGTCTTTACGTTGTAACTGTTTTGAAATGGAGGTATTCATTCCCATTATAATCCCTCCACGACCACGGACACGTCGGCGTGTCAGTTAACAATAGATTTCTTAGAATTTTAATTAATTTCTTAGAAATTTACCTGGAGGTGTTAACTGAAGTCGGGATTACAACCAGAATTATCATAGACACCACACGAGCGATGCCACAGTACAAAACTAGTTATAAATCCTCAATAAATTTTATTTCCAGGTAACATCATTATCTTATGAAGATGCGGTATCTCAAATTAAAAGTGACAATGAAGATCAATGTAAAGAAAGATTTGTGTATGTACCAAAAGGAATAAATAAATACATATTCGACAACGAAGTGTACTACAAGAGGCTCTGTATCATCGCGGAGAGCATTTTCATCGAAGCTGAGTTCAGAGCGAAGGAGCGCGGGAAGAGTGCCTTTGTGAATGTTATTGGATGTGGTAAGAATTTGTATTTGAAAACCTGTTTGTGATATGTTTTCCTTCACCGTAAGATATGTGGTTATCGTGATTGAAAAGATTTGTACATGAGAATATCGGAGGTGCGATACTCGGGATTTGAACCTGCTTCACTTGGTTCTCAAGCGGGCGTTACTACTGGGGTATCCCAGCTGATAATATATACATATATATCGACTGCTGGCAATATATCGAAGACTGACTTGATTCCCCATACAATCTTTCATCCCCATTTTCACCCCTATAAGAGATGATTTCCGGAATAAAAAGTACCCTATGTCATTCCCAGGGTCTCAAAAATTCGTCTTACCAAATTTCATCTAGATCGGTTCAGTAGATCTGGAGATTACCCCATACAACGTCACAAACTCACAAACTTTACCTTTTTATAATGTTAGTATAGATAATACAGTCTATTCACTAGCGAAATGTATTTTATTTAGTTAAGACCTCCAGCATCACAACTGGAGCTTGGCATTCACCACATTTACATATTATATCTGTAGGTCTGGGTGCGTGGATGATATCGGCGCACCAGTGCGACGTGTACGTGCTCACCTTCCTGGAGAGAGTGGGAGAGTTGTTGGAGAACGGGCGCCTGGACCACGTGGCGGATGTCAACTTCGCGTATGTGATGGCTAGCCCTAACGTTGAAGGTCAGTGAAAACGTCTTATTTATGCATTATGTTTTATTTTATAAGTAAAATTATCCGCACTACACTTAAATGCTTCTAGATGCCTAACAGTTGCCTTTGTGTTACTCTAGGTAATAAGCAGCCCCCCCTACCCCCCTACAACGTGCGTTCACCTTGTCGTGGTGGGGGGGCTCAGTAGTGCCTGGCAATACAGCCGGGCGCGAAGCCAAGAAACCCACAGGGAGGTGGCCCTCTTTGGGGGGCGGTGTACCATGTGGGTAGCTCCTGGTACTTCTCTGATAGCAGAGTGGACCTTGGAGCAACCCCATGGTTGTGGTGGTCTGCTTCGGCGGACCTGCCGTCGGGGCGTCGTAGTTGAATGCGTAAGCGATCCTGCGACGCCCCATTAAGACGGGGGAAAGTTTTGTTGGGTTTTAGTGGGTAGTACTGGTTTTGCCGGTGAGTCCCACACTTCGTGCCTAAATACATTTCCCAACGTTAAAAAAAGTCATAGTTTATTTGTGTACTAAAAGATATCCAAATTCGTCCAGCCCTTTTAGCTTGAAGAAATGACAAACATACAAAGTTTCGAATTTATAATACCTAGTAGTCTGATTTTTTCAGTATAAATACTTTATTAGATCAAGATCTAATTTAAAGCAACCTAGGAACGAACCCGAGCGAACCGAGGGTGAGTCAATATTTTGATTGACTATTAATAACATTATTAATAAAAATATAATATTATTGTCGACGCCAGATTTCCCATCGTCGACCCTATTGCCTTTGGCATAAAGCGCTTTTTCTGCTTCTGCTTCTTTGCACACGACATCTGCACTACACAAATAAAAAAAAAGCAGTCATGAGGACCGCCGACAGAAGTGAAAACTTAAAACTATAGACAAACAGCTGTTGTGTTTGGATATTCAAATTAATTGTTTGATCTTAAATTAAAATTTGTAAATTAAAACTGTTTACATTTATCTGGTTTTGACATCTATCGGCACTCCTGAGTGTAGCGTTAACACGTCACGTGACCATGTCCATGACGATTTACATGAATTTACTCCCCATCGAAACCTGCCTATAGAAGTTTTCACTTCAAAATACCATTGCAATTCTGTTAAAACTGACTAATATAAATATTTGAGAAGATATCCAAATTTTTCTTCTGCTCATCGCGAACTATTATAATAATAAGAATAATAAGTATATTATAATATAATATATTTTTTTATTACAGAAATATTTTCTGACCCCCAATACCAGGATGAACATTTTCCTAAAAGAAAGAAAATCTTTTTGGAGAGTAAAACACATCCTAATGGTAAGTTGCCATATTTATAGTAAACTAGCGTTGCCCGCTGCTCCGCCCGCATTCAGATGACCAAAAACCAAACTCTTAGGTTTTACATGTTAATATTCTCTTAAATTAAGTTTTTGTATATTTTCTCAGAAATGAAATATTTTCCCGCGGCAAAAAGTATTCTATATGTTGACCCGGATAACCAACTATCACCATACCAAATTTCATTAAAATCCTTCCAGTGGTTTTTCTGTGATGCGGTAACAGACAGACAGACAGACAAAAATTCTAAAAACTATAATTCGGCCTCTGTATCAATAATAATGTTTATTTCAATAAGATTTTCTAAAAAAATATTTAATGTATAGATTCGGCTTAGTTACAATTTTATTATATGTATAGATGACCAGAAACATCAGAAAACAACACACACAATAACAGTGCCATCTCTTGCAAAAATATTAAAACTTTTATACATTTTAAACACAATCTACCATCTATTTTTTTATTCTCAGGTGGTATTAACGTGCAAATGGAGAACAGACAGCCGTCCTCAAAGCTAGTGGGCAGAGACGCGGGCAAACTGCTGGTGCTAACCTATCCCTGGGACAGCAACGCGCATCCCGGCAATGAGTTCTGGTGAGTTTTGTCTTTGTTTTATTTTTTATAAATATAAAAATAGTAAAATTACTAGCAACTCAACCTCGCTTTGCTCGGGGTCGTCCCTAGTTAAAAAAATAAACAAATCTTTCCCACGGGAACGGAAACCTATGTGTTATTCCAGACTATAATCTATCTCTGTGCCAAATTTCATCCAGATCCGTTGAGCCGTTCTGACGTGATTGAGTAACAAACATCCTACCATCCAACATTCACATTTATAGTATAATGAGATAAATAGAGATAATTTGAAGTAAATAGGAAATTAACACCAAGTTCAGTAAAATATTATTTACACCGATTCCGGTATTATTCAATAATATGAAACAATAAAAATCATAACATTTTTAACTTCTTCTTTCCCAATCGGGCGAAACAAATCGACATATAAAACCTTTTTTACTGTTTCGCCACAACAATATGGTTATTAGTCACTGTCGAGCCGATCCCATAGTGGAGGAGGAATTGCAACTAGTGGATCAAACTACGGATGACGTAATAATATACAAATAGGACTGTTCGTCTAGATCAGCTACACTCAACCTGCGGCCCGCGGGCCGCATGCGGCAGCATCAAAAATCGCATTATAACATATCTTTGTTAAAAAAGTAACTACATCGTTAACTTGGAATTACTTTTTCATTAAGACCTAAATAATTTTTGCTTGCGGCCCTCGACACCATAACTGAAACGTGTTTGTGGCTCCTATAAAAAAAGGTTGAGTATGGCTGGTCTAGAGGCTCTTAAGACTTTTACGCCAACTAGTGGAAAATATCTTGTATCATTTTTCAATAAAGTCAACGTCAATAAAAAAATGTTTTTTTTTTTATTTGATTACACTCAATATTTTAATTTTGTTTAGTTGTTTTCTTAATGTATGCGTGTGTGTGTGTGTGTGCGCTTGTGCGCATGTGTGTGTATGTGTTCGTTCTATAAGTTATCACTATAGTGTAATTTAATGTTGGCCTTACTTACTACTAACCATTGTGCTCAAACTATATTTCTATTATTTTTGTAACCTGTAAGATTTGGTAAATAAATAATTAACAAATAAATTAAATGAATGAAATGGACTCGAATGGAATCGAATGGAATGAAATGATATGACATATATTTGTCAGGTTCGGCAGCCTGTACACGTCGGGCGACCCGGCGGCGGCGTGTTCCACGCAGGTGTCGGAGCTGCACAATGCCCACATCAACCCGTATGTTAGTTTTCTTCACACACGCATCGTCACCGACGCGGGAGTGAGTCTCTTGACTGACTACTGTATACATAGGACGTTTACTGGCTCGGACTAGACGAATCACATATGGAGCATTCCACGTCGTATCGGACGGTTTCAAAAAAAAATAAGAGCGAATTTCAGAACCTCACTTTTTTTTGCTGTCCGTTTCACGTGAAATGCCCTTTTAAATTTAAGTGTGATACGCATTGTGATATTTTTTTATAAAAATATTTATACTCTATCTCTATGCTCTATGGTAACAGACGCCATTTAGGTTTAGATTTAGTATATTCTGTAATAACATTTTTACAATGGCATTTATTATGTACTTATATTAAATAAATGGTTTTTAATGTATATACATAGTTTGATTTTCAACTGCACCTTAAGGTTTTAGCCATGTTTATATTGTCTTAGATGGTTTTTGCTTTCATCTATACTTTACCTTTTCAAAAATTATATTACAATGTTCAAGAGTTTCGTCTTGATGTAAATGTGTGGAATTGAGATAAATTGACTCATATACGGGTTATCTGTAATACTGTATATTATATATGATATTTAAAAAAGCAACTGTTGAATTTCTCGCCGGTTCTTCTCAGCAGAACTGCTTTTCGAGAGGGTGGTAGCTTCCTCACGGGCTGACTACACTGACGCTCTTTAAATTAAATTGACGATTCAAAAGTGCTTATAATAAAGTCTATTTGATTAAAGTTTCATTTTACTTATGAAGGACAGATAAAATATACTCATTATTTAATACACTGTATGTGTCAGCGGACGAAATTTGATGGATGGTCATACTCGTGTGTGCGTGATCAGTCTGTGGGGTTTCCCCACCCCATCCCTACTTACTAAAGTATGATTGGAGAATTTAATTATGATTCATAAATAGTAGTTTTTGTAAATACTATAATACAAAAGAGATCAGTGCATTTATAATAGCGGGTCATATTTATTTTCGTTTAATTAGATAATATATCAAGATAGGTAATCAATTTACAACTTAGTATATAAATATCTATAACTTTATCATATTGCGTTAGATAAAAGGTTGCAATTGTTGAAACAATGGATATTTTGCCCGATTTTCAGAAGTTTTTATGGTAAGTTTTGTTTTTTGTTTATAATTTATTGTTGGTTTAAATTTTACCCATTTCAAATTAATTTGCAATAATAAGTTCCTGTAAAATAAAAATTGCATCACATTAATTGTGGTGCAATAATTGCTCAACAATTGTATATCAACCACAAAAATGTTTGTCTTGTAAATAATATAATGTACCTAGGTAAAAATATTTAATATTCCCTCCAGCGTGTCAGTTAACAATAGATTTCTTAGAATTTTAATTAATTTCTTAGAGATTTACCTGGAGGTGATATCTTTCATCTGTTAAGATTATTTTGTATCAAAAGTTCTTACAATAACTATATAAACATACTTACATAAAAGTAAAATCTTATAACTGTGTAATAATCAAATAATTTATCAATTTTTTAGGTACAAAAAAGACTGGAACCTTTCCAAACTCAATGAAAAAGAAAAGGATATTTTAAATCAATGTCTGGAAAAGCCTACCATAGCAATTTCAGACAATCTTGAAAAAATAATTCATAACAGTAAAAACTTTCCTATAAAATTTCCAATAGAAACTATAAGGCATGTAGTCATATAACTTATGTATATATTTTGATTTATTTCACAATTTTGTTATATTGTTAGTTTATATTATTGTATTAATTTATGTTTATAGATTACAAAAATTAAAACAGCGTAAACCAATTGAGAGGCTAAAGAGGAATATTGAATCAACATACCCCTTAATCCACAAAAGAGTTTTGCATTTAATGGCACATTTTCTTGTACATAAAAGGTAAGATATAATCACAAACCATTTTTAATATTCTTATTTAAATGATGACCTACACCTACATAGTTATTAAAATATTGACAAAATCAAGCATTAAAAATACATTTTCTCAAATGTTTAAAGCATCATCTTTATGGTTTAAACTTAAAATGATTATGTATTAGATACATATTACAGGTTTGATTATTATTATATTAAAAGACAATCTAACTAATATTATAATTAATGTGGAAGTGTGTTTGTTTTTTTGTGTTTGTTGTTCTTTCACATTATAACAGAGTGATCGGATTGGTGTGATTTTTTATGTGGAGATAGTTCGAGAGTGACATAGCCTACTTTTTAGTGCATGAAATTATCTCATTCCCATGGAAAAACAGTAAACACATTATAATACAACTCACAACAACTCAATATACTTAGTATATAAATAATATATAGTGGTTAATTCGTTCATGTATATAGCCTATCTATTCCATACTAACCCTTAAAAGTCGAGCGAAGCAATGGTAAGTCACTAATTATTTTATATAACCATAAGGTTTATTTTTTTATCTAAGGGAATATGGATCATATATTGAGAAGGAATTTTACAAAGACATGACAGTGCCACAACTTATAGACAGAATATTGAAAAAAAGAGCTATATCATTTGTTGGGCCTAAGGATAAATATATATTAATTTCTGGTGCTAAAGGGTGAGTACATAAAAACCATTTTGTATACTGTTTTATTGCTCTAAGCACAGATAAATTGTTGGTCCATGGTCTTGCAACACTTTTGTCCTATTTTTGCAACATTTCTCATAGTCAAATAAGAGAGTTAGGTTAGTAATTAGTATTATGACGACAACATCAGAATTTAATGTCTATTAAACTAGTAGTATTTTCATCAAAATCAAACCCTTGTAGTTAACTAATGCAAATTTGAAAAGAAAAGTAATTGCTATAATAATTTATAAGGTGTAGTGATAATTATTCTTTACAGACAGTTTGGCTGTTTGGGCTAACATTTGTGTGATGATTAAAATGTGTATTGAGTTATTCTATTTTACAACAATATGCAGAATGTTTATTTCCATTGATCATAATGCTTTGAATAAGTTATAATATAACATATAAAATAATGGGTATGACAAGAACAGTTATGCATTTTTAAATATGACTTCAAATCTGTGCTCAACTGGCAAACTTTGAAGCCAATAACAAGAAAAATGAATTGAAATATGATTTCAATAACTATAATATAATTGACAAAATATTTATTTCTATACAATCCAATATGGACATTGATAAAACTCTTTTTTTTTCTTTATTTATTTATATATATATATATATATATATATATATATATATATATATATATATATACTCTAAAATAGTGACTTTGGCTGATAAATTAAAATGAAAAACATTTCAATTTATCAGTCAAATGGACCATTTTTGTAACTTTTATTAAAATGACTTTATTTTGCTTAAAATAATAAAATAAAAGGCCCTTACAATTCTTATTTAGTGAGCATAATAAATCCTATGTCATTGCTATTTATTATAAGTTGTATAAAGTATATTATTTAAAGAAAATATGATTGATTTTTCAATATATTTAATTAATATTTAAGGTTTCTTATTGTTATGGTTATTTTTTATATTTCACAGGGCAGAAGGATGGGAAGAGATTGGCACGCATGAACAAAAACCCCCTTTATTACTAAAAGACTGTCTGAGCTATGACGAGCTGAAGCTCTCAGCTATGGTGTATGTGAGTGGATATACAGAATGTATCAATAATGGTGATAGACACAATAAAGGGTTTGTTAATGAAAATAATGTAGAGCAAGAAGCCGTTATTATTGGTGAGAACATAATAAATTATTTCTAATACTAATGACATTCTGGGTAACTTGGAACTGCTTAGGAAAATAAGATATGGTATGACGATAATTTTTACAGAATAATATAGTGATTATCAAATATAATGAAAAATATATAAATTATCTGCCAATCTTGAAATAAATACAGAAGTGTGGTCCAAAGTTTCAACGCTGGCACAACGTCACTCAGAATGACTACATATTTCAAGAAATAAATATTATTTTGCTGTTTTTAACATTTTGAATTTTATTTATTACATAAATGTTAAATTAGCGGTGTAATAGGTAATTTTATTGATAAGACTTTTGATGTGAAACATCTTAATAGCCTTGGCAGTAAAACCGACTTGTAGGCCGTGATGGCAAAAGGCATGACGCTTCTTTGAGTGTGCGCGCGTATACTATACACTTTTTTGCTTCTCTGTGTGAGCTGCGTAATATTTTTATCCGACTATAGTGTACTTGACAAGTTTACAGCATGTATACACGCTTAAGTTATACTTCATTTGGCACGTTTGAAAAAAATTATGAGAGTAAAATTTTTACGATGTGCGCGCACACCGACAGCCAAAAAGCGACATGATGAAGTTAGCTGCATTCCTTTTACAAACAGAGAGTTGTGACATACGGTTGAAATCTTGCCTATTTTTGTTCTGTTAAACCAAAGAAGTATAACTTCTTACGTGCGGACATAAGTACACACACACGCGTTTGTTTTAATTTAAAACAATCTGAAAATTTTGTTTTTATGTCATATTTTCTGCCTTTAAAAATCATCCTATCATTTATATTTTCTATACAAAATAGTTTCGATGTTTCACATCTGTCAGGCGTCCCGCGACGGCTTTTTTCTTTTTTATAAATGGATATTTGTAATTTACCCAAAATTTCAGGTCTAATTGGCCCACGTTTCTCACGAAAGGGCAGAATGGACTTTGAGGATATACTAATTACTAACCAACAGAATATACCAGAGAATGGTTATGGAGAAGATTCTGTAAATTCCCCAGATGCTTCGAAATATAAAGCAAAAAAAGAATTGAGAAATGTGTGGAGTAAATTTTTTGAGGTAATGATTTCTAACATTGTTGACCAAAAATATAACCCGATTTCTATTTATTTACAATTTAAAAATAACCATTATCGTTTTTTTTGTGAACATTGTATTAATTCGAAAAAAATATTACAATTAAAAAGTACAAAAATTGTTATTTTATAAATGATCAATTATTATAATTAAATTCATATAATTAATTATAATTAAAGTAATAAATTAGGTTTTGGGTTATTACAACTTATTACAGCTATGTATAATAGGGAATATGCGTGTGATCTAAATAAAGGTGAAATATTTTGTTTTATAATCTTGATTGTTTTTAAATTAAACCTATATATATATATATATATATATATATATATATATATATATATATATATATATAGGTTTAATTTAAAATATAAATATTTTGTATAATATATATATATATATATTATACAAAATATTTTTTTATTGTAATTTCTTTTTGATTAAGAAAATAATCATTTAATAAAGTAAAAAACAGGCCGGAAATTCAAAGTAGTTCAAACGCAACGCCATTAGTCATACCGAATATGACGTCAAAGTATTATCAAGACAGAGCGATTAGCGAATACTATAGTCACTAGAAACTTAAGTCGTCATTTTTCTATGCATGATACTGTGACGTCACGCCAAGCGCGCGAAATGCCGAGCGTTTAAAGTATCCGTATCGGTTAGGTATGATGTTTTTAATTTTATTTATGCTGAATTTTAGTTTTTTTGAGTTGGATATTTTTTTAACAATTAGGTAAGGATGTATCTTGTAAGCTATTGTATAAAAAAATGCATGTTCCCTATTAAATGCTCTATCTTGATATATTTCAACGGTTAAAAGGGCATATCATTATGTACATGCAACTAAAATTTTATGTGCCATAATAATAACAGCTCAATTATTGAAAATTTTGAGTTACAACGGTTTTTTTTATTTACTAGCCATAAGATGTACTTAGGAGGTCATATATGAAATAATACATACGTATTCATTTCTAGACCAAGCCATCTTCCAACAAAGAGATATCATCTCATGGAATTATAGGATGTGAAGTTAAAAAGGGAAAAAGGCCATTTAAGAAGCTCAAAACGGAAGATGGTAGTGTGAGCAATACAAAAATTGTTTACATTTTTTTTTCATTGGTAGCATTATGTTAAAAACATTACCTACATTATATGTATCAAATGGTAGGGAAGCCCAAGAGAGGATGTCGGTATTTATTCAAGCGCGGAAGATTAACATAGGAGGGGGGGGGGGGGTGCCGCCTTGCACTCTGTTGAGTACCTCCACCATGTATAAGTTTATGGACGACTAGCTTGATTCCCTATACAAACTTTCATCCCCATTTTCACCCTCATAAGTCCCAGGGTCTCAAACTATCGTCTTACCAAATTTCATCTAAATCGGTTCAGTAGATCCAGAGATTACCCACCTACAACGTCACAAACTCACAAACTTTACCTCTTTATAATATTAGTATGGATTACTTTATTTTACTTAAAAATAGTTTTTTTATGTTAAATAACGTAAGTTTTAGTTCATCTGTGTGGTGAAATTATATACGGTACTTAAAAGAAAAACACAGTTTTTAAAATTTTATTCTGTCTGTTCCGGCTAATCTTCGAAATGGCTGGACTGATTTTGACGGGATTTTTACTGGGAGATGGCTTATGTTATAGTAAGTAACTTAGGCGACTTAAACGAACACTCGCACAACTTCTACACTACAAGAGGCTGTCCGCAAGGAGGAGTGCTTTCACCCCTATTATGGACACTAGCTGTAGACCTACTACTTGTAATCATGGCAGATCTCGACTACGATACACAGGGCTATGCAGATGACCTTGTTGTAGTAGTAAGAGGTCCCTGCCTGAACACAATTTCCACCAGGTTACAAGGAGCTCTCAATACCATCACAAGATGGTGCAGAGAAAATGAGTTATCAATAAACGCTGATAAAACAGTTATTGTACCATTTACCAGGAAAAGGAAGCTTGAAAGGCTGACCGAACTCAGACTCAATGGCAAAACCCTTAACCTATCAAATGAGGTAAAGTACCTTGGAGTCACTATTGATCAAAAGTTGACCTGGAACTCTCACCTCAACAACATTATACAAAAAGCCAAAATGGCCCTCTGGATATGTTGTCGAATGGCTGGAGCCAAGTGGGGCCTCAAGCCCAAAATGGCTCTCTGGATGTACACCGCCGTGGTAAGGCCGATCATAACATACGCCTCAGTCGTATGGTGTAACAAAACCAAACAAAAGACAACTATGAGTAAACTAGACAGCATACAACGGATGGCATGTCTAATCATCACGGGAGCCTTCCACTCGGCACCAGGCGACGCTTTAAATGCATTGTTGGACATAGCTCCGCTATATCTCCACGTGCAAAAAGAAGCTAAATCTTGCCTCTACAGGCTCTGTACACAATCGAATGTAAAGTTGCAATCGCAATATATGAACAAACTCAAGGAGTTGACATTCGAACACAAAACTCTGAAAATGCCAGTCGATGGCATGAGTACAGAGTTTAACTTCGCAAAACAGTACCAAATAGATCTTCCCAACCGGGACATGTGGCTAAAAAACCAAGAGTCTCACAAAAAGGGCAGTCATGTTTGGTTTACAGATGGATCCAAGAAAGGATCTGATGTAGGGTGCGGCATCTATGGCCTTAAGCCTAGATTTGACATGAGTGTCAATCTGGGCAAGGAGGCCACCATCTTCCAAGCCGAGGTCTTCGCCATCAACAAATGTGCTGAAGTCATCCTGGAGAGGAAGCTTAGAAACCAAAATATCTACATCAACTCAGATAGCCAAGCAGCACTTCTGGCTATAGATTCTCTTGAGACCAACTCTAAGTTGGTCAAAGACTGTATGGATAATCTGAATGTCCTGGGCACATCCAACAGAGTTACCCTCAGATGGGTCCCGGGTCACTCAGGCATAGATGGGAATGAAAAGGCTGATGCATTGGCAAGAAGGGGCGCTGAAACCCCAGATTGTGGCCCAGAACCATTCTGTGGCATTGCAAAACAACATGCCTATTCAATTCTCAAAATTCACTGCAATCGCCAAGCACTTCAAGAGTGGCAATCCACTTCTGGACAAATACACTCTAAAGCGCTAATTAAGGGATATCGCAAAAGTTTACAAAAGAGTTGCTTCAACTCAACAAGTATAAAACCAGTGCAGTAACCAGAATACTTACTGGTCACTGCAAACTCAATAAACATATGTTTACCCTCGGCCTCAGTCAGACCGCAATGTGCAGACTATGCCATGAGACAGAGGAAACTGCTATGCATATCCTCTGCTCGTGCGGTCCACTCATGCACCGCAGAAGTATCTATCTAGGGCAGCATATTATGCAACCGGAAGAGATACAGATGCTCCCCGCTCAGAAAATCTGGAAGTTCCTGGAGTCAACAGGACTAAGCGGAGAACTTTGAACTCACTATAAAGGGAGCTACAATGGACCAAAACTGGTCGACGTAGCTAGGGCCGACCTCGGCACCACACCCAACATTAATAATAAAATAATAGGCGACTTTTATTTTAGAAAAAAATAGGGAAAGGCTCAAAAAAATTAAAATGTACCAAAGAACGCACCAATAAAACGTACCTAGGGACACTATGGTGTAAAAGAAAAAGTTTTAATACGAGGTACATTCCGCGTAATTTCCTTACTCTCATTTGCTAGCTCGCTTGCAAAAGAATGAATGAAAAATCGGAAGTATTTCTTATGAAAGGGAGTGAATAAAACCGATATCATTTATATGGTAACTAACATATTCATATATAATATACATACATATATGCTTAAAAAATGTGTGTAAGATCTCATTGCAGTCCTTTGACTCAAAATTTAGCCATAGACGAAGTGGTTATGAGATATTTTCTTTTTTTTTCAGGTTTCATTAGTATCTCACAAAAAAGCATTGTCTAAAGTGAAAAACATACAATTTGATAAAGAACAATATACAGAAAGATATATCTATGTAACAAAAGGAAAAGATAAATACATATTTGATAACGAAGTGTACTACAAGAGGCTCTGTATCATCGCAGAGAGCACTTTCATGGAAGCTGAGTTCCGAGCGAAGGAGTGCGGGAAGAGTGCCTTTGTGAATGTTATTGGATGTGGTAAGACTTTATATTAATATGTTTTTGAAACGAAAATGCGACACTAAAAAGAGACAAACATTATAGGATTGAGCCGGCGAGAGAATGAGATAGAATACATTGCCATGTTGCCTTGGTAACCGTTGTTATTGTCTGATAAATATATAATATTAAGTTTCACTTCTACCATGTGCGAATTACACACACACGCACTTTTTTTCTGTTGCCTGAAAGAAATCTCTGTTTTAGTGATAATGCCACCTCTTTTACATATTCCAACCACTCTGTATATTTTTCCATCTTCTTTTTGAGTGTAAAATATAAATATGTTGGGACATGAACACACAGCACCATCTAGTTCCATGGTAAGCTATGAGGCCTGTGTTATGGATACCAGATAGTTGATATACTACACATGTATAACTTTAAATACATACATACATATTATAAATATAAACACCCATGACTGGAGTGCAAGCATTCGTGTTCATCCCACAAACGAATGCCCCCAGCGGGACTCGAACCCGCGACCGCTGGCACAGCAAGTAGAGTCACTACAAACTCAGCCAAAGTTGTTGTCAAAAGAGTGTACAATAAAAGATTTTTTTTCTTAATATTATTATTATTACGTATAAATATTTTTAGGTCTGGGTGTGTGGATGATATCGGCGCACCAGTGCGACGTGTACGTGCTCACCTTCCTGGAGAGGGCGCGGGCGTTGCTAGAGAGAGGGCGATTAGACCACGTGGCGGATATCAACTTTGCATATGTGAAGGCCAGCCCTAATGTGGAAGGTCAGTGAATCTATTGATTACTATCTACTCACCCTCGCATCGCTCGGGTTCGTCCCTAGCTTGGTTCCCCATACAAACTTTCATACCCTTAAGGGATTATTTCCGAGATAAAAAGTATCCTTTGTCCTTCCCAGTGTGTCAAACTATCTTCTTACCAAATTTCATCTTAATCGATTCAGTAGATCCAGAGATTACCCCCTACAACGTCACAAACTCACTAACTTTACCTCTTTATAATATTAGTATAGATTTGTATGTATGTGTGGACATACGTGCGTGTGTGGCTTCATTGGCTGCTGGCTGAAATATTATGTTGTTTAAAAAGGATTTACATTAATTTTTCTTTAAATGATTATTTTTATTTTTCAGCATTATTTTCCAACCCCAAATACCAAGATAACCAGTTTCCCAATAGGAAGAAGATCTTCTTGGAAAGCAAAACACATCCTAATGGTGAGTGTCTTATTAGTTATTGCACTCAGCAAAATATATCGACTCGGATTTATTTCACCTTTTGGTTCCCAACGTTTCAAATGCTTTATAGCAATCATGTTTTAGGCGTCTCAAAGGTCATTATATTATAGTTGTTACAGATGTACATTACCACAAAATTACAAAATGTAAAAAATTAATTTATATACTAGCATTGCCCGCGGCTCCGCCCGCGTTCAGATGGCCAAAAACCAAATTCTTAGCTTTTACATATTAGTGCACTCTTACATTGCAGTTTTTGTATTTTTTCTCAAAATGAGATATTATCCCGAGGTAAAAAGTATCCTATATGTTGACCCGGATAACCAGCTATCACCATACCAAATTTCATCAAAATCCCTCCAGTGATTTTTCTGTGATGCGGTGACAGACAAATAGACAGGCAGACAGACAAAATTTCTAAAAACTATATATTCGGTCTCTATATCGATAATAATGTTTATTTCAATAAGATTTTCCAAAAAATATTTAATGTACAGATTCGACTTAGTTACAATTTTATTATATGTATAGATTAATATCATCTTTATACAGACTAAATATTCCATTTAACTTTAACAATGTTTTCTTATCCTCAGGCGGTATAAACATACAAATGGAGAACAGACAGCCGTCATCAAAGTTAGTGGGTAGAGACGCGGGCAAACTGCTGGTGCTAACCTATCCCTGGGACAGCAACGCGCATCCCGGGAATGAATTCTGGTAAATATAATAATATAATAATTAAACTTTATTCATAAACTAGCGACTTACCCTTGCTTCGCTCAGGTTCGTCCCTAAGTAGACAATGTAAGCGCCAGCGGCGAAGGGTCAATACAAGAAGATTCCCAACGTCTTACCTTTTAAATCCAATAATCCATCATTCAGTTTTTAAATATATTTTTTTTTAATTAACTTAGTAAATATAAAAAAATAATAATTACCTGTAACCTGCATTAAAATCCTCTTAAAATCCGTATAAAATCCTTTCATATGCATATGATGGTCAATATGATTACCACTCAATATACGGTGAAGAAAAACGTGAAGTAACCTGCGAGAGAATATACCAAGTTTACGAAAGACATGCTCAGTCCGTCTGTACTTGTCCAGCGTGGTGGACTATGGCCTGATCCCCCTCGTATTGAAGGGAGGCCCGTGCCTAACATAGTATATTTAATGTATATTGTTAGTGTATTAAATAAAAATATCTAAATATATAATTTCTCTGCGACGACACGTTTGGCTCAGTTTGTAGTGACCCTACTTGCTGCGCCAGCGGTCGCGGGTTCGAGTCCCGATGGGGGCATTTATTTGTGTGATGAGCACGAATGTTTGTACACCAATCGTGGTTGTTTATATTTATAATATGTATGTATTTACAGTTATTTATGTATAATTTATCAACTAACTGCTAGCTAACTAACTGTAGCTTACAATGGAACTAGATGGTGTTGTGTGTTAATGTCCTGACATATTTATTTATTTATTCTCAGGTATGGTAGATTGCACACATCAGGTGACCCGGCTGCGGCGTGCTCTACTCAAGTATCGGAGCTGCACAATGCCCATATCAACCCATATGTTAGTTCTCTTCACACACGCCTCGTCACTGACGAAGGAGTGATGCTCTTGAGTGATTATTGTACTTAAGAAAACAATATAAATATTACAATGTACAAAAATTATTAAAAAATATATTGATAACAGTGCCATCTACAAGGTGTAATCATAAGTAAGAACTAAAGAATCCCATAAGGATGGATAAAAAAATATTAAAAAAAATCAACAATCAGGGTACAAATGTAGCTATCTAAGTGACTACATGATTTGTTTTTCAAAATCGGTCAAGCCGTTTAAGAAAACGATCAGAAACGCTCGCACACAGGAATTTTATATATAAAGATAATATGGTATAATGTACTATATGGTCTCAGTAGAGTGGCATGAATAGTCAAACCGGAGGTCGCAGGTTTCATTTCCTCAACATGTTAACCAATAGTAAATGGTAGCTTTACTCTGTGTCTGTTAAATAATTTGATTGTATTTTGTATTGAATTGTGTTAAAATTATAAAAGGCTAAAGATGTTTATAATTTAATTTATAATAATAATATTATTTTACCAATTAATCTCCCTCATGTCTCCTCCATACGTGACATTGGCGAAGTAATATGTGCTGAACTGGGTACGTTTTAAAATCATTATTTGAGATGAAAACAAAAATATTGAATTGACATTTTAAATAAAATTATCTTTTCCGGATTATTTCGCGGATTTATTTAGATTTTTGGTTCCAGACGTTTCGAATGCTTTCTCTACCGTGACCATGATTGCTGTAAAGCATTCGAAACGTCGGGAACCAAAAATCAAAATAAATCTGCGAAATACTCCGAAAAGATAGGTTTATTTAAAATGTCAAAAATCCTACCTATAATATTATAGAGATGCTAGTGTTATAATTATATGAATGTAAAATACGTATATTTTATGTAAATATTGTATATTAAAAATGTATTTCATTATTTAAATCTATATTGTTACTTGGTGTTATATAGTTTATACTAAACATTTTTATGGTTTTTATATATTAAATATTTATTATTTTATTTGCGTGTTTTCTTTGTCTTAATCTCCCTGAAAAAATATTTTATTGCCTCTATTTTCTCACTAATAATAAATTCTAAACGAAAAGAGGATTTTTTATTGTATGAGTGTTTTATACTATATTAATGTTGTTTACATTTACAGTTTAAAAATATATAAAACATGTTTATTTAACGTAAATTCTATATTAAAACCCAATGAACTGTAACATAATATTTATTATATACATAACTTATCTTATAAAATAATTTTATCCTCAATGTTTACATTGCTGTGGCGTTTGTTGATAAGTTCGACCTTATGCAAAAAAACTGCGCAATTTTTGCGAATATTAAGATAAAGTTACATAACTCGCTTGTAGCGACATTTTTATTATATTGTCCTTGAGAGGACTGATAATTATTATTTATTATTTTTTTTATCTTATAAATTTTAATATAAACATTTCAGCCATATATACATTACAATTGTTTATTTTGGATTTAAATTGTAATAGACCAACTGATATACAAAACTTGTACCTACACAATCGGCTTCTCAAAAGTGTCATACGAAGCGCACAATTCGAAATTATGACTTTTCAAATCTCTCTTGTTCATTGTTTTTCCAATGACGAAATTAAAACGCACGTTGTTTTGTTCAGAAAACTACTTCATAATTGCTTAAATTCCATTTTGTATTTAAGGCAATAAGTAATTGGAACTTTCGATTTTTAAATTTTATTATTAAGTCACATGTCGACGCCACTTTTTGAAGAGATATTTGTTAGCCGTTAGGAAATGTGTATTTTTTATATGTAGTAAATTATTTACTAAATAGTAGTATACTCTATGATGTGTATCTATGTTTTTAATTTTTATATAAAAACCTAAAAATTAAATGTTCAATTATTGTAGCAAACAGTGTACTAACTGTTTAAATATAAATTCTCTAAGTACACTATTTTATTATCTTTAATGTTCAGAAGTATACATAAAATTTTATTAACAATGGAAATACATTGAAATTACCAAAAAATACTTTATTATATAAATACAAAATAAATGTACACTTAATTACAATACAATACTGTAGTCTGTACAAGTCATGTCCGCGTGCAGCGCTGGATTTACATGTAGCAATATACTCTATGATATACACTAAGGGCACTCGGGGCTAGTGCCCAGGGCGGCAGGCGGCAAATTTTTAGGGGCGGCAAAATTCGGAGGGCGTTATTGAAAATGCATGCTCATTTTCTGGAAAATAAAAAAAGATTGACTAGTAGGTCCATTTTTCGAAAAATTGGTATGATATATAAATTGTTTTTTTGCATTTTTCAAAAAAATAATAATGAATAAAATTTAAACTTTCAACATTTTGTTCAAAATTTCGATAATAGGGCAGCATTTTTTATAGTGCCCCGGGGCGATGCTACGGCTAAATCCGGCACTGTCCGCGTGTAATAGTAGCAAGAATGCTAGCCGCATTTCCCCGCTGAATGACAATGATTCTCTTTTTTGCTTTGGGCGAAAAACAAGCCAGCTCTCGACACCATCACCAGACACGGGACACCAGTAGAGGCGAATCGCCTCAGGCGATAAGACGAGCAATATAAAAAAATAGTTAAGAACTATTTTTATATAATAACTCTCCAACGCTCTTTTCAATCTATTTAATGCTAATTAATTTATTTATTTAATGTCCTAACATATTTAATCTTAACTTTAACTGCTTTAGTTAAAGGAAAATTGTAAATATCTAATAATAGAGAAATATCTTCTTTACCGCTTCACCGTTTACGTACAAAAATGATCATGACCTTCAGTTTTATTCGTTGAATTTCAAGCCAAATATATTCATCGCCTGTGATGACTTAAACATTATTAACATATTAATAAAGTATGTTTTGAATAAATGCCAAATGATTGTTTTAGATTATTTATATGTAATAATCTAAGATGATTGTATTAATATCAATGCCACTTGTCTTTAAAAACGTCATGAGGAATTGAAGTAAGGGCTTAACCGTTTGGTACGTGCCCAGCAGTAGGACTTGATAAGCGCTTTATTATATTCTACACATACAGTTATATAACGTTACACAATAACATCACTAAGTGTTAACTAATTAATTACAAGGTCAGCTACCTATTGCGCTTTGAAACTGTACAAAACAACTGCAAGACGTAGAAATAATTTGAAAACAAACAATGAGTAATCTTAGGTATGGATACATCGTATGTTTTCACGTGCATTTTGTTATTAAAAACAAAAATATTATGAATTGGCTTCTGAAAATGTTATACGCAGTCGGTACGTTCTCGTTATTGAATGTACTATATTTAAATTTGGTTATAACGTCATATCATCAATAAATATTTTATATTACGGTTAGCTTTACTGGCAGTGTTTTTATTTAGCTTTTATTGGTTACTAGCGACAAACCCCAACGTCGCACAACTGCATCTCTAGATGGGCTATGTGTTACTATACTGTGTTAACTGTTACTACATATTGTCTATCTTTAATCTGTATAATTAACGCCAAAATGTGTCTATTTCATATTGGTTTTAGCGTAAGAAACCTAACACACTTTATACAAACATTCGCATTTACGATAGTAGTCGGATTTATTGACTATATGTACGCTTTACGGACTACGGTCATTTACAGCCTCCTACCTATGATTTCAAGTACAGTGGTTGGCATTAACTCTACGCGGATATAAATTATCAAACTTACAACTGTCGAGTGTGTATCATTCGGACACCACATATTACCACGGCAGTTATCCATTACTATTACTATTTTTAGTTCTATTAAATATTTTATTTAACCAAGAAACAAAGAATGATAATGGTAAAGTTGTTGCCCTTGATAATATACTTTACGTGTTATTAAGTTGATTATTGGTAGTGATGTTCTCCTAGCCGATTCCGGCTACGGCGGCCAATCTCATTGAGACTAGCCAACTGCGCAGGAGATATTATAGTACACAAGTGTACGAGCAGACACAAGTGCACTCTCTCTTCTTGTCACTCTCTCTTCTTGTCACTCTCATACTCCGGTGTTTATATATGTAGCAATATACTCTATGCTCCGGTGGGACGACTGCTCGACACGACCAGTGAGAGTTAAGGCGCAGGACCGACGGCTTTACGTGCTCTCCGAGGCACGGGGGTGAAACATCGCCAACTTCCCAACTCCGGGCTGTTACTGAGACTTACTATACAGAAAAACTCAGTAACTAAACTTGGCCCGACCCGGGACTCGAACTCAGGACCTCCGAGTGTGCAGCTGTACATGCTAGCCACTACACCACTGAGGTATATAGTATTGTATAAGATTTTAAAGTGTTTTGTTTATTATGATAGCTATGATAACGTTGAAACTGCATATTACATCTATCCATTCCATAAAATACCATTTCATTATACATTTTAATAAGAAACAGGTCAATTCAGCAGTATTTTTTATACGTATCTATGTCAGCCTATTTTCATATTTTTTTAATACGCAAGTTATAGGTACGTACATTAACCGTGGTCCAATATGATTTTATTAAAATAATATTGATTTTAGTAAAAAGTAATTAACTATCGAGATTTTTTATTCAATTTGCAACAATCAACATTCAATGCTACGAAAATTTTTATTTTATCAGAATAATTTTAATAATGATGACCATCTACTTTAACATTTTTCAACACATATTTCAATGACGCCTATATTTTTGCTTTATCAGTTGATTAAAGATGTCATATTTAAGTAATATATAATAATAAATTATTTTATATAATACGATATGAAACTTATCTGAGAAATATTATATTCTTATTCACTTGCCATTTGATAAGCCAACTATTGCGTATATAAAGCTGCATTTCACCCGTAAACAAACTACGTATAAAGATAGATACATTATGAATGTGAAATGTCATTTGTTAGTATTGATGAATTAATAATCATAAAACTCATTTGGTTCCTATTTAAATATGGATACTGCATTTAGGTATTATTGCTAAAATTATTATTTTAGAATATACTAGCGACACAGTTTTACCGTTTAGTATCAGATTTCTCAGATTTCTAAGATTTTCATTTTTCCCGCAATAAAAAACATCCTATATGTTGACCCGGATAACCAGTTATCGTCATACCAAATTTCATCAAAATCTGTCCAGTGGTTTTCTTGTGATGCGCTCCCAGACAGACAAACAGATAGACCAAAATTCTAAAAACTATAAATTTGGCCCCTGTATCGATAATAATGACTATTTCAATAAGATTTTCCAAAGAACATTTGGCCAGATTCGAATCAGTTAGAATTTTATTATATGTATAGATAATTGTACTTTTAATTGTGTAATTCCTATTCTATTCCTGATATTAATTATAAATATATATATTTAAGTTTCTAATCAATATCCCTGAAATTAAAAACTTTTATCGGAAACTGTGTTTATAAATAATTCTGCTCTTCTTCTGCTTCGTCTTTTACGTAACGTCAAACATGTTGGCAATGTATCACGCGATATGGGATCCCCCTAAGTTTTTACTTTTTTCTTTTTAGTGCGTGGCGAGAGGCCGAGAGTCAGAAATTCAGAATAACATAAACGAGGAAAAGGTTCTTTTAGATATCACGTTAGTTTTGAAAATTTACTTGATTACAATAAATAGTACTGAATGCCTCTACCATTGACTTATATTCTTAAATTTAAATTACTGTATCAATAAATACGTACTTAATGTGAATAATTTAAGTAATATTTTTTGATAAAAAGTTTAATTAAAATTTGCCTTTAATAAACCTAAGTGCAGTGAATATGAAAAACCTCTTCTCTTCAACGGGTTTTAACTTACCTACCTTGTAAAATATTTACAGGCAATTCAATTATTTATTTTAAGTTCGAATGTGAAATATAGATTAGGTATAGAAACGTGTTTTCCTTCCACTTATTTTTGTTCATATTGAATAGAAAGGTAGGTTATAGTGGTTAAAGTAGCCGAAGCAAGACGGTCAAAAACAATATTAAGAAAAAATATATTATTACGATACAATTTTGCTTTCTCTTGTCTATAAATCTGTAGTGAATTACATAACTACACTGGGTATGTAATTAGACAAGAATAGACTAACAAATCGTCAAGTAAAAGGCACGTTGCCAAACCAAAAGATCATACGATGTTTATTTACGTTTTTTCAAGTATTTTCATTGAACCAAACAAGAGGTGTGTCGTGTCGCGTCACATTTATTTATCGTGATTTGTGATCTAGACGTGAACGAAAACATGTTTTTGCGTTAGTAATTAGTATAAAACTTCTTACTTATCCACACGTAGTTTAGTCCACAATTTGCTCTTGGAGAAACAACAGCTAATTAATTGAATAAAAAATATAATAATACGGAAGTGAATTGATAAACGGCCGAAAGTGTATTGTTTTATCTTTCAATGTGTTTGTTTTGATTTGCTTCAGTTGGTAGCACTGATCGCGCGATCTGACGTCATTGTGATGTCTTGTCATTGATCTATTTTTATTAATCGCGAAGTTTTATTTATTTGCCAAAGATTTACGTAAAACAGTAATGTTTCACGAGTACTAATAGCAAGTACTAACGTTGTTGGTGATATCTACGTAAAATTAATTATCTATAAACAGTTTTCTCGAATATATTCAAGACATTAGATGTGTGCGTGACTATCATGAAGTGCGACTAATTTTATTTGTTCTTTACTTTGAATAATTCTTACGTGCACGATCTTTGAAGTGAAATTATTAATAAAATACTTTGTGTACAGCTTCCTTTTCAATTTAAGTGTTAAAAATGTCGTCTTTAGGCGGACAGTGGCGTATTATTCGTCACTATCTTTCTTTAAGCAATTTGAACTCTGAAGTGGAAAAACTAGTTCAAAAAATCAAGCCAGCTACTCCTGAACAGTGGGAAAGTAAGTGTACCTTAGTGCTTAAAAACAACTATACTATAGTATATATATAGTAGAAAAGAATCGAAAATAAAATCAGTTTATATATTATTATAAATTATTTTCTTTGTTGTATATGTATAAATTTGTTATATACACAAAACAATAACTTATAAATACTTTAATATTAAATTATTGCTGGATATAACTTTATATCATAGTACTAAAATCTACAGAAAAACATAAGCAATTGCTTCTATTTCTCAGTTATATCGATTTTAAAAACATCAGGGCTATAAATAAACATTTTTCTATAGTGAATTCTTTTTAATTAAAAGTTCTAATATTGACTAAATCCTAATATTTATTGAATTAAATTTGTCTTTTAGGCTTATTAAAAAAATTTGAAAAGGCAGTATCTGTGAGGCTTAGTCAAGATGTAGGTGTTAAAAATGGGCAACACAAATTGGATAGTAAAGTAAATGCAACAACTGTTGAAGAAACTGATGCAAAAACCCAGAATACTAAAGAGAAAAGTGACAAGGAAGACAAAATAAGTCAAGAAGGTCTTACTGTGGGATCAGAAGCTAAAGAAATTACATTTGAAGGTCTATGGCAGGGGTTGAAACTTAAAAAAGATTTACATTTTGGAAAAATATCAGAACCAAGTTGGAAAACAAATAAACCTATTATAACAAAGGTAGATGAATATATTTCATACCTACATATTTTTTTTGTAAATTATAATAATTATTTTATTGTTTTCACTAAATTTTCCAAAAATCTTTAAACTTACACCTGTTTAATTTTATGAAAGTAATACCAAACAATTACATTTCATAAGATAATGTTAGATTAGTAGTATATATTTAAATCATTAAAAAAGGTGTTTCATAATTTATGAATAAACTAGGGACTTGCCCTCACTTGGCTCGTGTGCATCCCTAGGTATGTTTTAATTTTTTTGAGTGGAACCCTAATTCATTTTCTAAAATAAAAGTAGCATATGTTATTCCTAATAATATGAGCTATATGCCAGTGAATATCCCATCAAAATCGTTCCAGCCATACACACACAAACAGACAGACAAAGATTTTAAAAATTGTGGTTTTCTTATAAATACCATATATAATTTCATATGCATTTAGTAAAAAGCTGTTATTTTGTTATTACAAACAGCTGCTTCAATTCTATTTATAAGTATATGTAGATCATACTTGTTTGTCATGTTTAATAATAATAATAATATCATTCATCTTTATCTATTAACCTAAAACATTTTATCTTTCAAATCATGCTGCTTTCATTTATGTGACAGCATAATGACATGGATGTGTAAAAACAAAAGATTATAAGATAGTGTCAATATTGTAAGATAACTGCTGTGTTTTAATATTGTGATTTGTTATCGAAATTTAAATATATATTACAACTAACAATATAATCTTTGCCCCTACATATTATGTTGAAAATACATAATTTTAGCGTAACTTTTCACTCATGCGTTTCTATACTGTGATAAGGACATATTATGGTTTTAAATGAAAGTATAATTTTCATACTGATTACTTTTATATATAATTATTTAATAAATAAATATATTAGGACATTAGCACACAGCACCATCTAGTTCCATAGTACTACTCTACTACAAAGGCTTGCGTTATAGATACCGGATAGTTGATACATTACACATATATAACTTTAAAAACATTCATATTTTAAATATAAACACCCATGGCTGAAGTGCAAACATTTGTGCTCATCACACAAATGAATGGCCTCAGCGGGACTCGAACCTGTGACCGCTGGCACAGCAAGTAGGGTCACTACAAACTGAGCCAAATGTGTTGTCAAATATATGTATTACATTCTATTATTTTGTAATATATTTCTTAAATGTTGAAACAGACATTCTATAAATTTCAAAGATATTTATTAAAGATAGAAGATACAATGATCTATAGATATGCACATTTTTTCGCACACATTATGTAAAATTAATCATTATAAATTGGAACAATAACATGAATTTAGAACAGAACTAAGAACATGTCAATATCTCAAATGTGGTATCTAGAATTAGACTGGCAGCAGTCTAATAAATGAAAGTAGGTCAAGTATGCAATTTATTCAAGTACATGTGATTAAAATTTTACTGTGTAGTCTGTTCGCTACTAACTATGTATATGACTGTGTCCTCCAAACAAATGGCAGTCATGGTAGCCATAGTGTTATTTGAATCACGGAGCTAAACACTATTAACTTCTAAACTCGAGGTTGTTATTGGGACTATATTAAGAATGACTTAATAACTACACTTGGCCCTACCCGGGACTCGAAGCCAGGATTCTCCGGATGTGCTGCCACATATGCTAGCCTACACCAATTTATGTACAATAGTTAAATTATTTAATTTATAAATAATAATTCATTACTTTTATTGTCATTATTTTGTCTAATATTTTATTTTTTCATTATTCTGCCTTTTTTTTAATATAAGATATTTGTTTCAGACGTCCATCCATTCCCGTACAGCCTATGTCATATCTGCCATAGTGACAGCAGAAACACCTGAATGCCTTTTAAAAAGAACAGAACATTTCATTGAGCATTTACAGCAGTATCCAGAATCCAGAGACTATGCTATAAAGGTAATAATACATTATGTTTAACTGCTATAATGATATTCAATGAAATAAATATAACTTGTATTGAGTTCGTTTTTATTTTAACGTCCCAATACTGGGCGTGGGCCTCCCTTCAATACGAAGGGGATCAGGCCATAGTCCACTAAGATGGGCAAGTTGCGGGCGGACTGAACATGTTTAACAATATTATAACTTAGATTTATGAAAATAAATTAAGTTTTATAGTGACGACAGATATTAGAGGCATTTGCATATGTTTTAGAAAAGGGCAGACAACTCGCATATCATAAATATACGTTGTTTGCGTATTTGCTGCCTTGAAAAACTTAAAAAATGCAGAGTTCAGTGTGCATAAGCCCTTAGTATCTCATTAAAAGCGACATTTTTATATTGTTAAATATAATTACACACAATATAACAACTTATAATTTGATTTAATTGCAGGAAGGGGCAGTTAGAGCGTTATTGCGGGTACAACACAAACTGAACAAAAGCACTGATGAAAATATCAAAGAGGTTAAAGGCATTGTAAATGAGGTAAGAAAAAAACTTATAGCTACCTATCAATATTTCTGCACCTTAGTGTTTTTTTTTGTAAATCATTAGAAATAAAAACAATAATTAATATAACCTAATTATTTATGACATGAAATCTGCTAGAAAATTCTATTTTTTTATTTTCATAATTAAGGCACACGAACTTCCTAAGAAATTAAACAATAAAAACATCATTTTTTAAAGTTATACTTCTTTTGTCGCCTTTGGAAAAAGTTAGAGTAAAATTTATACGATGCGCGCGCGCACCGGCAGCCAAAAAGCGTCACGATGAAGTTAGCTGCTTTTACAGAGTTGTGACATAGGGGGTGAAATCATTATCTATTTTTGTTCTGTTACGCCGCAGAAGTATAACTTCTTACGTGTGTACATAAGTACATACACACATTCTTTTTTTAAATTAGATAATATACTTATATTATAATACTAGAATAAACTAAACATTTTAATTTCTAGGCTTTAGCTTTAATGGGATATACAGGACCAACAAAAAGCCGTGGACCAAACATTCTATCCATAGACGGGGGTGGTATCAGGGGGATCATCGCCATAGAGATATTAAGGCATTTGGAAATACTCACAGGGAAGAAAGTACGGGATTTATTTGACTACATCGTTGGTGTTAGTACTGGTGCTATTATTGCGGCTGTAATTGGTAAGTGAAGTTGATGAAGAACCTTTATTATAAAACACAAAATTGAAATGTCTGTCTGATTGTATGATTTTTAATGTCTCCATTTTTTTAATTAAGCTAAAATAACCATTAAAAAAACCTGTGACTTATAAATTTCTGGAATAATTAAACTTTGTCTGGATGTCTTAGGTTAATTTCTTACATAAGATAGAAAAATATAGGAATAAATAAAATGGGGAATATTTGTTTACATTACTTTAAAATAACATTAAAAATCTACACTACATTAAATTTAAACATTGTAAAATATTACAGTACAATAATTTACATTAGTTAATATTATTCTCATTCAACATTATTTAATATTAAATTATTACAATTTTATACTTTACGTCATGATTCTACTACTAGTATGGTAAGAAAATTCTTTAGATGTGAGCCTCCATTAATTTAATTTTTCATGTTTTTTAAGATAATTATAAATTTTGTTGCAGCGAGCGGAGCTGGAACCCTAGAAACAGCAAACCAGATGTACCTCACACTGTCTAAGCAAATGTTTGGAAACACGTCTCTCATTGGTGGTGAGTTTTCATATATTTTTGTAGTTTTTGTTGATGTAAAGTCTTACTCATAACAATAATAGCCTTGATTCAGACAGTATTTCATTTACATGATCTAAATTAAATATTAGTTACACTTTTAATTTTCACACTGAAGTATAAGTTATAATATAAAACTTAGTTATGCATCGACAACCCCTTTTTTTTCTTTTAACGTTGGGAAATGCATTTACGCACGACGTGTGGGACTCACTGGCGTAATACAGCCAGTACTACCCACTGCACTACTGAGCCCCCCCACAACGACAAGGTGAACGCACGTTATGCATCAACAACCCTGTCTGTATGCCACGAATTGACAAAGGCCTCCTCCAACTGCCTCCATTTCTCTCTATCAATTAGCCACTCTTGTCAATGTGCTATGAGCTACTATGGCTTTACTTAAAGTCTTACTTACTCTAGATTAAATAATGATTGCCTCGGTTCCAAGTTGCCCATAGAACAAACTGTTTCCCAAGATAAAATCTGAGCTTTTGCATTAGTTATATTAATATACTATGAAATGCTAATACACTATGTTACATGAATATAATATAAAACTAGCAGAACCCGCGGCTTCGCTCGCGCTAAAACTACAGAAAAATCTCTAAAAAGGTAGTTTCATACAAACTTTCATCCCCTATTTTACTCCCTTATGGGACGAATTTCGAAAAATACTAAAACACTTATTTATTTAATTTTATTGAAGAGCATTAATACCAAGTTTCAATTAATTCTGATCATAAATATTTTTTTAATTGTATTATAACGTTTTTCCCGTGGGAATTAGATAATCTCTCGCGGTAAAAAGTAGCCTATGTCACTCTACAGCCTTCCAACTATATCCACACAAAAAATCACGTTAATCCGTCACTCCGTCACGTTCAAACAAACACACTTTCACATTTATAATATTAGTATGGATATTTATTTCAGGCACATCCAGGCTAGTATGGACACATTCGTATTACGACACGGATGCATGGGAGCAGTTGCTGCAAGATAATCTAAAAGACTGTACCCTTACAGAGTGTAACAGGCATGATACCCCGAAGGTTAGTATTATTTTTAAATATGTATATTAGATTGCATATTATATTTAATTTTTATTTTTGCGTCTTATTGAATTAGTCATTTGACTATAAATGCATAGAAAAAAATTATTTCTTTACAATGAGATAATACAATAAATGTATAAATAAAAAGCTTTGTCATTGAATATCTCGAGAGGTTATCGCAATTATAATGTGCTTCGTTTCATTATACGTTAAAAATATAAAATATAATAATAAAATAATATTGTACCTTGAGTTTTTGTGTATCAATATTTTTGTTAATCATGGTAACAAGTATAGCGGTACCTAATTTTTTTTGGCCTCGGTACCTTAATTGATCATTTTTTTTCACGGATTTCTATTTTGATAATAACTTAACTGATTGTGTTGTAGTTAGAATACTTTCTTGTTTGACTTGAAGGAACAAATTGTAAATAAAAATATTAATAATATATTTACTGTACAAAAATTAAACCTAACTATTTAATGTGATAAATGATTTTTTTTCACATATTTATTTATAATTAGGCTTCATGTCTGACAACGTTTTATTTAACTCTCAGACGCAACTCGGAATGTCTGTAACCCTTCCACGGAAACCTACCGCAGACCACCATTTGGGAACCGCTGCTTTATCAAAATCAAATCAAAATATACTTTATTCAAATAGACTTTTACAAGCTCTTTTAAATCGTCAATTTTACATTTTAATATATACTAGCGTTTTCCTGCGGCTCCGCCCGCATAGTACATTGATCACCAACATATTATATACTAAAACCTTCTCCGTAACACGCTGCAATCTCCGTAACAATATGAGTATTATTCCGTTGGTTCAGTAGTTATCGCAGTATAATTAAATAAAAAAATCGGCTTTCCATTTATTAGTATAGATATATCATATGAAATTATAAAAATCCTCTACTCGTCCACAGATGGCGTTAGTGTCGTGCGTAGTGAACTCCGGGTCTCGGCTGGCGCCGTTTCTGTTTCGCACGTACGAGTGCGGGTTCCGCGTGCGGTCCGTGTTCGCGGGCAGCTCGCGCGCGCGCCTGTGGCACGCGGTGCGCGCGTCCGCCGCCGCGCCCACCTACTTCACCGAGTTCCGGCTGCACGGGCTATTGCATCAGGTTTGTTTGTAAAAAAAATTGTTAGGCTGTATGGTGTGAGGTTTTGGTCTTTTTTTTAATATGACAGATTTGACAGAGTTTAGGCTGTATGGGTTGTTGCATTAGGTTTGTTTGTAAAAAAAATTGTTAGGCTGTATGGTGTGAGGTTTTGGTCTTTTTTTTTAATATGTTAAGTTTGACAGTTTAAGCTGCACAAACTACACCAAGCTGTCTTAAATAAGATTTAAGATTTGAAACGTCGGAAACCAAAAATCTAAATAAATCCGCGAAATAATCCGAAAAGATAGTTTAATACACTGAGCTGCTTAGGCCGTTGTACCATCACTCACGATCACTTATTTATAAAGCCCGTGTTACAGTAGTTGATTTTAAAAACAAATTATATGACATAGAAACTTTCCTTCTCCTAGGATGCGTTCCAGGGTCCCTTTTATATTTATAATATTATACTCCAGGCCTATACTTACAAATCCGTCCAGCCGGTATCGCGTGAAGGAGTAACGAACATACACACACATAAAAAATTACCCATTTATATTTTAGTAGTAGGAAGTTGGATATGTTTTATGCACATTAATAAAATTCTTTTTTTTTCACAGGACGGCGGTATAATGGTAAACAACCCAACAGGTGTGGGTCTACATGAAGCTAAACTATTATTTGGGCCAGACACAGTCAAAAATGGTACAGTGATTTCGGTTGGCACCGGCAGAGCATTGAACAAACATCTTGACTATCAGTTAATGAGCAAAGGATTGACCAAAGACACATCTGGGACGAGCTGGAAGGACAAGTTTAATAAGATTTTGGATTCTGCTACAGATACTGAAGGTATTTTTTGTATTTGTTTTTTTAAATATTATTTGAGACTTGCAATTGAGATATTTTTACATGATGTATGTATGTTTTATATTTATGTTTTTTATTTAATGATTAAATAAAGCAAAAACCCACTTCTTACTTTTTCATGTTACTTTAAAATTTTATATGTACAATTTGCATACTAATGATTTATTTTCATCTAAAAATATTTGAAATGTTAAAATTTTAATAGGAATACCTTAGTTGGATTACCGTTGGAATACTTCAATTTTAAATTTGAATGTATTTCTTGAAATTACGCAGGGATAGATTAACTAAAATATGTTCTAATCAGAAAATATTTTGCAGGAGTACATCTAGTTATGAATGACTTACTACCGCCCGGCAACTACTACAGGTTCAATCCGCCTCTAATGGAAGAATGTGCAATGGATGAAATAAATCCTGAGAAATTACAGAATATGATAACAGACACAATGGCGTATATTCGAAGAAATCAGCACAAATTCGAACAAGCCGCCGCCATGTTGGTTAGGAAACGCACAATCACACAGAAAGTTATGGATTATGTCCATCATAGAGGCCAGTTAATGGGTATATCTCATGTTAACTGACGGTCAAAGGATCAGCAAGAGTTTGAAACTTGCTGAATTAAATAAAAATTCTTTTGGAAATGTGATTTGTACACATTTTTGTATGTGGAGTGAGAACTTCTTGTGAAAAGTGGATATATTGTTTTGTTACTTGAACGGAGTGAGTGCTTCGAATGAAAAAAACGACTGAATATTTTCAAGGTGAATATGTAAGTGAGTTTTATAGACCAATAGGGGTTATGAGGGTTGTATTAAATTGTTAAAAAGAAGGCAATAAATAAAAAAACTAATATTATTAACATATACATATATATATACCACATTACTTAGCAACTGTAATTGTTTTTAATTAAAATAAATGCTTATTATTCGAATAGACGTAAAAACGTCACATTGTTTATTTGTTTTGAAATCTTTGTATTTCAATTGATTTGAAAAACAATTTGATTTTAAATATTATAAATTGTAATTACTGTATTGAAAAATGCTTAATCAGGCTAGTCAATGATAATCTTAAAACAGCTTTATGTAGAGAATAGGCTAAGAGCTTACCAAAAATTATCTTTCTATTAGAGCAACAGTTCATAACCAGGGGACTTAAAATTAAAATAAATAAAAATGGTTAAATTGACGTGTGCTTTATTATAATTAAAAAAAATAAAGGGGCATGAAAATATAAATCGCTAAAATAATGTGAGTTGTATTACAGTAAAAAAAATTAAGGGGGGTATGAAAATATTTTTTATAATCCGGGGAGGCTCAACGGAAAGAAGATTGGGAAATCCTGTGTTAGAGCCATATTAATACATAAGCATATTGTATTTCTCAACAAAAATTGGTGTAATTATAATATGAATTGATGGGATTGAAGATTGGAATTGGGGGTGGGAAACCTTGCATTTACTGTGATTGTGTGGTCTTGTAAGGAAGAAAGGTTAAATTGATGTTAAAACATATATGAATAAATATATAAATCCAAATTTATTTAGATAATGTGATATGTATAGTGTTTAGTATTTAGTTATTACGGTATTCGGCTTATTGATAGCTTTATTAAAGTGTTGCTATATACATAATTTTTTTGTTCTGTGTTGGCAAGCATATTAGTGTATAACTTTTAAATAAAAGTAAAATTGTTTTTTTGTGTAAATAGCAATAAATATTAGTAGTTAGTAAAATAGAATATTATGAAGCTATATAATAGCTTTTATTACATAAACATTTATATATTAATACTAGCGACTCACCCTCGTTTTGCTCGGGTTTGTCTTTGAATACGTTTTGACGGTTAGTATGGAATAGAGAGACTATTATGATTTTCTGTACTATAATGTGCATATATTATACATATAAACCTTCCGGAAGAAAATATTTAAATGATAGTGGAAACCGTATCAAAATCCGTTCTAGGAGTTCACGTAGAAACAGACAGGCAAAAACATCGACTTTGCTTTATACTATGTAATTGTATAGATGAAAGGAAAAAAATACTTAATCATAATCTTAATAATTACATTTTATCTGTATTTATCGTATAATAGCGACTCATCTTCGCTTCAATCGGGTTCGTACCAAGGTTGATTGCCTATTCATATGGAGAATCAACCTAGGTACGAACCCGAAAGTTTATACTTTCATGCACATTTTTACCTCCTTTAGAGATGATTTTTGGGATGAAAACCATCCTAAGCCTTTCCCAGGGTCTCAAACTATTTCCTTACAAAATTTCATCTAAATCGTTCCAGTAGTTTCAGGAGTTTATTCGTTACAAACAAACAAAAAAATCTTTCCTCTTTATAATATTAAATAATAAGCATAGACTATACTATGCATGTACTCATCTCTTATTACTGTATTATATAGTTAGAATTATGTTATATTATTTAGATTTAGAACCTTATAAAGGCTTACTATTAGTTATTGATGCAAGGTATGTGATATCCTTTTTAAAGACATTGTTTTCTTAAATATTTTTGACGTTTAATTTTGTTGAAATTATTTATAACTAAGCAATGCATTTTGTAGATAGAATAAATATATCTGATGTTTAGTTGTTATATTGATGATTGCACTTCTTCTGCATTCTAGTCATTTGTATATTCTTAAAGAAATAAAAACTATATGAAATTATTTGCCTGTTTCATTTATATATTACTAGCGGCTCATCCTCGCTTCGCATGGGTTCGCCTCTAGACAAACCAAAACAAATTTATCCCACGGGAACCGTACATTTTTCCGGGATACAAAGATTCCTATTTGTTATTCTGATGTATGAACGAAAGTTTCATTAAAATCCAATCAGTGCCTAGTTTTTGTGTACTAAGCTGTATAAGTTACTATAGTTTTTTGACTATCCTACGGGAACTCTTTAACACCTCCAGGTAAATTTCTAAGAAATTAATTAAATTTCTAAGAAATCTATTGTTAACTGAACGCCGGTGTGTCCGCGGTCGTTGAGAGATTAATTTTCCGGGATGAGAAATATCTAAAATGTTGACCGGGGATATAAGGCACCACCATGCAAAATTTTATTTAAATAGGTCCAACAGTTTCGGAGATTAGCCCTTACAAACAGACAGAGAAACAAAAAAATTGAAAAAATCTGGATTTGTTCTATTTCTCTTCGTACATCCCCCTGACTCGGTTTTTAGCATTTTTTTCTATGTACAGACATCTACAGTTTTATTATATGTATAGACTAGCCGCTCACCCTCGCTTTGCTCAGTTTCGACCCTAGGTACGTTTTGACGCTAAGTATGGAATAGATTCTTTTTCAAATTTTTTTAGTAAATTTCTCCGATGTTGTAATAGTTATTCTGCTATTCGGGGTGTAGACAAATCCAATAAAGATCATAAAAATCGGTCCAGCAGTTCTCGAGTTATACCTAAGTGTTGTAACAAACCCGACTGTTTTATATATAGTTTTAAACTATTATCCCTAAATATTTGCATTGCGCAATACCAGACAATTAAAGGCTATTTCATTAGTGATGATTTACTAATTAATGTAAATGGTAATGGTAAATGTTAAATATAGTTTTCTAACAATACACGTTTTAAATAGATATAAATAGTTATTAGCCAGCGTTAGCCATACAATTTTTTTTTTCGTAATTTTCAACCGACTTCAAAAAGGAGGAGGTTCTCAATTCGACTGTATGTTTTTTTTTTTTTTTTATGTTTGTTACCTCAGAACTCCGTCATTTATTAACCGATTTGGACAATTTTTGTTTTGTTTGAAAGGGTATACTTCCAGATTGGTCCCATTTAAATTTCAAAAAAAAACCATCCCTAAGGGTGGAAAAACAACTAATGATGAATTTAACCTACTTCTAATTGTCATATTGACTTGAAACTTTGCAAGTATTTCTATTTCCGTTGATAGTACAGTGGTTCGGTGTTGTTGACCTGATCTGATGGCAAGGCCAGAAGGTGGATAGGTGGAACTCTTCAACGGCTAATAGTAGATACTTTGAGTTTGGGCTTATTTTGTTTGATTTGACAAGCCCAATACGTTAGAATCCTTACTTTGCTACTACTGTCTACACTAAAAAGGGAAAAATAAAAACTTTTTAACAAAAAAATAAAAACCGACTTCAAACAAAAGCACTAAAAAGTGAAAAATAACTGATTGGTAGTTTTCATTTACTATACATACCTAATCAAATATTTTCGAAGTCGGTGTGCTTTGCTTTGTATGAGCTGGCACCGATTTCGAAAATATTTGATTAGGTATGTATTTAATAGGTAGGCTTTAATTACTTAGCCAAAGCACACCGACTTCGAAAATATTTGATTAGGTATGTATAGTAAATGAAAACTACCAATCAGTTATTTTTCACTTTTTAGTGCTTTTGTTTGAAGTCGGTTTTTATTTTTTTGTTAAAAAGTTTTTATTTTTGATGTTTTAATATTTATTATCCTATTCCGGACTAACTAAGAAATCCAAAAATTCAAATATCATAAAAATTGGTCTAGCCGTTCTTGAGTTATAAATTGTGTAACTAACACGAATTTATTTTTATATATATATATATATATATATATATATATATATATATATATAGATTTTTCTTCAATAAAGTTACTTTTATCGTAAGCAGTTATTTAATAAGCCGTTTAGCAATTACAATCTGTGTACATACAGGTCAAACACATAAACCTCCTTTTTGGGGCTTCGCCGCAATCGAATAAAAAAGACTATAATAACATATTAATGATATAAACTTGAATTCTTAAAGAATAGATCATGATAATACTAGTATTTAATGTTTTAACCGTAAGTTCCTGGCCGACCGGACTTGGCTCGGCGTATTTCGTAAAAGATTTTCGAAAAAGTAAGCAAAATCTTATCTAAATATAAAATTTAGTCTAAATCTTTGAGCCGTTTCCGAGATATAACATGTACATATACACCTATGTATGTAAATAAACTATGTATGTAAATAAGCTGATTTAATATTGTATTCAGCCCTTCTTTTAACCTCCTACTGCTGGGCACGGGCCTCCCTTCAATATGAGGGGGTAAGGCCATAGTCCACCACGGTGGCCAAATGCGGTTGGCTGACTGCACATGTCTTTCGAAAACTTGCTAGGTTCTCTCAGACATGCAGGTTTCCTCATGATGTTTTCCTTCACCGTAAGACAAGTGGTTGATTTCCACTTGGAAATGAAATGAAAAAACATCAGAGGTGCGAGACCCGGGATTTGAACCCGCTTCACTCAGTTTTCCTAGCGAGCGCGTTACCATTGGACTACCACTGCCTATATTGCATTTAATATTATAATATAATAAATGTATGTATCAGAAAGAGGAGTAAGATTCTAGAACCGAGATTATGATGTAAGTATATTACGGTAGTAACTTTCACTTCTTGGATGACTATAGTGGGATTGTGATTACTTGATGCTAGATTATGTAAATCCCTTATTTAAAAAAAAAAGTATTATAAACTCTTAACGAAAATTTTGGTTACAGTATTTCGATAAAAAATAGGGTTAATTTTAATTATCTCGCAAACTTTCAGCTTATATTATTACAACATTGTATGAATCTATAATTTTTTATGATGTAATTAAGTAATTCTCAAGGCGATTTTATCTGAGTACTTGGACCTTTTTACCTTACAGTTCAACGACCTTGTATGGTAAGTTACTCACTAGTAAATAGTTGTTACAAAAGAAAAAAGTTGACAAAATTTAATCGATGGATGGTGAGTTATCTTTCAAGGTCAAAGAAACAGAGCTATAGCAAGTAGGTTATGAGGAATCATTAGCATTCGAAGCACACTTTCTACTCAACAACTAGTTTTATAAGCGCTACATTCAGTGACGCACGTACGCCGTAAAAGTTCTTGCCTTTGGCATAAAAAAGTTTTTACTTTTGAGTTTTGACAGCTCAAAGAAATGGAAAAGTGTTGGAGGTTTTTCATTTTTGTTGTAAGTAAATAAATATATTTTTTTGCAAATAAATCAGACGAAAATATATGTAGATTAACGCAATAATTATGTCCTTGTTAGGAAATAAATTAAGCAACCTTTTTCGTCATGTTACATTCAAGGAGAAAATGTTTTTTTTTATAAATACAGGCTTATTGCGTGAGAAAATACTACTGAGAAATGGTATAGTAATTAACTATTGTGCACTATATTATATTTTCAGAATACTATCTAATAGTTTGTAAAGCTTAATTTTAGTAAAAAAAGTATGATATTAAGTTTTTTAACAGATTTTATGCTTTGAATAATTAATTACTTATACTTTTTAAATTTCGTACTTTCGAAATATCGACAAGGAAGATTTACATACATACATTTATACATGGTAATTTTAAAGTAATCTAGCTACTCGCCTATAGATGGTGGGTGATCTGCGATAATATTAAAAGTACAAAGTTTTTTAAATATGGCACAAGATGGCAGCAGGTGTAAATAAAAATATAAAAATGATTTCAGTTCCTGAATAAAAAATTGTTTAATTGTGTGTGTTTTGTTTTGGAATATATAAATAAGTATATAATTACTTTTTAAAAGAAAAGGTACACCGACATCAAAATTCAACCTTCAGAAGTGACTTTTTTTGTATCGGACCACGTTTGTTTGAGGTATAAGTTATGGCCAGTTCATAAAAATAAGGATTATGAAAATAGGTTCACAATAATTGGCGAATTTATCGCGTAGCATAGGTCACATATCCAAAACAAATATAAATAGAATAATTACGATACGAATACGAAGAATACGTCTTTTTTGATGTCGGTCAATAAATATGAATAATAATTTTTTTAGATAATATTGGTTATTTGTCCATCCTAATGGAAATAAATTGTAATGCTTCGAGTTAGCCAAAGTTCGATTTCAATATTGCGTCACAAAGCTGGCCAACTGCGGGTTCGCGGACTTCATATGTCATTCGAAAACTTGTTAGGTTCCCTCAGACATGCAGATTTCCTCACGATGTTTTCCTTCACCGTAAGACAAGTGGTAATCATGTTGAAAATGATTCGCACATGAAAATATCATAGTTGCGAGACCCAGGATTTGAACCCGCTTTACTCTGTTTCCCAAGCGAGCGCGTTACCAGTGAGCTACCACTGCCTTACAGAAAGGAATAAAGGTAGTGGTATCGAAAAGGTGACCGATGGCGTTATTACATGTTGCGAAATTATTTTTGATATTTTTTATTATTTTATAATAAAATTAGATAATTAATATAATCTGTTATAAATATAAAATGCAATTTGAATGTTAATATATTTTTTTTTTGAAATTCCAGCTCGTAGTGATCTTATCCTTCGTCATCACAACCGAGTCATCAGTTCCACAACCGCGTGCGCCTAACTTCCAGTATTTTGAAAGGTAATAAATAATAATAATTATAATTTTATTCAATCAGTATAATATACTACAAACAAAAATTAAAATGTGAAATATAATATTGGTATTACAAGATATTTTTATTTGACATATTTATTATCTATACTATAATAAAACTGTAGGGGTCGAATGTCTGTACATAGAAAAAAAATGCTAAGAACCGAGTCAGGTTAGTAAAAAGATAAATAGAACATATCCAGATTTTTTTCATTATTTTTGTTTCTCTGTCTATTTGTCTGTTTGTACGGGCTAATCTCCGAATCTATTGGACCGATTTAAATAAAATTTTGCATGGTGGTACCGTATATCCCCGAGAAATATCTTAGATACTTTTCATCCCGGAAAATTAAAGAGTTCCCGTGGGATAGTTAAAAACTATAGTAAAGTATAGAAGCCGCTAGTATTAACATAAGACTAATCTAGATCGATTTTTCGCCCCCGAAAACCCACATGCTTAATTTCAGCGAAATTGTTAGAGCCGTTTCCGAGATCGCTGGTATATACTTATAAATAATTAATATACAAGAATTGCTCGTTTAAAGGATAATGATAATAATCCACCACTGATAATATATTGTATATTTTATATTTGGTTTAAAAATTCTGTACACGTATTAAAATTTTATTGCAGGCCAAAATACCGGTATCCGTACTACGATGAAAATGGCAAAGGAAAATTATTATACGGATATGGAGGACCCGAATTGTATCAGTACAAATCTTATTCGCCTCTTGAGGGCATCCATTAGAAATAGGCATATTTAAACTATATTTTTCATAATTCATGTATTATAAAAAGCATATTTGATATTATTATAAATAAATCAAACATATGTAATTTTTTTCTTTTAATTTATCTGAAAGATGTAGGTGGTGTATCTGCGTAATAATACAATGTATGTAAAAAAGTTTAATGCATATTTTATGTTATTAAATATTTAATCTATTAGTATAAGGTTTTTGTAAATGGATTGTAAAATAAATTTTGTTGAAATAATATTTTAGTTTTATTTTATTTTTCGTTATATAACAAAATGCCTACTTAATTCACTATCATAAATCTTTAAATCTAATATATATCTACTAGCGACTCACTCGCTTTGCACGTGTTCGTCCTTAGGTTGCTTCCCCATTTCCCCCATTATCTTTTCAGTTCAGTAGTTTTGGAGCTTATTCGGTACAAACAAACAAACAAAAAAATCTTTCCTCTTTATAATATTAGTATAGATTACATTTACCATTTGCTTTTAAAAAACATATTTACTTCATATTATACATAAGTATTTATTTACGTATTGGAATGCTTAAAATGATTAGGCTTTATTATTAGGTCTTTGTATTTTACTTATGTTCATTCATTTTGCTTTACTCTAAATGTACTCAAGATACTTGTGGCTGATCTTGGACTCAATTTTCAAATCAAATAAGTAAGCAGTTATGTCAGAATATTTACGTGTTTTATACGCTGTGCCTACATACAGATAACGCGTACGTATTATTAAGGCGGGAAAAAACATTTGAAGAACCTTGAGGTAAAGTACATAATATATAGACTATATAGTATATACACATATTTGATAACTAGCAATTTACCCTCACTTCGCTCGTGCATAGATTAACTAATAGTCCTTTTGCTTGGGTCCCTAGACAGTATAAATAGTTATAAACAGACATAGAGACAAACAGACAAAAAATTTATTAACATAAATTTTAATATTGTCTTGCTACACAAAACGTAACAGTCATTATTTTTTAATTATTTCATGAACATATTTCGCTAAGTTACCTATTATTTTATATATAATAATGTTTACCTATCTATACATATAATAAAATTGTAACTAAGCCGAATCTGTACATTAAATATTTTTTGGAAAATCTTATTAAAATAAATATTATTATTGATACCGAGGCCGAATGTATAGATTTTAGAATTTTTGTCTGTCTGTCTGTTATCGCATCACAGAAAAACCACTAGAGGGATTTTGATGAAATTTGGTATGGTGGTAGCTGGTTATCCCGCTCAACATATAGGATAGGGGAAAGGGGGGTACACTGGATCACTTTTTTTTCAAATGTAGCTTACCTATATAAATAAACTATAAATTATCAATATTTATAATTTGATCAATGAGTCGTTATGTTGGCTATAGAAATGTAGTTCAACTGTAACAATAATATTTATAATTTTCTAAAAGCAAAGGTTTTTTTAAAAAGTGGGAAATTATTCATTGTACCCCATATATGGGGTATATTGGATCTCCGAATGGGGTACAGCGAATCTTATTGGGACACAGTGAATCAACACATGAAATCATCATACGTTTTTCTATTGGGTTACAGGGAATCAATCAATATTGAAAAAAAAATGAATTTAAATTATATATTTATGAATTATGTGACCACTTTTAATCAATGATATTACAAAATTATCAATCTCTACTTATTTTCTATCATATTCTAGGGGCACTGAAGCTATGTCTGGAACATCAGGTAATCTGTACCAATTCTTCATTTTTGTACTCTTTTAAAAAAAAGTAACATCGATGTCTGTTCCAGCTTGATTCCCTATTATAAAATACTTTTATTTTATGTGCATCTAGCTGTACTTGAACGTAAGCTTCTTCCCTGGGACTAGATTCAAGAGGACCGAAGTAGTCAGGATCTATTTCATTTTTTTTATTCTCATAACATATCCTTTTTCAGAATATATATTCATATTATCTGCGACACTTAATTCACTAATTTCGTAAGGTGGCTTATGTAATATTTTTTAGTTTTTCAACTTTTCTAATTTTGTTACCCCCTAAAATAAAGTCAATGGAATTTTGTATCAATTCATTTCTTCAGTCATGGGACCAATTTGAGTCTTTCTCTTTCGCTAATATAAAATATAATCGGTAATCTAAAACACAATAATTATTATTATACTATTAATAAAGTAGAAATATAATAGTAGGGGAGCCCAAGAGGGGATTTTCTGTAGTTACTCGAGCGCGGCAGATTAACATAAAAGAGGTTACCTTGCACTATATTGAGTACTTTCACCACAATATAAGTCTTTTATATAAAGGGGCGCGTCTAGGGAAGCCGATTAAAATATTTAAAAAATGTTTTGATAAGGTAAAAATACTTGAAAATCGACTATAAAGTTTATGATGATTTTTGCCTCTTAGGCTTGTGCAAATCGGCAGATTATTAAATTGGACACTTTTCAGGATGTGACTAGCCTACCACACCTTAATCTGACGGTTTCAAGTATTTCTACCTTATCAAAACATTTTTTAAATATTTTAATCGGCTTCCCTAGACGCGCCCCTTTATATAGAAGACTTATATTATGGTGAAAGTACTCAATAGAGTGCAAGATAACCTCTTTTATGTTAATCTGCCGCGCTTGAGTAACTACAAAAATCCCCTCTTGGGCTCACCTACTATAAATTGTTACACACAATAGGTGGCCTAACCAAGTCTAAATTTAGTGTGGGTTGCCACATCAATGGCCAACCCACTGTACCCCACATGGAATTAGCCCACTGTTCCCCAAAGCACCCCTAACACTGAAAAACGGATGACTATAGTTTACATAATCTATACGAATCAAATTGCTATTTATTTTTGAAGCTTATTAGATTATTTTTTAAGTAATATAAAGATAGTCATACAATATTAAACGTCTTGTGAACAAAACACTCGAGTAACAGAAGTAAAAAAATAGACATGATACTGACGGATAGTCAAATGACGATAACGCATCCTTCAACAGCGAGAGCGTGACGGACACTGGCGGGTTAGAGGTGTAAGTACTAAAGCACGCGTTCCATTATTGTAGTATATGTATATAAAGCATAGGAAAAGAGAAACAGCCATTGATTCACTGTGTACTACGGCTCACTGTACCCCCCTTTCCCCTACTTTTTACCGCGGGAAAATATCTCATTTCTAAGAGAAAAAATACAAAAACTGCAATGTAAGAGTACTATACCAATATGTAAAGCCTAACAATTTGGTTTTTAGTCATCTAAACGCAGGCGGAGCCGCGGGCAATGCTAGTAGGTACTAACTAAATAAGATATGAGTATGCACATTTAATTATTTCTGACAAGGCCATTGAGTTTGTCGTATTTTTTATGCATACATATAGAAAAAAGAAAAATTTATATTGTATAATTAAAAAAAGCATTTCCTGAATGTAAAACTAAATATTAAATAATTTTAAATATACATATTGCATTTATATAGCTGAATGTATGTAGTTACGTACGTACGTATTTACGTTTTAAATTAAAAAAAAAACAGAATCGGACATTTTATTTACATTGGTCAACTAGATCTTAATTTGCAGCATTAGCTCTTCGTTCCATTTTCCTCTTTATTTATTTATTTATTTATTTATTACCATACCTCTTTTTACCGTATACTTAATATTGGTTACAATTAAAAACGATATGAAGCAAGGCAATAATGCAAGGCATATAATATTATCACTGTGTACATTTTTTAGGTGCTTTTTTTTTAAATCGCCTAAGAAGTAAGAGCGCGAGGCGCGGGGGGACTGCACCTACAGTGTACTGCTCAACAATAACCAGCGAGAGTGATGGATGAAACAAACCATGAGTTACACCAATTTTTTTTAATTCATGTTAAGAATTAATTAAGCTGCAACGGACCTCTGGCACAATATTACGGACCCCATTTTAACAAACCAGGCCCCAATATTTATTAAAATTGATTGGAAAGTCAATCATTTCTCATATAAGGGATATAATATATTTTTTATTTTGTATAATATTTACCTACTTTTATGTACCTACATTGTATATATATTATAGTCTATTCTATACTAACCGTTAAAACATACCTAGAAACAAACCCGAACGAAGTGAATTTGAGTCGCTAGTATACCTATACATAAAAGTATAACAACACAATTAAAATACATATTTTCCTTAATATTTTTTTGGTTTAAATAATTTTAGGAAGCGCAATTAAATAACAGAACTCACGATTAGAAATAGACAAAAAATTAGAAATTTTAAAAACCCCCTTCGCAAGTTAATTGTCATATTACGATTACACTGGCACGCGTGAAGGAAGCACTTAATCGAGTAATCATGCGCCAAAATACCTTACATAATTTTGGAAAAGAGCTGATACTCTTACACCGACCGATATTAATCAAACATAGCTAAGAACCACCGCAAGGAAACTGGCTTTCAAATGAAAAAAAAGGCATCAAAATCGGTCCATCCGTTTGAGAGCTACGATGCCACAGACAGACACACACACAGACAGACAGACATCGACGTCAAACTTATAACACCACTCTTTTTGCGTCAGTGGTTAAATTGATTAACGACATTTATTTTTGTAGTTACTTGATCTTTCTTCAAATTTTCTCCAAATCTATATGCTCCATGTCGTAGAAAATTTTTAATCTTAATAGAAGACAATTTAAAGTAGAAAAACTGTTCAGTTGTCCCAGAGAAATCGGCGAACAAATAAAAATACATACAGATGAAGAAAAAATATATGTTATTATGTAGAACCTGCTCAGTGCTTCTTTTTTAAGTCGGTTAAATATAGAATAGCAAATGATATCATAAAAACAAGATAAATATTTTACATATAAAAGCCAACTTTAAATATAACTAGCACATCCGATATGGTCTAGTGGCTAGGATACCTGGCTCTCACCCAGGAGGCTCGGGTTCGATTCCCGGTATCGGAATGACCAAAGCAAACCAATCCGCTTTTTTAAAATTATTTCAATCTTTTAATTAGGCACTATAAATATTATGAATTATATTTAATTTTAAATAAAAAAATATATTGAATTTATTTTTCATAAAGTTTTAATTTCTATTAGTCACAGAAAGAAACGAAATTGTTAAGAAATACAATAAAAATAACATGAAATAGGCTAAAGAACAAAGTTTAAAAAAATAAATTGGTGGCCAATTTTCAATCAGTTGTCGCTGTCAGTTTGTCTGTCCGGTTCATTTTGGGTGCACTTGCCAATAAAGCCGGGCATTCAAATTCAAAATATTTTATTCAACATTAAATTATTAATTTTTTTTATTGAACGTCATAAGTCTACTACCAATTCGGAAGAAGCCTCAGACCTGAGAAGAACTGGCGAAAGATACGTAGCGGGACTAATATTATTTCGTTACCTTTTTAAAAAAATAGTAATTGCAGTAGACGGTAGAAATAATATAATTTACTGTATAACTATAAAGTAATGTACTGTCTCAGTGGTGTAGTGGCTACTGCATGTACGGCCGTACAACCGAAGGTCCTAGGCTCGAGTCCCGGATCGGGCCAAGTTTAGTTATTAAGTCCTACTGTCAAAAAATTGCTCACATTAAAAAAAATCATTTTTTAAATTTTGACTTTATTCTTACACTAGTAGAACTCGCGGCTTCGCTCGCCCTAAAACTACAAACAAACTCATTGGCTTTATGTTATCATCACTACTATTATATAGAGGAGAGATCTGTATTTTTGTATGTTTGTAACGCATTAACTCAAAAACTACTGGACCGCTTTAGATGAAATTTGGATAAAAGTTTGTATGGGGAACAAAACTAGCTACGAACCCGAGCGAAGCGAGGGCTAGTCGCTAGTATAATATAAAAAGCTAATCGTTTCATGGTGATAACCTTTGAATTGTGAAGTTGACTTATTGATTTATCAATTTTTTTTGGTTACAGACATTAATATGAGGAAACAAAATATTAAAGCCCGGAAGTTATTTTTTTTTAATCATTTTTCTTTAGTGCAGTAAAGACAAACCTTGAAGCTCGTTAACAGGTTTAACAAAACTATTTGTCTGCAGGCTACAATTCTTATTTATGTTTACAATATTATCGTCGTCCGAACGCGTATTTCCTGCAGTGTATCATTCTTATATTGTTCTTCATACGATCGAAATGTTACTAAAAATTTTAATTTTGCTAACAACGTTAGTGTGTTATGAGTGTACATTATTTTCGAGCTTTTGGGCGCCATTGTTCAATCCACGGATTTTAAATTATAAAGTAGACATACCATTTAATCCAGATTCTGGCAAAAAATTTAGAGACGATTTTCAAAGTAAACATGGATTTAGAGGCGAAACATTAATCGCTAACTTGGGAAATGGAAAAGGACCTGAAGGATACTCACAAAATAAGGTAAAGTTAAGTTAAAACTTAAAAAAATTGTACTCGTATAAAATAAATTGTATTATTGTAACTAACCACTGGTGAATCTAATAAATAAATAAATAAATAAAGTTGCAGTTAAATCGACACCTCTTTAAGTGAAGTTTAAGAATACTTTATAGTTATTTTTATCAGATATCCTTATGCCTTGCTTCTCTAGGGTGCATCCCTAGCTGTCTAGCAAAGCCTATGTGTTACTCCTGGTCATAGTCTATCTGTAACAACTAAATATCCAAATCCATGCAGCCATTTCAATGTGAAGGAGTAACAAACACACATACACATAAAAACTTTCATATTTATATAATTTTGTTTTCAGGATCTTGGTGATGTGAAGTTCTCATATACTTATAAGAATGCTGATAAAAATTCAAAATATATAAGTTAATCAATTTATTATTTATTAATATATTCTTATTTCATAAGTATTTTATATAAAATGTTCCTCATTAAAACTCGTGTTTTGGAAATAATATTTTTTATTTTCTTACATGTTATACTTAAAATTTAAGATATAAATGTTTTTAAGACTAAATTCTTCTTTTTTGTGTACTGATATAAAGTACATTATTCCCTCTTATAAATGCATCACCGTATTTGTTTTTTAGCTGACCATTGACATATTCTTCAGTTTGTTCAAGTGCTATATTCATGTAGCCATCTAAACACGCAAGAACTCCTGAAATAATACAATAATGTATTAAAAATAATGTATATATTTACACCATTATTTAATCTTATATTTACATACTATGATATTTTAATTATAATATTTACTAGCGACTCACACTTGCTTCCCTCGGGTTCATTCTTAGGTAGCTTCCCCATACAAACTTTCACCCTTTAAGGGGTGATTTCTGGTATTAAAACTATCCTATATTCTTCCCAGGGTCTTAAACTCATCTTATCAAATTTCATTTTAATCGGTTCAGTAGTTTCGGAGCCTATTAGATACAAGCAAACAAACAAAAAAAAATTTTTCCTCTTTATCATATAAGAATAGATTTTTACTACTAAGCGGAAGATAATAAATTAAGATAGCATTGTAAAATATTTTGTAGGTAAGTATTAAAGAGTTAATAAGTTGTAGCTCATAAAAACAATATTGTAAAATGATGTTTTTACTAAATTACCTATGAAAGAAAATAATAATTCATGAAGAATGGACCCATAAAATGTTCTTTGAACAAAGGTTGACCTTCCATACATCAATTAACACATGACAGGATAAATATTGACAAGTTGATGTAATGTTTTTCATGTAAATATGTACATTGTCAGAAGCAGTAAGTACATCACTAAATTAATGATCTTGTCATATAATTTAATTGCAAATTAATATATTAATAATGACACAATATTATTCCAGATATAAGAATACATATATTGTATTCAGTCATAAATAGCATTAAAAATGTTATAAGAAATAATATGCTTGGACTTCGTTGTTGTTTACACCTACCTATATACACACTAACCTTCATCTTCATAACCTAATCTATCAATAAGAATAAAGTAAAAAAATATAGTAATTTAATGAAAAACCAGACAGATATTAATGGAAAGAAGTTTATTTTATATGAAGGTTGAAATTAATTTTACCTCTGTAATCAACGCCGCTGTTAAGTTTAACTACAACCGGGCGGCCGTGAATTTGCTGAATGAATGAAGAAAGTGCTTCTTTACGACTCATTATGTACAATACTTGAACTTCAGGAAGTTAATGAAATTTCTTTAAGTTTTTATTTTATCAGTACCAATAAATAGAAACTAAAAGATTAGAGAATTTGTAAATACTAAATATGTAAATACTGCTAAACCACTGGTTTAATATTTTAACTGTCAACGTCACTTTAGACATTGACATTTGACATTATAGAATATAGATGCTAATCTCTAAGCCTTAAAGAAAAAAAAATCTAATAACTACATTCAGATAAGCTAAGGGCCTGTGCACACCACGTTTTACAAACACTAATAAACTTAAAAAGCATCTCGCCTACGCATATTCCGCGCTTAATAAATCGAAAAATTGCTGATTGCTGCATTCACATAACGTGTTCATCACAGTGTGGTTCGTAGTATGCAGAGTTCACTGCGCCGCGTGGAGCGTACATACGACAGCGAGTAAAAAGGTCAGCGTGTGCATAGGTCCTAAGAGGTAAATTATGTTCAACTAGCACATATTGAAGCCGTATCTAAAAAACTGAATTTATGCATTTATGTTTTAATAAATTTAAATGGAGATTGTTACACTGCATGCATCTACATAAACACACGCGACGGTACACTGTATCGTCTTCTATACTTGAACTTGTCACTTACACTACTAAATCTAGCTGCTAGCAGTGTTGTGGATCAATTTTTACACTGTTCAACTTATAACCATGAAATTGATAAGCATTGAGGCTATGAAATACTTTTACACAATCTATTTATGCATGTGAAACCGTGATAATAAATAATATTTAATATAATAAATATTTTTTTTAAAAATATTTCTTTTGCTCTCTTTATACAGTAAGAAATGTAAATAAATTTCAATATTAAATAATTTTTGTTTAATGTATTAATGATTTAAATAGTCTTATACACAAATGGTACTTTTCATAACATGGGTAAATGAAAAACTCTCATTAAGTTTAATATCATAATAATCTTAAAACAAATATTATATTAAGTTCTCTCCTTAGGTTCAAGAGTTGTCCAAATAAATCCATTATAATTATTGACTTCAGAATCAGTAAGAGGATAAGGAGTGTTGCTTGCTTTGTAATAATCTGAAGGAGCATGCATTACAAATTCCATATATTCTAATTTACGTGGAAGCTCTTCTTCTGGCCCTGAAAATTTAATTAGTTTTTACTTATTATGAATATTCATCATATTCTTAATAAGTAAACTATTTAAAATAGTTTTTATATTAATATTTCCATTCGATCTTTTTTATAAAAGTATTTTGGTGTCAAGGTACAAAGATATTTTTTGTAAAGATAAGTAATTATAATTAATTTCTTGAAATTGTATTTATTATTATTATGTTAAATGTTTTAGTTATGAATAAAATCATAACTAAATATATATATTTTATATTATAAGTATAAAAATACCAATGATATAAGTAGCTGGGTCGAATGCTTTTTCTGGTGGGGGGCTAGCTTTTGTTGGTAACAACCAGGTTATTACAGCACTCTTCTCACAATATTGATCTGTGAGGAAGCCTCTGATTTGAGCATAGTATGTACCTCCATTCACATCTATCATTGAAACTATGTCACCAACTTGCATATAATTACCCTGAAGTTAAACACAAAGAATTAATATTATTGGCATTAATTGTTAATTGTTTTTAATAAATCCTATTATGTATTTTTATCATAAACAATATTTTATTACAGCAGTAACCATTGAGCCATATGGTTTCTAAATATATTTATACATTTATTGATTATATAATTATAAAATAATGCATTCATTGATGATGGCTATCTATCTATACCTTAAAAAACAAATAATCACTAGTAACAACAGTAGCCGTAGCCGTGGGGGCTTTTAGAGGTTGTCTTTTAAAGATGCTTCTTCGACCTCTCCCACGAGGCGCTGTTGGTTTAGATGGCGCTGGAGCAGGTGTTTTAGCTTTATATCGCGTTGAGCGCGTACTTTTACGCGTCCCTTTACCAGTTGCCTTTGCAGGGGTTGTTTCCCCTTCGCTCTTTCCATTTTTGGTTTCAGGATCTTCCTTTTCGTCTTTCTTATCGTCATTCTCAGTTTTAACGGCGGTAGCCTCCGATTTAATCTCTTTCTTCACTGTATTCGCCAAGTGACATTCGTTGCATATTTGACCGTTTTCTGCACTTCGCCACAGAAATGAATCGTTAGTATTGCACTGAACACATGTTGGTTTTGGCATTTTTAATAAATAACATCCAGTATACCGATAAATATTATATATTTTTAATTTAAAAAATCACAACAAATGATACAAACAAATAAGCGACAGAAGTTTGGTAAATTAAGTTGATGTCAATTTGACAGATAACTAAAATTCAGTAATTGCTGGTGCTGTTCTTGAACGTTAAATTATTGCATTTTACGTTATAACATTTTTTTTCAATTAATTAAAAACAATTAAATAAAATATTTAAAAATAACATTTTTTTGTATAATGATAAAGTATAAAAATATATCATGCATTATACAAATTCCTTAAATATTAAAGCGCCATCTATTATCGAGTAGCAAAAGACATTATTTTTAAGTATTAACAAATATAAAAAATATAAATAAATAGACTTCTAGTACAATCTGATCAACTTAAATTTAATTTGCATATAAATCTCATTTTGGTGAATAATTGCCTGTATCTGATTACGTGTCGTGGGGATTTATTTTACGCGTGGTTTACGGCACGATGTCTAGTTTAATTTATCACGTTCAAACTATCACAACCAGTGATTTATCTCATGATTCGGATTGCATGAATTTATGTATCAGCGGTAAATGTCAACCAAAATTTAGGTAGAATTAAGTGAACCAAAACAAACGTTGCACAACGTGGATTTCAATTTAACAACGAAAATTTATAAAATTACACCTATTTTACTGTAACTATGAAACTGCGCTCTAGAACTAAATCCATATTTTATTACACCAATAAGCAGAACAAGCTTGCTCGTTGCTACATTTCTGTCTCATTACATATTATGTAATATATTATTTATTCTTAGAAGTTAGAAATATAATTAGTATAAATTTCTTAGAGCTGAGATATTTTCCCGTAGTAGGTAAAAAGTATTTTAAATGTTGACCCGGATAACTAATTATCATCATACCAAATTTCATCAAAATCTGTCCAGTGGGTTTCTCGTGATGCGTTCCCAGACAAACAGACAAAAATAATAATAACTATAGTTTCGTCCTCTGTATCGATAATAATGACTATTTCAATAAGATTTTCCAAAAAAACATTTAATTTACGGATTCGACTCAGTCAGAACAATTTTATTTTATAAGTATAGATTTAAAAAAAAATCTATGACAGACGATGTAAATACGCAAATAAAACATTTATTGAATAAATCCTTAATCAGGGCTATGAAATAAATTTTCCTCGTGTGATATAAGTTCATCCAGCTAGTTTTTTATTAAGGCTATCATCGTGTTTTTTTCGGTATATCTATCTCATTCTAACTCAGGAACACTAAACTTTAATGAGTCATATAATATACTATATACAATTAGGATTACCGATTAGAATAAATGTTTGCAGCACAGGCTGTAAATTAGATTTGAACTCTGACGATTTTGTATGTTTTCGTTCTACGTGATTTCATTTACTTCAGAAGCTATACAGTTAACTGACAGATGTGTGCTGAATTCTCCCAGATAATTCTCGTTGTTGGATTAAATACTTCATACTACTACGTAAATAATAAAGAAATATCTATAAGGTTAATATTAAGTTTTCTTTAAGACTTAAGGAAGGTGGTTTCTTACAGTGCATCAATCGAGATGTTAAGGCGTGCCGGTTCTAAGTCACTAAACTTAGCAGGAATGTGTCTATATTGGATTTGGCTTCTTATAGCGCCCTGGTCGTCGCAGCCACATCATGTTGCTGTACCACGTGTCTACAATTTATCCTTCTGTCATTTCAGTAGTACAAAATTAAATAAAAGATAATGAAAAAGTAAAAGAATCTATGAATCCAAAATAGATTAAAGATATTTTAACATTTCTCGTATTACAGTTAACACCTTACAATCAGTAGGAATATACATATATAATATACTAGCATTGCCCGCGGCTCCGCCCGCGTTCAGGTGACCAAAAACCAAATTATTAGGTTTTACATATTAGTATACTCTACATTGCAGTTTATGTATTTTTTCTCAAAAATGAGATATTTTCCCGCGGTAAAAAGTATCCTATATGCTGACCCGGATAACCAAGTATCACCATATCAAATTTCATCAAAATCTCTCCAGTGGTTTTTCTGTGATGCGGTAACAGACAGACAGACAGACAAAAAATTTAAAAACTATAGATTCGTCCTCTGTATCGATAATAATGTCTATTTCAATAAGATTTTTCAAAAAATATTTAATGTACAGATTCGGCTTCGTTACAATTTTATTATATGTATAGATAATATATTATTATAATATAGAACAAACAAAGATTGGGTAATACAGGTTATTTTTAACCTATTTTAGAAATGAGGAGGCTAAATACGAAATGTTTTATGGTAACATACACTCTTTCTTCACAATCAGCATTTACAAATTATAGAGCTGGTAATAGCTTTAATGTGTCCAATTATAAATTCGTCTAAAATAAAGTTGCATCATTAAAAGTTTCTAACACATGAAATGGAAATCCATATCAATCCTTTGAGTTAACTTTTAACGAAGCCATACTCTGTCGGATGGAAATGTTAAATTTTGATTCTAGTTTTAATTATTGTTGGTTGTTAAAAATATATAATATTATTTTTGAAAATGACTGAAAAGAGATTATTTACGTAATAAAATAAGAATATTTAAGTATTACGGAAATAATTTATTTGGTTTTTTTAAAATTTTAACAATGACTTTTAATATTATTGTCTTCAATTTAATCGATAAACCAAGTAGATACGTAATTGAAAAGTTCGTAGATATTTTAAATAAAGCTATCTTTTCGGTTTTTTTGCGGATTTATTTTCATTTTTCGATCCCGATGTTTTGAATGTTTTACAGCATCATGGGGACGGGAGAGAGTAAGGTTTTAGACAAAGGTACATATTTGTTACAGACAGCACTTACCGGGTTACCAACAAAATTATATTTACTACAATGATTTTCAAAAATACAAAAATGACAAAAAATACCGAAAAGATATTTAAAATGGTAATTAAAATTGTAAATCGCGTAAATCGAAGAAAGTTTCAATTCCTAGATAATTTTCTTTTTATGTAACTTCTATATAGCAGTTTTTTGTTTGTAAATATAAATTTTTTTTTTCTGATGTATGAGCACTAACTGAACTAAGTTGTTGAAGGTGTTTTAGTTGGTGCTAGTTTAATCAAAAGCTATTGGATTTTTAGACCGTCATATTTTTTAATTTTGGCATTAAATTAGAATTTATTATGAGTAAGAGTAGTAATTTTGCTCATTTCGCCATGCTAGCTTTACAGACGGTTTTTGTATTTCTATCTTTTTTTATCTCTTTATAAAAACTAACATTGTCCGCGGCTCCGCCCGCGTTCAGATGACCAAAAGCCAAATTCTTAGGTTTTACATATTAGTATACTCTTACAATACAGTTTTTGTTTTTTTCTCAGAAATGACATATTTTCCTGCGGTAAAAAGTATCCTATATGTTGACTCGGATAACCAGCTATCACCATACCAAATTTCATCAAAATCCCTCCAGTGGTTTTTTTGTGATGCCGTTATAGACAGACAGACAAAATTTCTAAAAACTATAAATTCGGCCTCTGTATCGATAATAAGGTCTATTTCAATAAGATTTTCCAAAAAATATTCAATGTACAGATTCGGCTTAGTTACAATTTTATTATATGTATAGATAGATATACTAAAAAATGTTGGATGTAATAAAACACACATAACACGTGAAAAAAGTTTATTAAGTCGTATTGTGATATGAATAAGTTAGGTATTAAGCTACGGAATGCTTTGTTAAGTACATAAATGAAGTGTCACTATGTAAGTACATTATTGTAATCACTAAGATTATTATTAAATATTTTAAGTAATTGCCGCAGTTGCTTAATCTTAAAACGAGATGTATGTAACAGTCTTACTTTGGTGGTTAAAATAGCTTAATTAATACGAAAGTTATGAAAAGGTATTTTTTCTTAGCTCACAATCGATATATTTTGAACTTATACTTCTTTTGGCACGTTGAAAAAATTCATGAGAGTAAAATTTTTAAGACGCGTGCGCACACCGACAGCCAAAATACGACATTATGAAGTTAACTGAAAGCGACATATGAAGTTAGCTGCATTCCTTTTACAAACAGAGAGTTGCGGCATATGGAATGAAATCTTTAGCTATTTTTGTTCTTTTACGCCAAAGAAGTATAACTTCTTACGTGCATACATAAGTACACACACACACGTTTTTTTGCTGATATTTCAACCAAAACTATTACAGTTAAAAGTTTTTCTTTAAATTAATTCTTTATTTATATTTCTAATAGTTTGTGCGGCAAAGACTCTTTATTGAATAAAATGTTACGAGTACATGATTTTGGCCACCAAAAAGGTTTGACTGTAACATACATATATTTATCTTATTTTTAAAGGCAAGCTTTAGTAAAATTATCTTTCTAGACCTCAATAAATTGTTATTTTAATAATATCAGGATTGAGTTTCAGGTGATTTTCGAGTAAAATATCTAATATGGCAACTCTATGCTTATCTAAAAGTAAAAGTGGTGAGTTAAAATTTACAGTAATTAATACTCAATAAACAAGGACGGACAGTTTGTTGGACTTTTTAAATTATAATTTAAAAAACAAATTGTGATAAAATTAATTTAAAATACAATAATAATAGTGTTTAATATTTGATATTGATTTATTATTAAATCTTAATTGTAAACAAGCTTCTTTTAAACGGGAGAGAATCTCCCACGAACATTACAAAATCTGAAAAGATAGCTTCTTAAAATGTCAAATAATCGCGTAAATCTAAGAAAGTATTATATACCAGAATATTGAACTGAAATTCAAACCTTTTACCTTCCCACAGCTGGGCAAGGGTCTTCCTTTATGCGAGGGGTATTATATATCCCACGTTTGCCAAATACGGGTTAAATGCATATCTATATAAGCAAGTAGACATTGATATAAATATATTTTCCTTAAAAAAACTAAAGCAAGCTATAAAAATAAAACAA